GACGTCCACTGCGCGTAATGCGTCCATAACGGGTCCATTAATGGCCTCGCACTGGGCCACTGTTCCACGCAGTCAGCAGCATTGTAGGCCAAGATGAACCGACGCCGCGTGAGGGTGCGGAGTTAAATGTATACACACAGGCGCGGTCAACGCTTGGTAGCAGAGCAATCTCTGACGTCACCACGGTCTGCTGCTTGGCTTAATCGCCTCCGCGAACCCCCTTTTCGGCCCCCTTACACGGAGGACGTCAGCCGAAAACGAGTGAAGCACTTTATGCAAATTCACGTCGGTGTTTGCGTTTGATGTTGGCGGGTCCGTCGTGTGTGCGCGTATACAGGCTAACTTGTCTGTTTCGGTATTTATCAGCGCGCTCCTTGGGCGGCGCCAGTTTGGAGTTGGGGGGCAAGGACTCGCTTGACGTGGACAGTGCTGAGCATACGTGCATTCTCTCCCCCCCCCCCCCCCCCCTTACCGAGGAAAAGGTCTGACATAGCGCAAACATCACTTATGCGTCGTGTTTTGACTGTGCTCTTAGCCTTGACTATGGGGGATGAAATCTCGGGAGCAAAAAAAAGAAAAGTAAGTCACTGTTGCTACCAAATGCAACAACAGTTCAGCGCTTGTCATCTCACAGTTGGTGAATCAGTCCAGTATCCCCAAATATCACCGCAGTGCCTTCACTGCCTTTCATAAACGGGGTCGCGCAGTCTCATTTTCTCATGGCATATGCGCGGAGGTGAAGGCTTTTTTGTGTTATGCAGACGAGGCTTTACCTCCGGTCCAGGTATGATGTACCATACGATGTCGGGCTGCTATCTGCGAGTTACATCATACGCCAGGCTTTGGTTTTCACTGTTCAGCTTCAGCTATGGCGTCGAGCGACTTGGCTTTCTGGTATGGGCTGTTCCCTTTCGCTGTGTCCTGTTTCTTTACTACTCTGGCCCCGTCAGTACGCTCTTTATTTCTTTCAAAGATACTGACGCAAACATTTTCAGATTTCTTTTATTTTGCGCGAAAGGGAAGCACAAACTCGCAGAAGCCTTTAGAAGGCGCAGATAAGCGGGTGTGAACCACGAAATACTAATAATTTTTTTAATGGGTCCCGCCGTGGTGGTCTAGTGGCTAAGGTACTCGGCTGCTGACCCGCAGGTTGCGGGTTCGCATCCCGGCTGCGGCGGCAGCATTTCCGATGGAGGCGGAAATGTTGTAGGCCCGTGTGCTCAGATTTGGGTGCACGTTAAAGAACCCCAGGTAGTCAAAATTTCCGGAGTCCTCCACTACAGCGTCTCTCATAATCGTATGGTGGTTTTGGGACGTTAAACCCCACATATCAATCATCAATCAAATCAATTTTTTTTAAAATGACGGTTTCGGTTCCTACTGGAACCTGTCATCACAACGCGATGTGGTCTTATCGTCTCGTGTTCGCGCGATACATCGCGACGTTTCCATGTCTTACCCGTTCCTGGTCCGTCAGTGACGTGCAAGCGGCCAGTTTGAATTCTTTGGTTCCTGACGTCATCTCAACAAGCCGTACAGGCAGGGTTGGCACCGGGAATATTCTCTCTCTCTCTCTTTTTTTTTACCACGAGAGATCGTCTTCAGGAAGGGACCTTATGCGTTGTGTTTGTAATATGTTTGCACTTGAGAAAAAAAAGGGGGGGGGGGTGGCACAAAGGGGAGCAAGCGAAAAAGAAGGGGGTGCTGCGGGCCCTCCCTGGCGCCGTCCCTGCGTATACAGGTGCGTGAAGTCAGAACTGATAACGTAGCCTGACGTCGTGATAGTGTGGATGCCACTGGGTGATCTGTGCGAAAATAGACTTAAATGTCAAGATAAAATGCATTATCAGCGTTTACTGAGCTTGACACTAGCGCAGAGTGGCATTTGAGTAAAGGAGATTTGCATGGATCAAGAAAATTGCTCCAAGAGAAGATATCCAGCCGAAAAGTGAACGAACACGGGAAATGGAGACGACGGGTGTAGCGCGCCCATGGTGCTTTCCGCGCCGGGAAAACTGGGTAATTTATGCGCACGCATTGAGCAAAAGAAGTCACACTGTGAGGCGAAGCATGAACAGACCTTTGTGAAATGTGTTGTTGGCGTGGTGCATGAAATACCACTGACTTGCGGGATGGTTTACATAGTCCAAACGACGGGTCGTTGTGTGAACATTATAGGGTCTGCATGTGAACATTTTAAATCGTTAAGAAAAAAGAGCAGGCTAGAATTCGGCCTTTCGTTGTGAACAGTGCAAATGCAGGCCAACGCTGAATGAAATCGGGATCTGGGGCAGAAGCCATGAAAAAGATAGCACGTGAAATACTCGAATCGTTCAACATTGCACAGAATGGATAGGCATGTAGCAGTGATAGCTCTGTGGCGTTGCGCTGGAAGAAAAAAAAATATTTCTTGCAATCTTTTTTATAATCTCGAGTTAATAATAATGCCAAGATTGCATACAGTGATCGTACATTGGTTTATTGCATTTTGAATTTTTTTTCTAGAATTTAAAGTTTATTCATGGTTGAAGCACACATCAATATCCAATGGTTTAATGGGAAGGGAGCGGCGAAAAGGCAACTAAACTAAGCTGAGAGATTGTAACATGACCGTGTGACCGCACGAGTGTATTATAAACTTGAGCACTTGAGCCTGGCGTTCGCGAATAAACAGTTGGTAGCCTGGCCGCTTTTCTGTCTTCTTCTCCGCTTCCCGTGTTCGTTTATTTTCTGGCTGGATATATATTCTTCACGGCAGAGCAAACTCACCGAAATTTCGTGCCAGTACCCCTTTAAGAAGCAGTGCCAGCTAATTCGCCTGTATAGCTAACCTCCTTACTCGTAATACGATGCAGTGCGACCTTCTTTACTACGCTACCACGTGCTCGGCGTCACCGTACTGCACTCCGCAACAATACGCTGTAGTTAGCATGCAGTATTGTTCTGATATAACATTGCGGCGCATCGCACTTCTGCGCTGCGATGTTTCCTTTTTTCACTCGGGGCCATCCACCTGCATACGCTGGTATTATTCCCTGCGCGAGTGTTAAAAGCAAAGACGACGTGCGAAGGATCTGGAGCGTGGTGCGAAACCGTTCCGCGCGTAATCACTCCGGCGCGTCTGTCCTTCAGCGGGTCAGCTCGGCGCGACGGTCACGTGGCATAGGCGTAGCGCACGCGCGCCGATAAGCACGCATCCGTGCTCAGCTGCGCCTGCTGTGCTCAGTGTGTGTGTGTGTGTGTGTGTGTGTGTGTGTGTGTGTGTGTGTGTGTGTGTGTGTGTGTGTGTGTGTGTGTGTGTGTGTGTGTGTGTGTGTGTGTGTGTGTGTGTGTGTGTGTGTTGCGTGAATGCGGGCTCGCCCTCGCCTGCGCTGTACCACACGCCCACCGGTAACGCCCTGATTCGCCGCCAAGAAGCTGTGTCGCCGATACACGCGCGCCACGTGGTCGTTCGTCCTCTCGGAAGTCGTCAACTTTTTGTTCGGAGACCACCTCTTTTTGTTGGCCTCTAGTGATCCTCCGCGAAGTCACGCTTCTTTGTTTCACGACTCTTCGGTTTGAGTGAGCGATGGCGTCACGTGATGACGTGATCATGTTACGTCGCAAATGTTGGTGAGACGAGAAGTCGTGATGACGTCGTCTAATGATTTCCTTCATCAGTCGTGCGGACGCCGACGGTTAATTTCTGGGATTAATAATAATAATAATAATAATAATAATAATAATAATAATAATACCTTTTATTTCTTCAAATAAAACAGTACATGTGACTAGGCCTGCCAAAGCCAATTGGTGGCTTGAGTGGCAGAGCCTGGCAGACAGCAAAACAAACCGGACGCGTTAGGCCTCTAAGGCTTTCGCCTTGAAAACACGGCTCCTACAGATCCTTATTTTTCTTAAAGGGGCCCTGAAACACTTTTTTTGAGCAACCATGGAATCGATTCACTTAAAAATTTTAAGAATCCGTCCAGTAAGAGTGGAGCTCCAAAGATTTGTCACGTGCTGCAATCACATTCTCTCTTCTCTCGTCCCGACGAAAGCGCTGGAAGCCGAGCAGGGAGGGATGGGAGGGGAAAACATGAAACGTCACTCGCGCCTCGTGACCTTGATCATTTTTCGCTTTTTTTTTCCCCCCTTAGAAAACGCGGCTTTCTCAATGCGATTGCGCGCGCACGCGTGGATAAGTGACGGCCTCTCGCGGCGACCTCTGTAACAACCGAACGCGCCATGTTCAAATCAGCCAATGGCTGATAGATGGGCTTACTAGGCCTAATTCCGTGATTCGTCCAGAGATGAGAAAGCTATTTTGAGCTGACTTTGATAAGTTATTGTGAATTCTAGGCCGCGTGCTGCGCTATATTTGGCTCGCGTGTTGTCGGGAGCCTCTACTACCGATCGGCAGCGTTGTCTGACCATGCTCAAAAAGTGTTGCAGGGCCCCTTTAATGCACGTGGTAGAAGCGAATGCGGTAATCCAAAAAGTGTTGGAAACATCGAGCTTCTGAACGCCTTGTTATATACTGACGCAGTAATAATGTCTAATTATTTGGCGAACCCTCCACCGCTTAGACATCAGTCGAGCAAACACAAACCAAAACTATGGAATTTGCATTTGATTTACTCCGTTAAACAAATGTTTCGATCTCGGCGCAGTACAGCCGCGGCCAAGTCTGTGTAGAGCACGCGAACAGCCGGCTTTCGCTCTGCGGGACGAAACCTTGGAGCAGTATCAAGCTCTGACGTGGTCAGCCTGACAACCAGGCCGTGCATGCTCCTGATACACCACTTCAGAGCCCTAAACTGTCTCAAGGTTTCGGCCCGCAGAGAAAAAAACCAGCTGCTCGAGCGCTCTACACAGACAAGGCCGCGGCTGTACATAAGATGCTTTGGGCATTACAGGGTTAAAAGGCTTGCAGTCGTAGTCTTGCAGTTGACGAAAGTCTTAATGAGGTGATGTTTTTGATGCTTCTTTTTAACATCTCTTTTCTTCGTCAATTTCAGGATCCAGAAACGCAACGGACGTTGGAGATGCGACATCGGCTCGAGGAGGACGACCTCTACCGGCAGTTTGCGAAGAAGCGGCAAGAAGAAGAACACCACATCACGCACCAAATACAGGTACGACCTTGAACTGCACATTTAATTCAATGAACCTGAAGTTGCTACAGCCAGGCAGTGCTGATAAATTGGGGTGACTTTGGCGCCGATCAAAGCTGTGTGAGTTCGTGCAGTGTGCTTATTTGGACAGCATGACAAAGCTGCGTAACCTAAAGCAATGACATAAAGTGAATCGATGAGATTAAGAAGTTTGCGGGTATACAACGTGACCGCAGAACGCACAGGACTGGGTTGCTTGACGAAGATGGGAGAGGCCTTTTGCCCGCAGTGGGTTTAGTGAAGCTGGTCGTCATAATGATGAAATCATTTTATTGATTGATCGATAAATCAATTAATCAAACACAGTTATTCAGTCATTCAATCACAACTAATCGGCGAAAAAATAGATAAAGGATCATAGAATACTAGCGACAGCACATCGCTCATTCAGTCTGTTCAATTCATTGGTTCAATCTGTTGATAAAACAAGTTATAGAGAATCAATCAATCAACGAATCTTCATATTTGGTTTTTCGGCAGCTGCGGCATATTGCTGCTGGGAAATCAATCAATCGTAAATCAATCACGTGAGTGCAGTCAGTCAGGCAATATATAATTCACCCTACTGGTACATAAACCAGCTATGGGCTGGCGCACTACCTGTCTACAGATGTATCGCTTGATAATTACCTCTACCGATCGGTCTAAAAGTGAACAAGCTTGCTTATCGTTATATCAATTCATTCATTACAACCAAGTCGTGAGGTGGGATTTCGGCTGCAGAAGCTGCATTTCGATGGAAACAAAGTGGTGGAGGCCCATATACTTGGATTTAGGGGTACGTTAAGGAACACCAGGTGGCCAAAGTTTTTCCGAAACTCTTCACTGCGGCTAACAACCAAGCGACCGGTCAGTCCGTCCGCCCAGTCTATCCGCAGGTCATAATGAACCATCCGGATAAAGTTGTTACTTGCTCTACTAAATCGTCTGTATCGTCAGTCAGTCAATCAATCAATCAATCAATCAAGAAATCTGTATACAAATTCAATACATCATTTCGATCGATCCATAACAAAACTATTAAATCAATCGATCAATTTGCAGTATTTATTACATACTGCAGTCCGTGGACCAATCGATTCCTGCTTGGTCCACGGACTGCAGTATGTAATAAATAAATAAAATTTAATCAATAAATTTAATAACCTATAAATAAATGAATGAAAAAATAAATAAATCCAGAAAATAATTTAATCGATCAAATTACTTAAATCGGTCAATTCATTCAATCTATGCACACAGTCCATCATCCATGAATCAGTGCCAAATAAGAGGGGAAGATCCCCCTTCTCTCATTCTGAATCGTCTGCCTCCCTTTCGATGCGCAGGAAGAGTGGGAGAAGGAGCTGGAGCGGCTCACGTACCGCTACCAGCAGGAGATGCGTCGCAAGAAGCAGCGCCTCATCAGCACCGAGGAAGAGCGCATGCTCACCGTTCGCCACCAGAAGGAGAAGGAGGACCTCGAGAAGAACATGACCATCAAGCTGGACCGAAAGAAGGAGTCGCTCACGCGCAAGCTGCTCGAGCAGGAGCGCGCCGCCACCGCCGACCTCGTCGAGAAGCACAGCGAGGAGATGCTCAACCTCATCAACGAGAAGAGGGACGAGCTCATACGGGTACGTGTTGCACTCCGAAAACTCGTTGCAACGAACCCTGACTCTACGAATTCTCTGATATAACGAAAATTCATGACAGCCAGCAGACAATTATTGTGTTCTAGTAACAGCGCGACAACTTCAGGAAGAGACAAAAAGGACAGGAAAGAGCGCCGTTTCATGCCCTTTTTGTCTCTTCCTGAAGTTTTGTTACTAGAACACAACCACAATGAACCAACTCGCCAAAATTAAGCTCCTGTATAGGGGTAGTTACCTCTAGTAATTCGCATATCAGTAATTCGCGTGTCTCCGCTTATCAGTGTGCGATCTTGGAGTGTTTCACCACCGAACGTGTTTCAACTGCCTTAATATATATGCCGTAGCGCGATTCATAAACGGATCGCCACTGGTCCTCCCAAAAGAAGTTAACCTACTGAACTGTGTGTCGTATCACGATTTATAAACGGGTATGTTCCACAAGAACACAGTACAAACGCATGGCTTTACAATGAGTTTCTCTATGTTTGCACATCTGTCTTGTGTCTGAGACGGTCTGCGGTTTGACTCGACCCTTTGTGTGCTGAGAATAAACTTTGAAACATCCTAGAATTACCAAGGTAAAGCCTAGCAGCGACCTAGAAGCAACAAGATTATACAATAGAATCTTCCAGTTTCGATCTTTCAAGCCTTGCATGGCTTCGTGCTTAGTTGAAACTTCGCCTATTTTTTTTTCAACTTTTTTCCTTTGAACGCGCCGCTCAGCTTCATTGATATCTCGAGCAAGCTGGTGTAATTCAGTAAGCGCGGCGCTAAAGCTCGAGGCGCGGGCACACCGCGCCACACCGCGGCAGCCGCGGTAACTATGCGGCTCGCGAGCTACGGCTTGTTGCCGGAGCTGATCGCGAAGGCGACGTTCACGATGCTCAAATAAGCTGACGGCAGTGTCCATGTGCTTTTCTGTATATGACGCAGTTAACTTTAGGTATGTGGCACTGTCTACAGAAGAGTGAGGGACTTCTAGCCCAATTCGCAATCTACTTGCGAAACCCGTGTGGTGCGCTTCACTGTAATGTTTGGCCCACGTGTTTGTGGGAGCATTCATTACCAATCGGGAGCATTTTCTAATCACGGTCAAAAAGTATTGCAAGACACACGCGAGCCACATATTATAGCGCAGCGTGTGGCCTGGAATTCACAACAAATTATCAAAGTCAGCTAAAAATTGATTTCTCTTCTCTCGACAAATCGCAGAATGAGCCCAAAAATCACTCGTAGTAAGCCCATCCATCAGCCATTCGCTGATTTGAACATGGCGCGCTTGCTCGTTACATAGATTGCCGCGGGAGGCCGCTACTTGACCACGCGTACACGTGAGATCGCACTGAAAGGCCGCGCATTCGACGAAAAAAAAAAGAAAAAAAGTGATAGAGGTCACGAGGCCCGCGTGACGTTTTTCTTTGCGCCTGCCATCCCTCCCTGCTTAGCTTTTGTCTGGACGAGAGAAGAGAGAATGCAATCGCAACATGCGACGAATCTTTGTAACTCCACTCGCATTGGATAGATTTTTAACATTTTTGCGCCGTTTAATTTGTGAGGCATTAAGCTCTTCTTGAGAGTTCATTCCAGGGTTACTTGAAAAAGTGTTTGAAGGCCCCTTTAAATATCTGATCTTTTGTGCAGCGAGAAGGCGAGGAGTTCACGAACGACGACATCAACACGTACCCCAGCCATCCGCCACCGCCGACGCCGGCGTCCATCTCCAAGACGGACATCTACACCGACCCCGAGGTGTTCTCGGAACTGGACCAGATCGCGATAAACGTGAGTGCAATGACGGCAGAGATCGTCTCATCGCACTACTTCTTCCAACCATCCGTTAATTTTGTTCACTGTGGTGGTGAAGTGTCATCTTCGACTGAATATTCGCTTTCTTGGCAGGACAACAAAACAAAAAGGCTTTTTATCAGTGGAGAGGAGGGTGTGTTCTTCCCTTCAAATTACGTGCGCAGCGTCAATCAATCAATCCTTGATAAAAGGCTGGTTTGCAAATATTGCGTACTGCAAACCCAGGTCATCAGTTTTATTGTGATAGCAATTACATGGACAGTCTCGGCTGGGCTTTGCCGTCGCCACCACCATATATATATATATATATATATATATATATATATATATATATATATATATATATATATAATCTGTGGAGCGGAGCGAACATTGCCTTTCCGGCCGGGGTCGTATGCGCGCGCGCTTATCTCGTGAGCGAATAGGGGGGGGGGGCGTTAATGGTTGCTGCGCTGCTGCGCTATCGCGGGGCAATGATCAGCTCGCGGCTCTTGCCCCCACAGCAGGCGGGGGCTTCTTCGGGCTGCGCTATCAACATGAGAAAACGGTGCCAAAAGTGTACCTGGAGCGGCCGTCCACATATAGATACGCTCCCCGTGTAACAAAATGTCACCAGCGGCGACACGTGACGTATAGCCCTTAGTACCAGCATGCGCTGCCCACGGGAGGCACTTCACTACGCACGAGCCTTGGTGTGGTCATCTACTGTGCCGGCACTGCACGAAACTTAGTAACTTAGCAGGTGCATGTTTGCTATCATTATCATTGCTCCTAAATATGCTAGCCTTGCTTCGTAAAGCGTTCAAATATGTTGCTATCACATTCATTGCTTCTCCATTTTGACGAAACTGTGACCTTTTTATTCCTATTTCACGATTTCGGCTCCTGCAATACTGTCATGAAAGAACGATATCCCATGTGCCAATCCTTCAGACTCCGAACCTATGCAAAGACAGCAAAGACTTTGCAACGCAATTTCCATTGCGTCAACACTTGCAACGGGCAGTTTGTGCTTTCTATCTTTCTATTAGGTCCAATTGCATCAGAAATAATGTTTATGTTCATTGGAGTGTGCCCGCTTCACCTTGCCTGTGATTCATTCGAAGAACGCTGGAAAGGCTGAGAGGTTCAGCGATTGCTTGCTGGTCCAACTATCAGCGCCCCGGTGCATCACTGACATTAATTTGCATTTACAAAAGAAGTGTATTGGTTGCCGCGAAATTTATACTTGCTGAATGCTTTTTTCAACCTCAGCATTTCTACCCTTTGACCGACATGACAAACACAAGGTACAATGAACTTGGGAGTGTAAAGTGTTCGAACAGTTGGGCCCAGAAGACCAAGTAAAAATACAAAGGTGCACAGTCTTCGGACTGCCTTGGAAGTTGCCCGACTATTTCTTATACGCAACTGACTGCAGACAAGCGTTTTGGCTTTCGTAAACAAAGTTTTGTTTTCAGAAAATGAACTGTAAACACGCGGTGTAAAAAAGGGCTCGCCCTAGGAAGCGGGCTCACTCGCTACTTGCTTTCTGAAGATCACCATTTCAACCACAAAAAAAAAAAAGCGTGGATGTGTAAAATATGCACAAATGAACATCCTCCCGAAATTTCAAAGGAGAAAAGTGATTTTTCGCTTCAAATTTTGCCTTGCCCTGTCTTCTTAGATAAACATGAACCCTATTTGGAGCTCAATCTGTAGCCTCGTTAGAGATCTGTGGTTGCGAGACCTGAAGAAAGAGTTAACGTGCTTCTTTGAATAATCATACACAAAATGCGTGTTTAATTTTCCTAGGGTAATTAAATAGGGTGAAAGAGAAAATTTTTTAGCATCTGTTTTACATTGCTAGCTGTACTGGAAGAAATTTGTCAAAGTTCTGGCTGTTGTCGAACACCCTAAAATTTTACGTCGGCAGTTTCATTGCTCGCAACTACTGGGGTGGGGGCGTGCACAGAAGACACCATTTAGTCTTTAGCACTTTTTTCTTCAATGGCATTTGTTTGAAGCCTCGTAACTGTAAATGTGTATCTTCGTCGTCTGAATTGCAGGTGGCGCAAGCAGATCAGCAGACATTCACAGACCTGGTGCGGCAGTTAATATGCAGCTGTGTGACAGACGTTGAGAAAGCGAGGTAAGAAGCTTTTTTTTTTTTTTTCAAAAGTGCTGAACTGCTGAGTGGATAAGTTAACCAATTTTTAAGTATGGGCGAGTAATTTTGCATATTTATTACTTCCGGTCGCAGGTTTATGAACGGTCTGAAGTAATATAACAGTACACCTGCCAACTCTCCAGATTTGCCTGCCAGACTGTCGATTTCAGGCCTATCCTTGTAATTGTATGGATGCAGCCATCCCAAATGCAAAGCCACCCCAAACGAAACCAAGTTACTGCTATTCTTAGTTTTCTGGCCTTCGGGAATCAGAACCGCTGGACAAGTGAAACCTCCTTCATCATACCAATGATTTAAGGGGAGAGGAAGGGTTCATGTTCATATGTGGCACTGATGATTTACTGTTTGGCATATTACCTTAATGTTGACGAACTACTGGCTCTGCAGTGCACGCAAAGTTAGCTTCGCTGCCGCACACTGTTCTGCGGCAAAGTGTGCCAAGTGTGAGGAAGGGCTATTAGATTTTGTGTGTCATGCATTGCATATCTTGTTCTGCACGCTAGTGTGCATGCTATAATTAAGAGCACTGTTATGAACCCCGGCGGGTAAAAAGCAGTACTTTGGCCGTTCAGAGCTGTGTATGTTGTCACTGCAGGCCTGAGAAGCAAGAAATGAATTTGTGCGTTTTCACAGTGTGAAAACGCCTCCCCCCCCCTTCCATTTTTTTCTCATTCTCGTTTTGTGAATTGCGCGATTTTTAATGTTACTATGTCGGCAGGTATGTAGTAGTTATCGTAGAAGCCCATGCAAGTTGCCTATTTTATCTCTTCCAGAACAATATTCCGGTGGATCACCGTCAAGAACTTGAACACAATGCACTTCGACGAGAACGTTATAGCAGACACGCCCATGGGCATTCTCAGAGGGATCAAGCACGGCACCGAGAGCTATCACGTGCTCTTTAAAAGACTTTGCAGGTGAGAAAATGGACGGTCAGCACTCGTTACTACGATTGTAAGAGCATCGGGGTCAGCATTAAGCTTGTTATATCCGATTGAACATGTTGAATGATTTTGCACGAAACAGATGAGGGCAGAGACAATTAAAGGATACTAGCATTGTCCCACAATGGGTTTATTAGCACAATAACACATTTTAAGGGGCCCTGCAACAGTTTTTTCAGCAGGATCAGAAAACTCTACCGATCGATGGTCGAGGTTCTAGATAACATGTGAGACAAACATCATAGCTCAACATTCGGCCTGGGATTTTCAATAAATTCTCAAAGTCAGCCATAGATCATTCCAATTTCTTGTAAATCATGCCATATAACCAACTGACTGCGCCATACACCTAAATTCAAGGTCATTGGCTGACTTGAGCATCTTGAGCTGTATAGTACCCGGGGCAACCGCAAGAGACCGCCACGTGTGCGCTCGCGATTACACTGAAGGTAAGTTACGCGTTCAGAGAAAAAAGAAAGTTCTCAAGGTCGTGACGACCGTTTGATGTAATTTGTTTCCCATTTGCCATCCCTCCCTGGTTGGCTTTTAGCGCACTCTTCGGGACGAGAAAAAAAAAAAGAAGGCTACTACGGCGTGCGACAGCTCCCTGCAATTCAGCTCGTACTTTACGGTTTCTAACCTTTTTGTTTGTGGCGATGCTATCAGGATAAAGTTGTTACTAACCAAGTTGATTTGGAAGGCAATAAACTTTCTAAATGAAGCCATGTGATCATTACTTAGAAAAGTGTTTCAGGACCCCTTTAAGGCACAGCCTACACAACGTAAATGCACGCCTATTGCGTCTTTTCGTTGGAGTATAACTGAAAAGCATTAAAGCAGTGGACGAACCATGTACAATCTCTATGTTGGTTGCGAAACTACTTTTTAAAAACTGCCCTGATGTGATTTTTCTGCATTACATCTGATATATGTTGTAAAGTAGCGATTAAAATAGACTCTTACCAAGTTGGCAGTCCTATTCGCGTAAAAATTTTAGACATTGAAAACTCGCTTTTTTAGGCGTAAAGCCTGATATAAACGACACATTTCAAACTTCAAGCATTTCAAACCTTGGTCTATATGGTGGCCCAACCAGTCAAATCGTCTTGTTTTTAAGGATGACAGTCTTTTGTGGGATACTTGAATGCAGAAGTTTTCGTTAGCCTCTATGTCTATTTGCCTGTCTGTTTAAAAACTACAGAGAAAACTACAAAGAGGCCATGCAGTGATGCTTATAGGCTTCCACAGATGGATTCGTATCTAAATGTGACATTATTTTGTAAAAATTTACACAGATATTTACACTAGAAGCCCGTGCCCCCGTTGTGGGGAAGTAGCTAGTTTAGAGCATATACGATGGCAATGTTCCTCATTACCGGGCAGTGATCAAGCAAACCTGGCTAAGTGGTGCTTTGCCATCGGAAGCCCAATAAGGGGAATCGGCTTTAAGTCGTCCAGAAAGCCCATGAAGCGGCGGTCGGGCTTAGCGATGCGGCGGTTGGAAAGGCCTACCGCGCGCTAGTCACTTCTTTCAAGACTCTAAATTGAAAAAGTTTTGCCATCCATGCATTCCTCGAATACTCGTCGAATATGGCCACCAAGTGAGCAAGGAATGCAAAAAGACAAACCAAGAAAATTTCCGAAAATCTGGCTTGAATCTCCATGACTTCATGAACCGACCTATAGCTAACATGCATGCGGCATTCCTTGCGTTTCTAGAAGTATGCGGCTTTCGTCAGTTGCAGAGTATTTTAATAATGAACACAGAGCTCGGCCAAACCATTTCGTGAAGTCCTCTGTCATCCACTCGTCCGCAGTCTTTTGAAGCCGCTACTTGCTCGCTCTATCCTTCGCAAGTGCTGCTGTGGTCCAGTGGTTATGGTGCTTGACCGCTAACCAGAGGAGTATGGGATCGAATCCCGGTCGCGTCTCTCATAAACATATCGTTCTGCCCTTCTCTTTAGCTATGCCGGCCTGCACTGTGTCGTCATCAAAGGCTACTCCAAGAGCGCCGGCTATCAACCCGGTGTGCGGTTCGAGGACAACCGGTTCCGTAACTCTTGGAACGCCGTGTACGTAGCCGGAGCATGGCGGTTCGTGCAGTGCAACTGGGGTGCTCGCCACCTGGTCAACGCCAAGGAGGTGCCCAAGCCCGGCAGCAAGGGCAAGTCAGACTCCCTCCGCTACGAGTACGACGACCACTACTTCCTGACAGACGCCCGCGAGTTCATCTACGAGTTCTTTCCGCTCCAGCCTGAGTGGCAGCTGCTCAAGAGGCCCATCTCTCTGCGTGAGTTCGAGGAGCTTCCGTTCGTGAGGTCGCTCTTCTTCCGCTACGGACTGTACTTCCCGGACACTGACACCAAGGCCACCCTGTACACGGACAGCACAGGAGCGGCCACGGTTCGCATCGGCATGCCTGAGGACATGTCGCACAGTCTCATCTTCCATTACAACCTTAAGTTCTACGACAGCGACCGCGACTCGTTTGACGGCGTCAGCCTCAAGCGGTTCGTCATGCAGAGCATGGTGGGCAATGTGGTCGCCTTCAGGGTGCATGCGCCTTGCTCGGGCGCCCTCCTTCTGGATGTCTTTGCAAATGCTGTCACGCCGCGCGAATACCTCACGGGCGAGCCCATGAAGTTCAAGAGCGTGTGCAAGTTCAAGATCGTTTGCGAGGACCTGCAGACAGTCATGGTCCCGCTGCCGGATTGTGCGTCCGGAGAGTGGGGTCCCATGAAGGCAACGCGCCTTTTCGGTCTCGTTCCGGAGTCTCACGAGGACGCCCTTATCTTCTCGTCCCGGGAACTAGAGGTGCGTTTCCGCATGACCCGACCCCTAACCGACTTCATGGCGACGCTGCACAAGAACGGCGTTGAGGAGAAGAAGCTCTCCAAGTTCGTCTCGCACACTGTCCACGAGGACCTGGTCACTTTCTTCTTGGCTTTTCCGGACGACGGCCAGTACGGCATGGACATCTACACGAGGGAGATGAACGGCGAGATAGAGACCGGAGAGAAGCACTTGCTGACCCACTGCTGCAAGTATCTCATCAACGTCTCCAAATTATCTTCAAAATAAAGAATGTCTGCCTTGAGCCACCGGTACTGAGGCCGCCATAGCCAACCTCGAAATGAGTCTACATCGTGCAGCTATGCACAAAGGCTTCAAGAAAGCTGTCGGCGTTCAAGTTCATGCGATCAACGGTAAATTACCTACTCCAGGACTTGGCCTCCGACTTCTGTGCACAGAACGACTCACCAAGTCGAAGGCAGTTGCTGCCATCAGCGTCAGGATGACTGGCGTTACTGTCGATGACTGTTCCTGAGTGCCTGAAACATGCACATGTCAGTGGTCTTTGTGTATCACGTGACCATGCCTTGCGTCAGCGTGATCTGCTAGCTTTTTTGCACGTGCACACATATGGTTCGACGCTTCGGACTAATCGTGTTTCTAATGTGAACAACCATTTCAGAGTGCATTCCATTGGAGAGAGTGACTACTTCGTCGCCATGTCCATAAAGTGATTTACTTCTGCCTCTCTAATGTGACAAGTTCGAGCTTTTTTTGCAGAACATTTTCACCTCTTGCACGTCAGTGTGGATGTGTTGCTGTGTTCCACTGCTACTTATTTAAAATTTAATGCAGAGTGCCTATACTTCTTTTTTGTAAAAAATTCATATTATACTTCAGCTAGTTTACATAAAGATGCCTTTACCTTGTTTACATACATTCTTCCCTTGTATAGGCCGTTGCAATTCTTACATATTTTCTTTATCGACTTGTGCCTTATGATGTCAAAAAAAATATATGTCGATGATGCGCAGACCAAAATGTCAAACATCTAGTGTCCATGATGTGCCTTGATGACACTGGGTCAAATTCAGTGACACACTGCTTTTGTACTCCACAGTTTTTGTTTCATATTTATACGTTGTACTAACTCTGATATCTACACTGTAAGTTAATAAAGTTTAATATATTTTTACAGCCATGTTGTATTGAGCATGATGTCTTCAACAGTAAAAACATGCTTGCATCGACAACTGTGCTGCCAGTTTACGAGAAGACGCTATAGTACCAAGCGGGCGTTTGCAGGTGTTTCAAACCCCTGCATGTGGTGTTCTGGTTAACATGGACGGAGAAATTAAAGCTGCTCGTGGCAAAATGTTTCAACCGTGCTTCATTGATTGATATGCAGGGTTTACCATCCCAAAACCATCATGATTATGAGAGACGCCGTAGTGAAGGGCTCTAGAAATTTTGACCACCTGGGGTTCTTTAACGTGCACCCAAACCTGAGCACACGGGCCTGCAGCATTTTCGCCTCCATCGAAAAAGCCTGTGGTTCAGCAGCCGAGTACCTTAGCCACTAGACCACCGCGGCGGCCAACCGTGCTTCAGCACGTTGGAAAATACAGGGCCGCTTAATACGAAAGGCGGAAATCTCTCTATCCCTGACTGAACGTCGTATAGAAAAATGAGCAATAGACTTATCTTAAAGTTAGCCGTTTCAATCACGCTAAAAGAAACGCAAAAAAAAAACCGCTTTCGTGCAGCTGTACGCAACAGCAATGCATAGATATTCTGTAGGTGTAGGAAATGTTTTCGCTTCAAACTGCTGGCAAAGTTCTTAGTGGCCATGCTGGAACGGTTCTTGTATTGGGCTGACCCGATTAAAAAAAAAAATACACGCTGCAAAGCCGGTGAAAAGAAAATGCCATGCGACAAGTAATTCATACGAGGCAGGAGTTTTGGGTTAGATGGTATCCAGAAGAGACTAAACAACATCGAATGCGAGGTTTCGTTGGAGCCCACATTTCGATGAAGGGTGTTGCCTTTCTCGATGCAGTAAACATGTATACATACCTTGGTGTGCGTATTTGCACTCTTCGCACGTCCCTCTCCCCCAACAAATGAAAACGATAGATGAGAGGGCGAGTGCGTAAACTGGTGAGGGGAGAATATCCGGCGTGCCGAATCGGATAAGAGCACACGCAATTCAAGGGGAACACTGAAGAAACGAGGATGACCGCGCAGCGCCGCACCTCTATCGAGCTCGACACCGTCAGTTCGAAACTACTTTGACTTTTTTATGAGCTCTTCATTGACGGTAAGGGCATAGAACACCTACCAGTGTATGGCGTCGAACTCGGTAAGCGTCGGCAGTGATTTTGTCGTCCGCGATCGCCGACGTTAGCGTAGCTCTCGCCGATCGGCTTGCCGTCCGCGATTTTCTGACGCCGTGCAGCTCTCTCGCCGAGCGGTGCCCCGTTTTCGGACTCCTTCGACCGTGTCTCTAATCTCTCCTTTCTGTCGCTCCTGTGCGGCGAGTGCTGTCTTCATCTCTCTAGTATTCTTTTTACGCCCTTCTCCCGTCGCTTACAAAGAGCCATGTTGCCAGATTAGGCAGACGAAACTTAGCTCCTTTCTTCAAGAACCACACTACGCGCGCACGTACAGCAGCTCGGATGACGTCATACACCAGGACGAGCGAACATCGCCGACAAACGTGCTGTTAAGAGCCCCGTTCTGCTATCTCGGCCGTTCCATCTGCCTGTGCCCTAATGCTCCAGTAGAATATGCGCCGCCATCTTTTCATGTATAAAAAAAGGCCATTATTTCGAACTTCACATGACAGAAAACACAGGTCCACACTAACCAAACGCCAGATTATCAAGTTAAGGAAACAAGCGTCTGTTCCATCAGCCCACCTTTTCATTTGCTTGTTTATTAGGTGTTGTCTGTACTTATTTTGAATAAGTGCAGTATGCAAGAGCGCGCAATGCTATGTCACACCGCGACTTCGTTCTCATGCGACCGCAGTGCTAGAAAGTGCTCAGCACACCTCCCTTAAGTACAGTCACCTCAACCACGCGACGACACACAAGGACACACATGACACACAGGGGAGATTCGAGAGTAAATCTTTTTTTCTGTGTCGACAACACATGCGGTAAAAAAAGTGCTGGACAGAGCGACGTGGACAAGTGTAAACGATACATAGGAATAACTTATTATTCGAAGCAAAACGCAGATTTCGCGCGATAATTTAGCAGTCCCCGTAAAGGTAAACGTCGCGCCTGAAACGCGCAGGAAGGGCGCGATGATTCCTGCAACCGATCGTGCTTGGGGCTCGCTTGGATCGCCGCTTCCGTGAACGGCTTCCGGTCGTCGCTGGTAGAGCGAAACCGTTGATGGTAGAATCACTAATTCTAGAGATTGCCCGGAGCGTCGAAACCGCTGATAGGACCGGCAGCACCGTTCTCGAAGAACATGAAGTCCTGCGCAGAATCAAAATGCCACTCAGTTTATAATGGTGCTTTAGGTTGGTTTTTTTTTTTTCGAGACGATAGAGATGAAAATAGACTCATTTTTTTATGCACATCACGTGTGACGCGCATCGATGAACTTAAATGACCAGCCCGTTTGAATAACGTATACGCTTTTCAGATGGGCTGGTCATTTAAATCCAATAATTCCAATAATCCAATAGCTCCGCATGTTTCCATATCAAATCCATGTTTTCCGTATATTTACCATATACTTTCCATATATTTCCGTAAGATTTTTACGGAAACATACGGGATTATTAGGCATCGCATACGGAACGTTTCAGTAGGGTATACTGAAATACAAACGCACGCACACAGGCGCACGCTGCTGTCGGCGCGCAGCCATAAAAAAGATTAGAAGAACCGAGGGTCGGGTGACTTAGTATTCCACCGTGGATAATTTTTCGCGCAAAAAAAAAAAGGAAAAAAAATGGACAAGAAGTCTGTGCTCTCTCCCTTGTCCATTTTTGGTGCAAAATGTCAACTACTGTAGCACGTTCGCTTGCTGCGACTGTTTACGCCTCATATAGATGTCGGACTCTGCCCAGGTGGCACTGCACGCGAAAAAAAAAAAAAACACCACCAGCGCCTTCGTCGCAGCCTTGGTGCTAACTGGGTAGTGCAAAGAAAGCTGTCCGCAAGTGAATATGCGTATGCCACTATAGATAACCCGCCCTCTTTTTTTTTTTTTTTTTTTCAAGAGCAAAGCTCCTTTAGTACGGCCGTCGCCGTCGAAGCTCCATGCACCGGGCAAGCGCGCCGAGCAAAACCACAGAACACCTGCAAAGCAACTGGTGCGCGCTCCCGGTTGATGGCTCGCGCTGCGCTGCACTGCGCTGCACACTCTCTCGCTCAGTCGTTCCTGCCACCCAGCGCCGCAAACGCTCTCCCCATCCGCTCCCCACTCTACAGACTTCACGACAACCAGCAGGGAAATCAGGCGCATAATCGATTACGTCCCATTTCTTAGTAGCTTCGCTCATTGGCTGTGTTCGTACTCCGGAACAATTGCTAGTTTTTTTTATTTTGTGCCGAGGCCCGGTATAGAAAAAAATTAAGGTCTTGCAGAGGTTGTTACGCCAATCAATGCTTCATAAAGGCGGGAAGTTCATCAAGGCGAACTGCAAGTGCAATGCAAAGGGTTGCTTGGAAGGTAGTTGGGTGAAAACTTCATTTTTTTTTCCCTTTGAAAGGAAAGGGGCAAACGATTAATTAGAAGCTTCGATATTGCGGTGCGCTGCAACTTGCGGTGCTCACTGCAAGCACAAGTGAGCATCGAGCTTTGCCCTTCGGCATCCGTTCTATAGCGCCTGAATGCGTTAAATTTTGGCGCATGCATAATGTAAAAAAGTGATGAAGTATACAAACAGGATCAATTTAGCTATTTTCCGTACGAAACGCCATCGGAGAAGACGATAGTTATAGCGCGAAAACAGAACGACGACCAAGGGACAAGAAGGAGACGAGCGCTTGTCTCCTCCTTGTCCCTTTGTCGTAGTGCTGTTCTCGCGCTATAACTATCGTCATGTCATACCAACTAGCCCAAACCGCCACACCTCTAAGCCATCGCAGAGCTGACTCGGGATTTCACCAGTCAGGTGCAAGCGCAAGTATTTCAAATCTAGCGACGCCTTCCCCACATCACATGATCACGCTAGCCAATCGTAATAAACTCGCACGTATAGACTTATAGTTTTATTCTGTATAGGTATACCTCTAGTCCGCACCACCGGGTGGCAAGTTGCTTACACTTGGTGTAATACTCGATGATATACTCAGCGTGAGTATAAAATAGCTTCGCTGCACGAGCACCTTCACGGAGTAGGTAGGCTGACGAATTTATGACATATTTCTAGTTATGAATAAAATAGGCAAATAATTATCACTAGTTAACCTAATAACATGACAACACAAATTATCTGTATTCGCGTCGTTACCCCTAACAAAGCGCCGTTGCTTGCACCTTCATATCCCCAGAGTACCCCCTTCCCCCCGCATATACGTCAATACAAAGTGTTGAAAAACTATGGTATCTCACTGCGCTCTTTTATTAACTTGGCCCGAGGTAGCTGGGACAAATACGGTGTGTGGGTTGTGTGCGTAGTATGTGTGGGTGATTTTTTTTTTCAGCTGGCCCCATCTTTTTTTCATCTTCAGTGAAAGATCCACAAAACCGTAACGCACTACGCACAGTGAAATAGACGAAATACTATATGCTAGCAACTCATCAGCATTAATTCACTACTTTGTTAGAACACGCCATGGTGCTCTAGGGGCTAAGGTACTCGGCTGCTGACCCGCAGGTGAAAGGATTCAGTCCTGGCTGCGTCGGCCCCATTTTCAATGGAGACGAAAATGCTTGAGACTTGTGTGATTAGATGTATGGGTCCAGGTCAAAGAACCCCAGGTGGTCGAAATTTCCGGAGCTCTCCACTGCGGCATCTCCCATAACTTCGTATGGTAATTTGGGGACGTTAAACCTTAATTATTATCATTAATAATTACTACCTTGTTTGCACGCACACATTCGAACCTTTGTGATAACAATACCCACAATCAAGAAGACAGCGCCGAGCAACACGGCCTTCATCTTGACGTCCAGATCGATGGGGAACGCCAGCGTGAAGTTGTCGATGTCGGTGAAGGCCTCGCGAAGAAGTCCCGACCAGTTCTTCGTTATCTGGCCGATCTTTGTCTTGCCGTCCCTGGTGGTGACGTCGAAGACGATGTCGTTGCACACCAGGGCCGTCGTGCAGAAGGGCCCCTGGATCTGGAGCACCACGTTCTTGTCGCTGTCCAGCACCGAGAACAGCGGGAAGATGACGGTGCAGTCCTGGCGCAGCCAACCGATGACGGTGCCCGGCGGAGCGCAGATCTCCATCTCCTGCGCGCGCAGCACGTTTCAGTTCCAATCTGATGCAGGATGGCGCACATATGACTCATGCAACAGCGTAAAAAAATGCAAAGGATAATGATGGAGAGAGAGAGAGAGACAGTGATCCGCCATAGTGCCTAGTGGTGACGACGCTCAACTGCAGACGCAAACATCTCGCTATCCAATCCCGGTCACATTGAGACTGCGGTGAAATTCCAGAGGCCCGTGTACTTAAATCTAGATGCACCAGACGGTAAAAATTTTCTGGAGTCCTCCATTACGGCGTTCCTCATAACCATATCGAGGTTTTGGGGTGCAAAACCCCGGAAGTTATTAATTACAGGAAGAAAGTGCAACTTTTTCGAGATGTTACGTGAATTGCGGTGGACCAACTATACCAGGAAGCAACCATTGTTGACATGCATACATGATTGTACCTGATGACATGCACCGTCCGAGAATCTTTCTTTTCCTAGACGAATGTGTCGTCTTTCGTAACAACATGGGCAATTCTGACTCGTGGGATTGAATCCCGGCCATGGCAGCCGCATTTTAGGCGGCAAATAGATACGAGCCCGTCTGCGTAGATTCGCGTGCACGTTGAAGATCCCCATGCAGTCAAAACTAACACGGGGCCTCTCTCACTAAGGCGTGCCTCACTGATATTGTGAATTTGGCGTAAACTCCAGAAATTATTATTATACTGTACTCGCAGCTCTATAGAATAATTATTCTCGATACCATTGGTCAATGCACAAGGGGGCAAGGTAGAGTGCAGCTGCCCACCCCCTCACTTTTAATATATGCTAAGAGGTGTGCGAGTTCTGCCCGATGCTTTTACTCAGCATATGACCTGCGCCCCGTGATTGCTCAAAGTGCTGGTTTGTCCATGCAGTCTTTTTTTTTTTACGACAATGACAGCCTGATGCTGCATTCCAAGAACTGTTTAATGTCTGGGCCTAAGAGCAGGTCGTTCGTTGTGACAAGCGCGTCATCACATGAGTTCGAATTTTAAGACTCCCCCCCCCCCCCACTCATCTCGCCCACCACCGTGGGAGGGGGGGATGAGCAGGCGTTTTTAGAATAGTCCGCTTGACAACGCTGTGTTTCAGTCCAAACAATCTTCAAACGCATCACCCAGAAAGCTCGCCCTCGGAGAAAGTTTGCATACCCTCAATGAGAAAGCATATCCCTTCCTATTTGAGGCATAGTTTCACTAAGAGACGGAACTCTTGCGCTCGTGTCTGTGGGAGCTGCAACGCACGGTGCTTCACAGACAGCATGAGAATGATGGGTAGTGCACAAGTTTGTCTAACATTTGTACTTTTGGCTTCGCTTGGCTTGCAGCTGCTTTGTCACGAAGCGATGGTAAGCAAATATTCACCAGTTGCACTTCACCACGTTAACATTTTAGGCTTATCAATTGAAATCGGCTTAAGAAGTATGCGGTGGTCTGTTTTTTTTTTTATTGGAAACAATACCAAAACCCAGCAACATAAACGAAGGCTCGAATGCGTTCGAAGGCCACAAGCACGATGACCTTGGCAAACTTTTCCACTACCCATAATGCCCATGGCGAACTGTCGCAGCGCCACGGTTCCGTCTAGTCAGTTTTAGGGAAACCCCACGCCTTTGAGGCATACCAGACGCCAGTAATGCCATCGGCGCGTACCTGCAAGCAACAGAAGCAACAACAGGAATCGCAGCGCAGCGGCCGGAACAGCCGCATCACTTCGATGTCGCGGTAGTCGTTGAGCGACATCTCGAAAGGACGATTGCTGCCGCAGCAGCAGCGGGTGGCCAGGTCGCACTCCTCGACAGCCGTGAAGACGAACTGGGACATGGTGTTCTTCACGACGTACCTGTTCCGCTGCTCGTACGGAACGAAGACTGCGCGCGTCGGTGTACAGTAGAATTCAGAAATTTCAGGGCTCAGTAATGGCTTCATTTCGTAGTTAAGTGAGTTACGAATTCTATGTATACAGAAGGAGGTCCCATAGTCGGAGACTGAATTTGAACCTCCTACAATAGTGAATACAGAAAAAATTTAATTAGTGTAGCAAAACAGAGTACAGAAGATAAGCAAAAAAAAAAAAAACATCGCAAGCTGGAAAAGGGTCAATTTAAGAAAAATAACAGGAGAAAGCAGAAAAAAAGACAAAGGCCAAAAGTAGACAACATACAAAATAAAAAGATGTAACACTCGTAATTTAGACCAAATTCCAAAATCAGACAATATAAAAATTAAAGGTAACTCAGCACTCCCAAAATGATGTGAAATTCCAAAATAAGACAACATAAAAAATGATGGTAATTGAGCACTCCGAGGCAGTTTTCAGATGAATGCAGTGTGAAAGGCAATGAAAAATACACAATAAACGGAAAGGGAAAAGAAATGTGGCATTTAATTTAGGCAATGAATGATGATGATGCGATGCTTCTACGTATGTAGTGAAGAGGCGATGAGGTCGTCAAAAGGCCGGCACCTCAGTTCCTAGCTTTTATTACTTCTGAAAGATAAGCCCGTGCACTGAAGAGGTACGCACAGACGAATACTCACAAGAACACAAGACAGACACGGCTAAACGTTCAAGTCTGTTCTTGTGTTATTTCTAGGCGAAGGCCTTCAATGCCTCATCAAACATGACAGTTGACCGTCGGCTTTCAGCCATAGCTATGAAAAAAAAAAGCATCATAGGATGGTCTCAAGATCGTCAAAGCTTGCGACATCCCCGTGACGACATCATGACGTTCCTGTGGCTTCTCATAATGTGACGTCACATTACGAAGTCATCACACGACATCATCGCTCGATCAAAGGTGTACCGATCACCGAGGCAATGCCAGACCATATAGGTCAGGTGCACAAATCCTTCAATACATCCGATCCGGGAGGTAATGTGAAATTGCGTTGAGAGAAAGCTTAAGAAAGTGTGCACGGAAGGATCAGCACATCGTCTGAGAAGAAAAAGAATTAAGTGGTTTTCACATTTGAGTCACCTTCGGCTAATGCGCTAGGAACCCTGTGAGTGTTTCGCGTGTGTGCATCTTTGCAGCGCATCACTATCGCTCAATATCAACTAACCTCAGCTCGGAACTTTCTGTACGTCATCCATTATTTCAATTGCATCGTCGCCGTTCTTGCACGGTGCGTTTTCCTGAAACTTTGATATGGTAACTAGATATGCACAAGTCCAACAAACGTTCGAGATCAATGTTCAGCTTTCGTTCTATTCAGTAAGGCAACGGCATGCAGTTGTATCGTCAGCGTCTAAAGAGGACTAACAGAATTGATAAAGCAGTCGAAGATAAAGCAGTAGTCGGTATAAATCTTATACCAACGTCACACGGTTAATGATTCGATCGCGATAAGGGTTAGACTCGATTCGATCAGGTATTGTCACGCGGTAATTTTTAATCGTGATCATGCCGTATCATGGTGGGTTCGATGGGGATAAAGAGTATCGCGATTTGAGTGAAGTCTGCGCCAAACTGCGTCCGGGTCAGGTTGGGCCGAGTAGCAGCACGGTTACGAACAGAAAAGCTCCAGGTGAGTTTAGTAAAACACTTGGGAGTTTTCGCGCGAAATACAAATGGAATGTTACCTTGGGCTAATTTCTGGTTAAAATAACCACACTCTGAGCTACGTCTGTCACAAATAAGTGGAGGCATGGGCAGTGGAGGCGTCTGCCTTGGGGGTTGTTATATCGTGGCCTGGGTCGATGAAGCAGAGCAGCTTGGGTGCAGCAAGTGCAGCCATGGCTTGACGGGGGCGAGTGACCTATAGCACCCAACATGGCGACGGGTATGATTGGAGTTCGCCCAGTGACTATGCTTCCACTCCTCTTGTAAATAGCCCCTGCAGTCAATTTCACTTCCGTACCCTGGTCTCCATAAGATCTGCAACCAACTGTATGTTTACTAGAAGTTGTCGTGGATTTAGAGTATACTTGGTATTCTACTATGGTAGGGCATAGACCGTCCCGTGGGCCTGACACTCGATGAGGCCCTGTCGTCAGAAATCAGTCGTAAGGACTCCACGACATTGACGTCGTCTTCACAATCGTGACGTTGAGCCATTATCTAATCTTGAAACTTTCAACAACCTCCGGGGTGTCGCGGATCTCTTGGTCACTAATGGGCATGACCGTTATCGGGGTCGCTGGTATCCAATACTCTAATTCGATCCGGTACACTATGAAGCTGTTAGCTTAAGTGAGCATCGGTCTGTTAGGGTGAGGTGCTCATACAGAGAGCAATTCTCTTAACCCAAGTTCTCCGTAACGAAACGTTCGCGTACTTTCCAAGAGCTGAAGCTGCTGGTGCACAAGTAGCTGGTCGACGCACGTCAGGTACTCGAGTCCAGGCGGGCAGCCAGGGACCGGTTCCACCTCGGGAATCGCCGCCCCTTTCACCGGCATCTGCACGAACGGACCACGTGTTCTCGCGGTCCCAACGGCTGCATTTTGTGCGGTCACTACAGAGGGCATGACCACTAAGGCTGGCCTCGCCGACGCTGCACCGGTCATCGGGATCACAGGCACCGCAGGTGACGGCACCGGAGCATTGGGTCTCACAGAGGGCGCTGTAACCGCAGCCTCTCTCGGTGACGTCCTTGGCGCCATGGGTCTGAATGGTGGAGCCACTGGTCGCTTTGGCTGCATCGTCGATTCGGTGAGACCTCGTCTGCCCTTAGCTTATAGCTCTTGGCCCCACCGTGGATACGCGGTTCTCTTGAAAAAGAAACGGCGGCATCAACATACGACGTGCAAACGCGTCTTTACAAACAATAAGGCATAAATTATCACGGAAAGTTTGATGCGACGAAAAATGTGGGACGTTGACTCCAGCGATCATTCCGTCTTCACGAATTTTTCATCTCTGCACGTTGAAGTGAATTAGAAATGCATCCCTGATTATTCAGAAAAAAACTCACTTTGGTTGCTACTAATTCGAAGAAATCATAGGACCGGTGACGCGCCATTTAGAGAGGGAGCTGCAACCGCCCATTGTACGAGCTCAGCACAGTTGGCTTACAACGCCACTCCCCCCGACAGCCGGTAACAAAGTCACAGGCGCGAACGCGAGTGCCAGTTCCCAACGGTAGCGTTCAGAGCCAACTGCTGCCTTCGGCTTGGAGAACCCCGGACCAGCACAAGACGATGATGATGATGATCCTTGAATGATTGACCCTCTTGGAGGGATCTGCCAAGAGTTTGGCGGATCATACAGACCTGATTTTATTATTAATACTTTTAAGTGCTAATGGAGGTTACAGATGCAATGGTAATGAAGAGTTAATTATGATGGATCCTTATTCCTAAGCCAGGGAAGCCCCCTAACTTAGACAACCCTCACATCATTTATCGGCAAGGTTGCAGAACACGCCATACCGAAGCGAAACAGGTTGAAGGGTTATCTTTCTGGCTTTTCCATAAAAATTTTGTCATATCGAGCAACCTTTGAAACCAGAATACTCAAAGGCGTCGAGTTCAGTTTGTTGCCGTCAAATAAAGAAGACGTGCACTTGTACTTGCTGCGGCGGAAAAGATTCGTCGCTAAGATATCCTGGGCGACAAAACAAAGTAGCAGAAGTTGTACATAGTACTAATAATCAATGTTTTATGGCCCAAAACGACGAAATGATTGCGAGACACGCCGTGGTCGAGTGCTCCGGAACTTTCCCCATCTAGGTTTTTTTTTTTTTTTATGTGCACCTTTCTAAGCACGCGCACCACTAAAGCGTTTCGCCTTTGTGGCAATGCGACTGAGTTTCGATCCCGTGACCTTCGGTCAACAATCGAGCAGTAGTTGCCCATCCAGGTGGGTCCAGGCAACACAGATGTCGCGCAAAGCACGAGCGGTGAGCACCAGCGGTGAAATCTATAGTGTTGGGTAAAACGCGTGGGCTCATTAGTTGACCGTGCCATGACTCCGCAATCTTTGCATTGTGTGCACTCGAACTTGGCGTTCGCCATAGCAGGCGTTGTATCTGCAATCCGATTGAAAAGAATATTCGACCCTACGGAATCGTCCAAAATCATAACCAAAATAATGAAGCGTGAAAACTTGGGCAAGTTGGTAGCTGGGACATGACTAAATGTAGTAGTTACACAACGTTCTTTCCTGTTCTTGTTTCTTGCTTCCGTAGTTACGCTGTAACTACTACTTGGTTGCGCTGTTCGCACATTCAGTCATAACCAAAAGATTGGTGGTTCGAATGACAGGGGGGGGGGGGGGAGTGATTTTAAAAGAAAAGAAGAGAAACGTGAGTCCCGTAACTGTCTCTCAGGGGGAGGACACCTGAACAGTAGCTCACAAGGGGTGGAGGTGAAGGAGGGTTTAAAAGGATAGGATTAAAAGGTAAAGAGATAGAGAGAGAGAGGAAAAGAGAGTGGGGCGCAGGGACAGCGAACGAAGGAAGTAAGGAGAAGATAGGAAAGACGGACACGGTCGCAAGAGTCCGAGGACGGGGCACCACTCGGCGAGAGCTCTTGTCGGCGACAGGAGATGGCGTAGGGCTAATTCAGTCGGCCAGAGCTGCGCTGTCGTCGGAGATCGCGAGGGCACAACTGGTCGGCACGGAATCCAGCGAGCGACTGGGTGAACGGCCACGTGGAGCGGTGCTCTATGTTTCCGTCGCCGGCGCGATGACGAAGCCCCGCCCCAACAAGAAGGACCAATAAAATATCTTCACAGAATGGTAAATCTGCACGTGTTTTATAACCACACATTTATTCGTCGCCGAGCTTCGTGCGGTCGTCGCTTTGCCCGCTGGCACAGGCACAACAGCGGCAAAAAAAGACCGCTCAGCATCACAAAATCTATTTATGTGGTTGTCATGGTAACCAGCCCGACGAAAATGCTTACCTTGAATTCAGTGCGTTGCAAAATAATATCAACACCGTGTTCGTGGCGTACTAGTTGATTAGATTGATATGCGGGGTTTCACGTCCCAAAACCACCCATATGATTATCGGAGACACCGTTGTGGAGGGCTCCGGAAATTTCGACCACCTGGGCCTACAGCATTTTCGCCTCCATCGAAAATGCAGCCAGGATTCGATCCCATGACCTGCGCGGTGTACTAGTGAACAGCTAAAGATTTTACTCTTTGCTAACACAACCATTACACGGCAGGCAAATAATTGTTTAAACTGTTTGATGCGAAATGCTCGTTTCGAGACCTGGCGTAGCTCTGTGGTAAAATGCTTCATTGCCACGCAGAATGCTCGGGTTTGAAATGCCCACTTTGTTTCTCTAGATTTAGGCGCGACTAGGGGATCAATCCGTCTGCACTGCACAAAAAGCGTGCTGCTGTTCACGCTATTGCATTGCCGCTGTCGCCCAATTGTACACTGGTCCGTTCCGCCTGCGGTACGCTTTCTTGACCTGATGGTGACGCGACAGGACGTTCGACAGCTTTGCGAATGATGCCTAACACTGCACCGCAACTGGAAAGCCGTTTTGGCCAGCACGGCAGCATGAAGTGCATCAACGCGTGTGACGGAGCAGCGAGCACAACAATGACTGGGGGCGTTGCTTGGCATTTGGCGGCACTGACAGTAAACGCGTCGTTTGAGTTCGTCGGACCGTGCTGCCAATGGCCATACCATGCTGAATGCGCCGGTTCTCGTCCAGTTCGTCCGTGCTACATTTCAAGGGGACCGACGTTTGCAGCCCGATTCTTCGACGGACCACATTGCTGTGTATACGCTGCTCTAACTGCTGTATTACGTGACCGCCGTCTGTGCCAACGCTTGAGTGCGACGAACCCTGCATCGCAACTTGAAAGTCATCCCCGGCCATTGGGACAGCTTGGTGCATCAACGCACGTGACCGAGCGGCGAGCACAACTCTGACTGGGAGGCGTTGCAATTGGAATCTGGAGGGAGCAGCACTGGTATTAAACACGTCGTTTGAGTTCTTCCTTGCCATACTTTGAGGTTAGTTACCTTCTCTTGTGATTTGTGTTACTGCACGCTGCCGCTATTGGGTCTCACGTTTGGTTATTCGAACTATGACCGAGGTGGTCGTGTATGTAGACTCCTGCTTCCAGAAAATGGGCTTTCATAACCCTTGTCGAGTGCAAGTTTCATTTTGGTGAATGCTCAGTAGTGTCGGAGGAGCAGTTTAGCTCTAGGTGGGACGGCACTAAAAAAGTTGGAAATGTTACCTGTAAGTGAGACAATAACAGAAGCGGAACTGCCGTGGAAGGATCCAAATATGAAAAAAAAAACGCTGTGCACGCGCATGCTTGCAATTGAAAACAAGCTTGAGTCTCTCTTTAGCCTTTCCGGGAAAAAAATTCAGACAATTGAAAAATGCATTCAAGTGGTATAAGACAAGTTTGACCTATTTCAAAACTGTCTACCGACCCAAGAACAATCAACCAAACAACTTGAAAAATGGGTTCGCAACCCTGAAAAGGCCAGCTCCAAGCATATGGAATCAACTCAGGCTAGATGGGGATAGCTTGTAATGGCGTAGCCGACGTCTGAACAAAGAAGTGCATGGTGTACAGGAAAGTGAAAACTTATTGGAAAAGTTGAAAGGCATTGAGGACAAGGTTCATCAACTGCAGATTCCGATGGAAGATGTCACAGCTGTGCATAGACTTGCCGCGAAACCAGAGAAGGAGCTTGGGATTACTGTTCGCTTTAGAAGGCAGGAACAGCGTTACGCATGGCTCCAAAAAAAAAAAAAAACGTAGCATATCCCCAAAGTGAATGATGATGAGTGGGGCGAAGCATCCGTCCGTGCTTCCGACTGTCCATCCATCTGTCTGTCCGTCCGTCAACTACACGAAATCGTCAACTATCGACTAAAACCACTAACGCCATTTTGTGAAGTTATTTCCAAGGACGTATACACACAACGCCATCTATTGTATGATAGGAGAGACGCTACTGGGTCGGCCGGAGGGACGAGGGATTGCCCTAGACCACAAGAAGCTTTGCCCCGAAACATCATACACCATTTCAATAAAGTGGAATGCTTGGCCAGTTGGTACAACATAATGTGGAAATATTTGAGCGCAAATATAAAGGCACTTGACAGGATGAGCGTCTTTCCTGTCAAGTGCCTTTTTCTTCTACCTTGTGCGCTCATATATTTCCACACTATCTCCCACTAAATGAAACCATGAGTAGCATGCGAATCAGCGTCGATTCTTGCAAGCGGAGCACACCACGAGTGCACTACATTTATATTCTGTTGCTGCTACTCGTCCCGAACTCTTGTTGGAGTGCACGCCACGCCGTTGCATCTCCACGCGACGCGGGAGCACGTAGGTGCATCGCACGTCTGCAGTCACGTGATTGCTGTGAGAATGTAAGGGGGGGGGGGGGAGGCCACACACAGCCTCAGCCACTTACGCAGGCCTCAATGCACTAGCGCGTTCTGGTAGTGCTTGGGCCAGCTGTTGCGCGTGCGCAGTACGTTGCGCACACCTGATTGAACTTCGCCATGAGCTGCTTTGCATCTAAAAGAATTAATGAAAGAAAATGGCGGAGTGCTCGTCTGTGAGGGGCCTGTCTCGCGAACTATTGTCTGCAACTGAGAATTGGGCAAAAAAGCGCTGGATAAACGTTTTCCTGGTACAAAAATGGAAAGCTAATCGCGCGAAATAGGAGTGGTGAACGTGCAGTGGTAATCCGAAATGAGCGCGATTTAGCAGGCTTGACGCAATCCGTTAAGCGCTTTCGTAACTTCGTCAGAACTGTTTCTTTTTTTATGTAACGAAGTATTTTTGTGCCAGATGCGACTATACGAGTTTTCAGTGTATATATAATATCTATATTCTTTTAACTGCGAAAGCTGTTATGAAATCAAAACTCGGATCAAGTGCGGCGCCGTAGTTGTCCGCCACCGCCGGTGTCCGCAACCACTATCGCGAGATAAAGGGGGGGGGGGAGAACCCAGTACCAAAGACCCAGTGGGGCTTGAACCCGGGTCCGCTGCGTGCCAACCCAGTATTCTACCACTGAGCCACGCCGTTTTTTTTTTCTTTAATAAACTGAGCCACGCCGGTGCTTCGGAATAGTTTGTGAACTTGCGTTAGGCGGGCTTGATGCCGGGAAGGGAATCGCGTTAATATGAGTAATAAAGCGTTTCAGAACAGCAAAAAAAAAAAAAAAACAACGAGGCGTCACCCAATGCGAACAGCGTAACGAGTGAATCGTCCAATGTTCCAACCCATTACAAAGGCTTGTTTTTGATCACCTTTCAACTGTGACGCATACCCACTTCAGGCACGACTCGCCGTCGTCGTCAGCCACTGCAGAAACAATTGACACAAAATTTGCAAGGATACAACGCTTCTCAGAAGAATGACGAAAAACAACATAGTGAATACTGGTCTACTACTCAGAAATAATATATTAATTCCGTAGTGGGTACCCAACAAGTGTGCTTGCAGCAGTGACCCAATGAGTGTTTAGAAAAGGCTCTGAAAGGCCGCTCTTCTAGCTTTCGCTGCGATTGTGCTGAGCCTTCCGCGCAGGCCTCTCATTTTTGTTCACATGCATATTTGAAATGCAATCTATTTAATCGTATAATTGTGTGAATTGTTCAAGTATCGCTCTTTAATTAGGTATTAAGTGTTCTTTCCCATTTTGTATGCAACATGCACCTCCCTTCCGTGATTTGCAAACCCCGAGGATTAAATAAATTAATAAAGAGTTTGGCATGACCAATACAAACTTAGCTATACATGTCGAACCCTAGACCTCCGCTGTCGTTTCCAGCCCCCCCCCCCCCTTTTTTTTTTCGTAAGCTAACTTATGCACAGTAATCGTACATATCAAAAATACAAGCCTACTGATGGAGATGGCTAACCGAATTCAGCAATCTGCAGATGACCATGCACAATGTTGTGGCTTCGACTCTCAGCAGTGGTAGCGGAATCGCATGTGCACTGCATGCGTTAATCAGGTGCGATATGGAAAAATTCATAGAATGAATACAATAATGCCAAACTGATTGTAAAGAACTGAGGTCACTGTGGCTCAAGATACACCATATACTGTATTGCGTCGCTATACGAATGCAGGTAGTACTTGTATTGCACTACTTCTGCAAGGTCGATTCAATCTGTCCCGGTTTTCCTTCGTCATTTATTGCTGATAATACCGCATAAATTCACGTCACACGTGTTTTGCACAAAATTATATTCACTTTGCGAACATGGATGCAGAACTTTATGTGCTATAGTAGAGGGGACATATAATGGTCTCCAGACATCACGACAAACCTTCAAACATGTCGAACACATTTTGAGGAAACCCGTAATCTACAAAAGAGCCATGGACGCGAAATGGCTGCAAAATATGTAAATAACTTTGTGTCTGAATTTCCTGCTGCTCTTGCTCAAGTTAGCAGCTTTATCGACAAAGTTATTATCGTTGCAAGACGCGCGCTAGAAAACGAAGAACAGTCGGCTTAATTGACTTGTCAATTGTAATGAAAAAACGCAGATTAGAGGCGTTCGCCCGCATCCAACCAACTGCCGACAGGGCCTGCGATGTCGGCCGCTTCGTTGAGCAGCCTTGGCTGGTTCTATAGACGCAGCACTATGGATCGCAGATCGCCGGACAACTGACTAATTGAAGACGTTGCCGGGAAGATCAGTACCACCGATGGGGCCACTCGCGCCGGTCTCAAAGTATATGAAATCCTGCACAGAAAAGTAATCACAAGTAACATTGTCACGATGCCGCGTTATCTAAAAAAAAATCACAGCAATCTCCCCCCTCCCCCCCGCGCCTTATGGTTAAGGATAACCTGGTAAGATTCAGAGGGGAGGCTGGGGGGCTTTGCTAGGGCGTGGGTCAAAATTGAAAGTGGGGGGGGGGGGGGGGAGCCGTTAAACTGGAAGAATGCACACCCGTGCTTCTAATGCAATGCTTTATTGAATATACATGTATGCAATGTTTTCATTCGCCCCACGTCACATAAGAAAAAAAAAATAAGCCTTGCATGTACTGCTAACCGCAAAATCCCTAGCGAGCCCCGTATAGCCCTACGTCAGGCGTATAGCCCTACGTCAGGCGAATAAAGAATAAAAGCATTGAATGAAAGAGTGAAAATGGTGAGAGGGGATATGAGGGCGAAACGAGGAGGGTGGCGCTCGCTCGGGATTTTGCGGTAAGCAATACATGGGAAGCCCCTTTTTTTTTATATAGTCAGCGTGAGAGAGATAAAAAGTCACACGGTTCCTTATGCATTCTCTCAGACGACTCGAAGTGAAAGCCTGCGTTATTTTACTTCATGGTAGGGTACATTGGTGCCCCAACACTGAAAGCTTCCGCAGCGAAACCTGCAGAGCCTTCGAGATGCGCCTTCCTTCGACACAAGCAGCGATATCGTGGGATGACGGCACCACGTGACGTCACCGGGACGCGACGCAAAAAAGTGAGCTTCGGCCACGGTGGCTTCGGCGTTGGCGTCAGCACGAGTGATGCGAAAAATAATTGCGTGATGACGTCGCAATATGACGTCAGTTTGACCTCACCTGATACCGCTATTACATGACTTAATCCCCCGGTCTTAAAATGACACTGAATAACAAAACGCATTTTCGCGTATTAATAAAGTACGATTTCGCAATCCCGAAAGCACGACTCTAACCGCGACTCGACACTTGGTAAGCGAGCAAATGCGCGAAAAGAAACTGCGGGTGGAGACGCCACCTTGAGATTCCCGCAAGAAACAATGTGACGTCATCAATTTTTGATGGCGTCTACTGGGTCCTACGTATAGCTTCGAATCGATAAAACTGGAGTACACTGAAATCTGTGGGTGCCATAGACTTTGAACACAAAGTCTCGGAAAATTTCCTCTAGCCAATGTCGCGAACACACGAAAAATACATCGTGCAACTTCTTACGTCCCGCGCCAAGATTACGGCGCGAAGTTTCCAAATGAAACTTCAACCTTGATTTTCTCCGCTAATAACAAACTTATGACAGTGGAACTTATGACATTATAGTTCTTAGAGTGCAGTTAATCACTCTAAAACAACTAATTACTGTCCATTTAAAGTAAGCTGATCACGGAGGCTGTTTAAAAGCAGGTGAGGTGCAGAAAGACTCGGGGGGGTGGGGTATCAATACAATTGACAGAGAAGGAAAAGATGGCTTTCGTCTCCGTGTTTTCAAGGGTGAATGTATCAAGGGCCATGCGCTTAGGCGCGCGCAGGGTTATCTATAAGGGGGAGGGGGGGGGGCAAAGATTCTCGCAGCGACCCCCCTTCCTTTTACTTCAGTGTATAGGGATGACCGTGCGAGTTTTGCTTATACGATACTCACAATCAAGAAGGCCGCGCCGAGCAGCACGGCCTTCATCCGGACGTCCAGGTCGATGGGGAAGACCACCGTGAAGTTGTCGATGTCGGTGAAGGCCTCGCGAAGAAGTCCCGACCAGTTCTTCGTTATCTGGCCGATCTTCGTCTTGCCGTCCCTGGTGGTGATGTCGAAGACGATGTCGTTGCACAGCGCGGCCGTCGTGCAGAAGGGCCCCTGGATCTGGAGCACCACGTTGCCCCTGCTGTCCAGCACCGAGAACAGCGGGAAGACGACGGTGCACTCTTGCCGCAGTGAGCCGATGATGGTGCCCGGAGGTGCGTGAACGTCCATCACCTGAACAGCTCCGTGCTTTGAGCTCGAATGACTGAGCAATTAATGCAGTAATACGTACGCACAGGTATGACGGAAGGGGGCAACATTTGTTATAGGTTATGTCCCCCATTTCCCCAACCAAGGAGCCTAACAATGCGCGCTGATCTTTCTATTATGCTGTTCTTGAACACTGATTCTAAAAGACTTGAATGTATACATTCGACAGATGTCTGTCTGGTTGGGTTGGTGAACTGGGAAACTATTTTAACTACAGCCGAGGTAAACTACGCGAAAATACTTAAGAACCCGACGTTTCGGAACCGCCTTGGTTCCTTCCTCAGGGGGAACTGTGGCGACGTTGCAGCGGAGTCTTGAAGGCACTCGCGGGGTGGTTAATGACAACCCCCCCACCCCACCCCCGCGTTTTGCCGCAGGGTGCAAGTCCGTGTGCATACACCGGGGGAAGGGTTCCCAGAGAACGGTTGATGTTTTGGGTCGTTCGCTTTATATGCCACGACACGAGTATAGTAGCCTTCTCCTCCAGTTAGTCGCGAGTTAGTCGCGAGACTAACTGGAGGAGCTCCGTCTATGCAGCTTACAGGAACAAAGCGTTATTAATTATGCTAGGTGATAAAATAAAGTGAGCACTCTTTAGTAACTAAAGTCACAAAACTTCATTCGGCTTGAAGCCGTGGGCAGCTGGCGAAATGTCCGCGGACCACGTGTTTCAGATCCCACGTATCTCGGGAATCGACGTAACGCGAAGCATGTGATTTGGAAAGGCGACTTTGTTGTAAGTAGCTAAACGTTACGAAATGACGTTAAAGAAATGTGCAAATGCTGTGGGCACGGACATATGCTCAACAGTGACGTAGGTTTTTATATAACCACGCAGTTGTTTACTCATACGTAACGACACCGACAGCAACACGAGTATTAGCAACATCGGAAGCGGTATAAGCTGATATGTAGCGCCATGTGCTCGCGAAGATGGTAGCCCACCTGCAGGCAGCAAAAGCATAGGCAGCTGTCGCAGCGAAGCGGCCGGTAGAGGCGCATCACTTCGACGCTGCGGTAGTCGAGCAGGGCCATCTCGAAGGGACGACAGCTGCCCAGACAGCAGCGGCTCGCCAGGTCGCTCTCTTCGTTCGCCATGAAAATGAACTGGCCCATGGTGTTCTTGACGACGTACTTGTTCTGTTGCTCGTACGGCACCAGCACTGCGAGCGCCGAAACGCACATATGTGTCCCAAACCGCATGCGACGGTGTCGCACTGCCAGGCGCAATCGGCAAGGCGATGCGATACGGTCGACATAACGATGATAATGATGTTGTGGTTTCGCTCTTTATCCCTTTGCGACACGGGGTTCGTGTATGGAGACGCGACTTACTTTTGCCATTTCTTAGAACTATTGCCAAGGAACAGACCGCAAACACCGATGTAAAGTAAATTGAGCATTGTCGTTATTGCCTAAACTTCTTTGATAAATTTTTTAATGAGAACTAACTTAGTTCTCATTAATATTGCGTCTAAAAAAATTGAGCCCTCGAGTTTCCACATCTTTCCTTGATATAACTTTTAAAACTTCAAGCTACCTTTTTTTTACGTTTTTAGGAATGCTCGCTGCCAGCAGATAACTATCGCATGCGATTTAAGTATGTCGTTGAATTCGGTTTATGATGAACCGTAGCACGATTGACGGCATGTGTCATAATTTTAGATAACTACTTACATTGCACATGGCATTCCCGCCGCATTTTTTTCTCTCATTTGTTTCTTTAATGAAACAGTTTCAAGCAATGGCTTGGCTCACTGTTTTTCAATTTCTTTCTTAAAATACGCCGTAATTTATTTCGCGTTCGCTCGCTAAATTTATCTTTGTTCTCCATAATCTTGATATATTAACCTCTTCACTACCACCGTCTACATTTGCGGACATGAGTTCTTAAGCAAATTACACAACACAAAACGGCTCAGTGTTATTGAAAACCCGCGAGTTTGTAGCCTGGATTGTTCTTTACCCATAATCCAAGAATGCGAAGCAGAAGTCAAATAATATTAGCGGCTCTGTGTACGAACATAACAAAACGCCGTGGACAGATAACGCGGCTTGAGGCTGCTTGGGCATAACTGCGGGTTCGTACATATTACGAAGAATGCAGCGCGACTTAAACGAAGACGCCGACTTACAAACGAGTGGTGAGTCGGCGCTCGTCTGTGTCCCATGTGCCCTATTGTCGTCGCCTAAGCCGCGCCGCATTCGTCGGTTCTTAATGACCCACAATTCTCCTTCATACTTAGGCGTTCACACTAAGAATACACCGTCAGGCTAACACACTTTGTTTCTATGCAGATGATAAGGGGAAAAGACTTCTCTCTCATCGATGCTTCAGAACACTGCGTGCGCGCCTTGCGAATGCCTTTAAAGAGCCCCTAAGCCTAACTCCGGAGTTTTGCTAACATTTCAAGCAATTCATTGATATGTGGGGTTTAACGTCCCAAAACTGCCATATTATTATGAGAGACGCCGTAGTGGAGGGCTTCGGAAATTTCGACCACCTGGGGTTCTTTAACGTGCACCCAAATCTGAGCACACGGGCCTACAACATTTCCGCCTCCATCGGGAATGCAGCCGCCGCAGCAGGGATTCGAACTCGCAACATGCGGGTCTGCAGCCGAGTACTTTAGTCACTAGACCAGCGCGGCGGGGTGCTAACATTTCAAGCAAACACGCGCGACCCACCGCGGTAACATAGCACTTGGGTATTGCACTGCTAAGCTCGACGCCGCAGGTTCGATTCCGTAATACGGCGTCAACGTTTCAATCGGAGAACCCAGAGGAGTCAAAATTACCGGAGACCCTATTTATATACGGCATCTTTCATAACCATATCGTGACATGGGGATGTAAAAAAAAAACAGCAATTCTACACGGCCATCGAGTTTAGAATGCCGTCACGACCAGCAATGCCAAACGTGACAGCGCTATACGACTCACGGGCGCATCACAACATAGAAAAATAATCCCGTGCTTCTCTCCGTGCCTTCAGCTTTCCACAGCGTTGGTCGTGACGTCAGCACCTACATCGCGTCCTGTTAGCAACAAAAGGAACCCGTTTGTCTGCAGCAGATCCCCGCGCTTCCTGCTCTTCCTTCTAGCACAGCGAAGAGGACCACCGTGCGAGAAGGAGGGACTAACACAATGCAGCGAAGGAGAGAAAGAAAAGAGTGACGGCTGTTGTTTGATAATCAAACGCGATTAACTCCGCTATCACAGCACCGCTTCGAAAAACTCTCACTTCTACTTGTTCGCTGTAGTCTTGTGCAGAGGTGCAAAATTTCACCCCCCTTGGTCGTTGAGGGGCCTTTTGACTAATCTGCTGCGGCAGCTATCCTGAGGGAGTTATTTCCAGTGGGTATCTGCCAGTAAGCTTGGCGTATTCGGTAAAAATAAATACAATTCTCTTTATCCTAGCTTTGTTATAACGAAGGCGGCCAGAACAGAACGTTCGCCTACTTTCCAGAAGCTGGAGCTGCTGGTGCACGAGTATCTGGTCGATGCGCGTCAGGTACTCGAGTCCTGGGGGGCATCCCGGGATTGGTTCTAGTTCGGGAACCTGCACCGGCATCTGCACGAATGGGACGCCCGGTCTCATAACGGCTGCCGACGGTGCTCTGACGCCACCTGGCGGCACGGTCACTACAGGAGGCATGACCATTACGACGGGCCTCGCCGGCGTTCCGGCGCCGCCGGCCATCGGGATCACCGGCGGTCCAAGTGGCGCCATGGTTGCCGTAGGTCCAACAAGTGGAGCCGAGGGTCTAGCGGTGGCGGCCTGAGGGCGTGTCGGTTGCATCGTGCTTTGGTGATGCCCGGATCAGTGACGTTCTCGCCTGACTGGCTTAGCCGTGACACTGCGGATCGCTTGGAGGAGAAACGGTGGCACCTTTGTTATAAGTCTTATGTTAACTTCCAGCCATTTCGACTGATAGACTAATCCGTCTTTTTTCATTTGCCTATGCTTAGCTGTTTGATACTATAACTGCCCCCTGGCGTTTTCGTAGAGGGGCAGAGCTTCGCGGGGTAATTTGGGACGACCGTTTGTTCTTCGGTGGGTGTCGCGTACGGACGTCGATATTACAACGTGCTCACCAGAAAAAAAAAAAAAAGCTTCCGTGATCGAAAAGCGTGCGGAGACCCTATATAGCAGTGTGTTTAGCGATGATTGCTGCGAAGTGCGTGCGCCATGGAACAATGATAAAGGCGGTCTATCCATGAATATCTGGCCTTGGGTGACGTCACAGTATATGCACATCAGAGTGATGTCATCTTACCACGAATGATGTCAGGCGCACGCGTGCACAACATGCGTTCACGTGAACGATTGACATCAGTTGTGCGTATAAAAACGCAGCCACTGACATAACCCTTACTGCTAGTGAATGAAGAAAATGTAAAGTAAAAAATAAATGCTGCAACTAAACGCGGCAACCAATGTACTGATTGGACCAATAACGACGGAAGAGTAGTATATGTGTGGCCAGAGGCGTAAGCCGAACTTTTTTTTGCAAGGAGGGCGAGGGGGGGGCAATCTGCACCAGCAGCCTTTCTTTTACTGTCGTTATATGACTGGTAAGACAAGTCAAGAGAGTGTAATGTGATAAGTTGGCCGCAATATGCAGGTCTTTTCACGCGGATATGCGGGACCTGAGTGAGCTAATCAATCTTGATAGCATACTTCGTATGACAATATTATCCGGAGTTCCGGAGGGGCAGCACCGCCCCCCCCCCTTACTTTTCCCCCTTCAGGTGCCCATGCGTGTGACAGACTGCCCAAACGAACAGTGAGTCTCAAGGCCCGGTCAGTTGAGAAATAGGGGCAAGGTAACATGAAGCATGCAGCTCATGTCTGGTAAGTGCAGTGCGAATAACTTCTGAAAAGGTCGACTTACCCAAGCTGCGCTGGGAACAAGGTCGCAGGCGCGAACTATACGGTCGTGCCAGTTTCCAGCGGCACGGTTCGTAGCCAACTGCTGCCTCCGGTCCGCTAGACCCCGCGCCGGCACGAGGCACGCGAAATTCGGCACCTGAACGATGGTGATGCTGATGGCTCCATGATCATCACCATCAGCCTGACTGTGCCAGGACAAAGGCCTCTCCCATGTTTCACCAATCAACACGGTTATGTGCTTGCTACGAGCACGTTTTATTTCTTGTTTTTTTTTTTATCTGCCGTCTCAACTTTCTGCCTACCCCTGGCACTCTTGCCGTCTCTTCGAATCCATTTTGTCTGGCATAATGACCGGTGGTTGGTCATTTTACCTGTATAGAAAAACATTTGTTTACTATGTACAAAAACAAAGGTGTCATAACATTTCAGTAGTAGGGCACATACACTTCGGCACATCTATGTGCCACGACAAACATCAGTACGTTGCAATCAAGAGATCATTGATTCAATATACATGACACTGTTGGCGTACATTTACACAAGAACTCAATGCAACATCATGATACAAGGGTATACAACGATGCAATAGATGCAATGAAACAAGTGGTTGCAAACGAAATCATGAATAACTGTCCCGCCGTGGTAGTCTAGTGGCTAAGGTACACGGCTGCTGACCCGCAGGTCGCGGGTTCGAATCCCGGCTGCGGCGGCTGCATTTCCGATGGAGGCGGAACTGTTGTAGGCCCGTGTGCTCAGATTTGGGTGCACGTTAAAGAACCCCAGGTGGTCGAAATTTCCGGAGCCCTCTACTACGGCGTCTCTCATAATCATGTGGTGGTTTTGGGACGTTAAACCCCACATATCAATCAAATCATGAATAACTACTCAACGGGCGCTGCTTAGTACCATGTCGGTCGAAAAATCAGTTTTACATTTTCGTGTTCAACATTGACGAAAGGGCACGACCAATGCCACAGAAACTCGTGCCCATTTCTTTTTGATTTCGACCAAGGTTTCCTTAATAACCCATTGTTTCCTGTCCTACTTATGTGCTCTCTTTAAGATGTACTCCAAACTGTGGCAAGAGCCCACAAAGAAGCGAGCAGTTTCATTTAAAATTAACGATAGATTTGATAAGAATTAGGGCTACAAGGAAGTCAAAGTAAGAGAGCAGATGACGATCAATAATCTAAAAGTGTTGCATACATGTACACGAAAATTACATCAATCAGACTCAAAATTTTGTCACAGCACGACGCAGGTAATAAAACATTAGGTCCGCCTAATGCCATTCGTTGTAAATGACATCATATTTTCCGGGTGACAGGGGTATTAGAAGGAAGGAAGAATTGGAATAAATAAATAAATAAATTATTGGAGACACTTCAGGCACCGCCACGCAAAGCTTCACTGGCTCCTATTTTCTCGATGCGGCAGGGGCTTCTGAATTAATTTCTTTTCCCTCTATGGATAATACGGGCTTGTAAAGAGAGCCCACGATGCGGCGGTGAGGCTAGGCCTCCCCGTTCCTACGTGGAAGCGGCCCGTGACGTTGCTCTAAAGGATCAGCGTTTCTCAGGACCCAATAAAGTTCTTTGTCTGTCTGTCTGTCTGTCTCTATGGATAAACTTGCGCCTCTCTCTCTCTGTTTGGGCTAAAAATACGGCTGAAAATCTCGGTAATAAAAGGGCATTCCCTGATCGGCATATTTTCGGTGTCACCAAGATGAAGATAGCAAGTATACAAAACGACTACGTACGTCAGTCTTCTCACCCAGACGTGGGAGGCCAATATTACGCACGGCACGTAGAAGTCCAACGAGAACTCGTCTTAGGACCCGGGAGGCGATCTCGGCCGGAGGGTTTCTGGAATAAGGGACCCTTCCGCTATAGGGCGACTCCGAGCCTACGAGCTCGGAAGTACTGTTTCGGAAAAATTAAAAAAAATAATAGCAGTGGCTTAGCTCGGCTATGCCAGGATATGCGGACGCACGGAAGCATGGATGGATCGATATGTGGGATTTAACGTCCCGAAACCACCGTATGATCATGAGAGACGGCGTAGTGGAGGGCTCCGGGAATTTCGACCACCTGGGGTTCTTTAACGTGCACTCAAATCTGAGCACACGGGCCTACAACATTTCCGCCTCCATCGGAAATGCAGCCGCCGCAGCCGAGTATACCTCAGTCACTAGACCACCGCGGCGGGTCGGAGTTGGCCTTTAATGCAGCGACAAACAGATCAAAGCCAATTGATATATAAGAGGACACCAACAGAAAAAAAAAGCATGTTTCCGAGATCTTTGGTGGGCGAAAGCTGGCTGCATTTTGCTGGCAAGGCACTGCGGGAGCTTCCACTTCAGCCAATTTTTTAAAATCCTCCTTGGTTCCATTTTTTCTCGCCATGAGATGACGTGAAAAGAGGCAGTGGTTGCTCTCGCTTGAACGCTCGGCAAGCAGCCGCTGGAGCACGCAGGCCACGCGCTCGCGAGTTCCCTTTCATAAAAACGGCTGTAACATGCACATGTGCGCATATATAGAGGTGCCCATAGGCGAGAGCAAAGTGGTACACCCTCCCCCTAATACTTCGTGTTTGCTTTGCGTTCTTATCGTAAGCGCCTCAATGGGAGGTGCCCCTAGAAGAGCAGGAAAGACAGCGTCGAAACATCTGATAACTCCCGAAACACATGTTTTCGTCAGTGTGCCACTGATACATACAATACCGCCTCGTTCTTCTTGAAGTTTTTGCGCCCGCACACGGGGACAAAGATGAAAAACGCCTGTGTGTTTCTCATCTTTGTCCCCGTGTGCTCACGCAAGAACATCGAGATATGTTCAAATTGAGCAGAACTGCAGTTGTGCTTCAACCCTGTTCGTACACTTTTGAAAAGTAATTTTAAAAAGATCAGGATTCGCCGAAAACATCACGCAGTTTCGCTTGATAATGATGTCACAAACATCAGCACCGGGAAATTGTACGAAACGGGAACGCATCATTGAGGTTTTACTTACATGCATACAAAGTAGAGCTCCCGAGGGAGGCTCGAACCATCTTGTTTGTCACCTCTATCACACCTTGTTTGACCCCGCGTAGACTGTAACGAATGCAATTCATGTTGTTCATGCTCATAAAAAGGAACAAAAGTGCGCATGACAACCGTTTATTGAAATAAAAATAAAATCTGCAGACTCTTTGCAAAGCAGGTACCACTTAAGAAACAACAATCCACAGAGTACTGTCCCTCAGTTTTATTAGTAATTGATTTACTGTATAATGGGTGGTTGCACCAGAAATATAGAGGCATCTTCATAACACATGATAAACAATAGACATATTAAGATATTATATATTCTTTACACCATGTAAAATCAACATTGCACAAGAAAATGGATAAATTGTTTCCTATACGTGTAGCATTGAAAATAACATAACAAAAAGACCGAGCAATGAAACCCCTTGCTACACTTAACATTCCAAAAGACGACATATTATTCGGGGCGCACTTATGTCTCGAGACTACATCTTTTAATATAGTTTAAAAACGTGCAGTATCGAGTTTCAATATTGCGTTAGTAGCGTCCGTAGTGGTGTCGCGTACGCAAGAGTGCATTGTTTCGCATGGAGCATGTGCACAGAACTTCTGCTCATGCGCACCATGTGATACGTGGTGCTCCTACATACCGTATGGAGTACTAAGGCTTTCTGTTATCAAGATAGTTGCTACTATTTCATCGCTGAACACATAGGGCATGAGAAACAAGAACACGGACAGTGCATACATTAAATAGACATAAGCAATGTCAGCATTGGTATCATGTGCTCCTGAAAAGAAGAAGAAACAAAAAAAATGTCCATCAAAGTGAGCTTTACCTACAAGAGCGATTACTCTTTTAGATTCATGTTGCTAAGCAACAGGTGCTGGTTATTAGCGTATTTCATCTTTAGCAGTGTAGCTTTCATCTTTAGCAGTGTAGCTCTGCCACCACCACCTGACCCAGAAATGTGCAACACACTTCAGTAGTGAACAAGAAAGATAAGGGGTACAGAGGTATTAAATTTTTTTTTTTCAGTTATGGCCACAAGAAGCAAGCACATGACAAAGTCATAAAAGTTATATGGGGAGTTGGCTATTACGCTTAACTAAGACGCAGAAACATTAAGGGAAATAGACACAAAAGTTAACGAAAAGGCAACCTATCACAAATAGGAGCCAAAACCACATTTCCTACATTACATGTGCAGTACTTTGCCATGTGTATGACTGGCTTAAACTTATCTACTGGCATAGCATTTTCAGCTGCATTATGTAAGTGTAGTGGTCCTACAGTGTTTCTTGCTTCTACAAGAGGCCAGTTACTATTCCAACATATAAAAAAATTAACACAGTACACTTGAAGACAGAATCAGTGACACTGTTGTTTCCAGTGACATGCCCATTATCACAACCATGTGGCAACAGCAATGTGTATAAACGAGGTTCAGACCCTTTATTAACAACAGGTAATGTATTGTAAGATCCGTCTTTGTGCAGCAAAATCACACTTCAGAAGATGTAAAAAATTCCAACTACTTTGCATGGTTCTGTTTGTCACACTGTAGTCGTTTCTTTACCACACATAGAAAACCGAAAATACTCGGCTAAGATTGTATACAGCGCTTAGTCTAGAATGTTAATGCAGTGAATGAAACTCTTGATTTCATAACGCAACACATCGTGTCATGTTACCCTATATTTCAGGGTACAATAGGAAAGCAGCTACTATAACTACAGTTGTAGCTCAGCGGAGGTGAATCGAGAAGTCCTCCACAACACCACGGACACGTTTCCGCAAAAAGGCAGTGACTAGAACTATATCATTGACAGCAAAAAAGAATTGAATCTAGCGATTAGCTCGCGCTTCTTCGGACGAAATATGCAATGATCTGAGCATCTGGAAATTTGCTTCCATCAACCTGCGTATCACTACAAATAACTAACACTTAGAAGGCGTCCATGATTTGGTGACTTTTCACTATCATGTTAAACAAAATGACTCCGAGGCAAAAGTATAAAAAAGTAGTCACGGAAGAAGTCTGCTCATCGGTGCTACTCAGGGGAAAAATATAAATAAAAGAACCACAAAAGGGCATAAAAATGCTTTTACAAGAAGCATAAACTCATGTGCCGGTACAATGTGTGAATTCCTCTAGCTAAGTTCAATTGCTTTCTTACTGTACACTACTAACAGCTGGCTAACTCGGGCCACTAATTTGTAGCAATTTCCTCCAAACATTTTTATGCCGATATGATCTGTCACTCGAGGTCACGAATAATGAGAGCAGACCATCACTCGGGCAACTGCAAAGAGCACTGATAGATATCACACTGCAAAATGAAGACCCTGGTGGCAAAACATGTAAAGAATAGGCTGATAGAAACATTACATTATCCTGGTACTGCACGTTCGAAGACAATAGCGTGAAAGGAGCACGATAGCCTCTGTACCATACCTGCACTCACTTCGCAAAACAAAATTTTTATTCAGAACGATATTAGGTTGTAAAGAAGCTCTAGCTTTGGCACTGGAGCTTAAAATTACGGTGTTTTGGCCACCACAAGAGTTGAAAGGAGTGTCTCAAACTCTTTACACATCATAACTTTTTTACAGTATGAACCCACAAATGCTAAAAAACATATGCGATGAAATGTGGAAGCGAATATCTTTCACAAGTTTTTGTTACTTGAAACTTTGAAACTTGAGTAATTTCGGTGCGCTGAATATCCAGGGCTCACAGGTTCCCAATTCTGAGGCATTGTGCAATAATTGCACACAGTTTGTCTTAAGAACATGCTAATGACCATGCTTCTATGCTTTCTATGCTTCGCGGCAATATTCAGGGTGCGTCATAACATTTAAAAATTTTTTTCTTTCGAGGAGTGTGCATAGGTCAGCAAGTTCCATGCACTCGAGGATATGGTATGCTGTTAAGGTGTGATACTGTCAGAACTGTCAACTTTTCCTCGTGTTTAGTTTGTTTCGCGCAGTTGACCGCGACAGAACTTGCGAAACGTTTATCTCTGCTGCTAATGAATGTGGCACAGTGCAAGATTTACAAAAGTGCAGCAATGAGCCCTAGTATTAAAAAACAAAACAAAAGCTACCTAGCATTACGTATTTCTTCAGGCTGCTCTTGTGTTTCACGGCCATTTGAAGGCAGTGAGTCATGGCGTCATGATGCACACCACCGGCAATCTTAAAAAAACAAATACTTTGTCGTATTATATAGGGCTCCCAGCTCAACTGCTGAGTGCTCGGACTCACTTAACGCAAGAATAACAAGCCAAAATCAATGTGTCGATGCTCGTTTGAAGTAACATTTGTCAACTGCAGTCAATGGCTACGTTGTGAAAATGACAGCAGTGAAGATATTCCCAAGCTAGATCACACCTACAGCAAACCAAATCTGTTTAAATGTCAGAAATAAGCAATAAGAGTAAGGTGGATTTGGCTAACAGTAAATAGGCTTGATCGGCAATAAAAGTAATAGGCTCGATACGGCAATAACAATCAATAAAACTGCATGCCTGTAGCCCAATCTTTGTTAATTCTTGTTTTCAATGTGCAGAATGTAAATGTACATGCCTGTGTTTATTTATTATAGTGTAAATGCCTTTGTTCGCTGTATATCTCTATTTTGTAATGTATTTCATGCCCATTTCTTTTATTTATTTTTTCCCTTCAATTTTCAGCATTTAAGTGTATGCTATTCATTGCATGTGTTTTCCAGTCCTGTGAAAAACCCAGCTTGGTGTTGACAGTATTAATAAACAAGCAAACAAATAAACAAACAATAAAGCTACAAACACCCACTATGAAGTACTGCACTACCGTCAAATCATTACCTTGTATTTCAAGAGGTGCAACAAAGTGAGAAAGAATCTAAAAAAAACAACAAGACAGCAGTTGACAATCTAAGAAATTCGAAATGAAAACAAGTGATCAAGGTGCTTTCAATTACGTAAAGTCTGTCTCAAAGATCTTTGTGAGTAAATAATAATGCACTTTCTGCTGGCCGACTGATTTCAATGAATGTAAACAAATGGTGCCACAATGTCATAGATAAAGCTGGCTGTATCAATTACAGCTAGCACAGTGATAAGGTGCACTTTATCTTGATTGCCTTATCTCCAGCTGCTTGGTGAAAGATGTGAAAAGAGTTTTAGAATGGCACATGGCAACACAGTACAAAATTCTGACTGACCACTCAAACCAAATTACTGTATTTCCCAACACATAGCCCGCACCCCTAACTTGGTATACAAAAGAAAAAGCATATAAACCATACACATAACTCACACCCGCACTATTTAAGCACTCTTTTTCTGTTTTTTGATGTGGGTTACACGCGAGAAAATGCGGCAAGCTTACATGCCACCGTTGCCTTGTACGCGATCGTCCAGTACCCCAGCAGTTAGAAGCGATGTCATACAAATGTTCCTTCAAACCAAAGCTGTTTGGGAGAAAGACTGAAATAAACAGTAATGCCACATCTGAATGTTGCAAGAAGACAAGTCTTTTGTTGTTTCAAGCATCAGCCACATTTTTTTTGTTAGTGCATAACTTCTTGTTCCTGCATGTGGTATTTTGATTAGCATCAAATATGGCATAATCCATTAGGTTCCTAGAGGCTCACAAATTCTTCAAGATGTCTTCAAGGACCTCTATACTATACCTAACAGCAATACACCCAGACCTCGATATAACGATCTCGTATATAACAAACTGTCAGTTATAACGAAGTGAAGAACAGTTTTGTATATATACAACTTTAAGAATATACGTTTATAAAGAACTTTCGAATATAACAAAGTATTCTCGTTGTAGGTGTGACTTGTTATATAACGAGGTTTGAGTGTACTGTTTTTCAGCATTCCTCAAGTGCATACATAAATTGTGAGAGCTCATGAAAAAAAAAAAGGTAAAATTTATCAATATTCAACAAAGAGGTAAAGGCACTATTGATGACGTTGGCATCTATTTCCATGAGCAGTGAGAAGACATCACGACATGGTGTTCCCACCGACAAAATCTTTATTTGTCGGACAAAATGAAGAGCTAAAAGAGACACTAAAAAGATAGAGGATTTCTCTCATATTAGTAAATTACTCTTTCACAATTCCTAGATCACCGTGCCTGCCACGTTATGCTGGGCAAGCGAGAAAACATGTAAAAAAAAAAATGTGGATGTCATTGCCCTATTGATGCTCCAGCACCAAAGGATGTCCTGGGGTTACGAGTTTTGAGCACGTCCTAATCAGTAAAAACAGAGTACAGTGTCCTCCGAGAGGGCCATAGACTTCATATAACAAGTCGCGCAAAATTTCGTTGAGTCAATGTTGGCAAGATATGAATGACACTTAGAAACCGGTGACGTGACATGCTGCGATTTCAACACGAAATTCGAAAATTAAACTTTGACCCTGATTTTCACTTTTATTAATAAACTTAAAATGATGAAATTGACATAAGAATTCTCACAGTACAACTTATCAACGTGAACTTATTCACTGTCTCAAATTAGAGTCCCTTTATTTAAACTAGTGTTTTACATGCCAGAACCATCTGGGAATGTTTAACGTAAGCACCTAAACCCAAGTTTACATGGCTATTCTTGCACGTCGTCCAGGTAATTTAGCACTGTAGCTGACACAAATGCTGAATATCTACAATCACATCACCACACAAATAAGAAACGAGACTCAGCATTTTAATCTGTGTTGGAGGGACCCCCTCAAAAGCAGCATCGACAGAGATCCTGATCTCAGTGTGACAAAGATGCGAAGGAAAATTGAAAGACAAGGTCAGCATTGGATATCTGCGTCAAACGTGCTTCAACTCCTCGCAACACTCGAGAAATATAAAACTCTCCTAAACATTCGACCAGCTTGTTTTGTCGATTTTAAAAGTAACAATAAAACCTTGAAAATAAAACTTATGAAAAAGTGTTTAGATCAATATCCCATAGAATCAAAAGATGTGTAAAAATATGCACTGTGACACTTACGATGGCCGACTAAAGTAGTGAACTAAAGGTCTCGCTAATGGCTGCGATACATAAATGTGTGCACTTCACAAAGGTGCGATGCATCTGGTGAGCTTACCAAATAGCGTCAAAGCTCCCTCTACATAACGATTCAAAGAACATAAAAAAAAAGTGTTTCTTGCATCAAAATTGCCTCTTGTAATGTTCCTCTGGATAAAATATGGCATTTGATAACGTTTCTCGAGATTAACATACAATTAATGTGTACCTCTGGAATAACATAGCATTAAATTGTACTTCTTTGTACATAACAGCATTATATCACCATGGCCATTTTCATGTCTGTAATGAAAGCGGTGCAGATACAACACGTTGCCACACATGCATCCCAGCAAGAATTTTTCAGTCCACTACATCGCAACAACATACACTATAATTATTTATTTCAAGTTACTTTGGTGAAACAAGCATTTATACCTAAAACAACAGACCTTCTAGCAAAGAAACAAACAAAAAGGTGGGGGAAGGTATGGTAGGGAAAGTTTCATTTATAAACTTATTTAACGTAACCAACATAAACAATAGAAGTATATAACTAGAAGATCGGTAGCTCTCTCTTTACAGTTCCACAGTGCTCTCAAAATAGTGGTGGCACAATACCAGCATACCTTGGCATGTATGCAGCACAGTTACGCAAGCACTGGTCCTTACCAGTTCCCTTGCATTATAACAAAAGGCAAATGAACGATGAAATGCTGAAACCAGGCTTCCCTATGATGGTTTCCTTTTTACTGCCGCACTGCAAGATCGTCAACTTGCCTTAACATCAACTGTGCCCCGTCATCTTGGCAAGAGGTAATGCAGTTTCTGCACAGTTTTATATGCGGCCACGAAGCTGCAACCCTATTAATAATCACACACCATGTGACCTATGTATGCCGTAATTCCTTATTACCGTGTAGTGAAATTTCACAAAGTATTTCTACTAAAAATCCTGAATAAAAACTTCTTTATACCAGAAATAGAAGGCGATATAAATAGAGGCGTTGGATTACACAGGTGCTTTTTTTTATTGTAGTGTATCCAAAACATAATCCTGGTTAAGAACACGTGACGATTCCGTTTGGATATCCGAGTAATCACGCATGGTCACACAATGTGATAACAGTATTAAGCAATGTAAAAATGGGAAAAAAAAGTTCGAAATATCATGTCTGGAGGTTATGGAGGCGCACATGTATGCAGTATCATACAGTACAACCAGACAATCACATAAGATGTCTAGCATAATAACAGAAGTTCTTACAAGGAAGGCCTAAATTTTTATATAATACATGCTATAGAGGGGATAATATTAGATACAGAGGTCACATGATGTGTGGTTTTGTTTTATTGATAGACAAACCCATATTTACGGTCGGCATTTTTTCAGCCGAGATGGCAGCAAAGGGGATGAGCAGGCACTGGGCAAACGATAGAATTTAGTCCAAATCAATGCTCAGAGTATGATGTACTCTTCGGAGTGCCGGTGGTCCAGGCTCTCCCTTGGGCCCTGAAGGTAATGGGCAAAGTTCGTCCCGCCAGCTTCCGATGTGTCCGTGTGATCTGCGCAGCTACCTTCGGACACGAGGAAGACTGGGTACTCGTGCCGCGACTCCGTCGGCACAGCCAACTGAGAGGATTGAGAGAGAGCGAAAACTGGATCGTAACTACGTCGTGCATAACATTAAGACACCGTACTACACTCAAATTTCAATGTAACAAACACAGATATAATGAAACATCGCTTATAATGCAATAGATATAATGTTAGGAATATATCTTCACAACAAATTTTCAGGCATAATGAACTTATTTTGAGTTGAGCGGGTTGTTTGTTTGGTTTATGAATAAATGTGGCATGACTGACTGTGCAACAAGTAGATCATTTTTGTTGTAATTACAATTATTGGCTGCAAAATACACCCATAATTTATTTTAAAACTTCCACTTGCTTTAAATATCCCAACATTGGCATAAAATTGTGCAAATTTCACACACTTATACACAGTCAACGAAGCAAAAGGTTGTACTCCGACTATGTAGATAGTACGCAGGTCTGCTAATGTACATCTTTTTAAAGCTGTTTTCACGCATTACTAGTTCAATGCCAAAAAGCTGTAAAAAAAAATGGATATGTGGCACTGCGTCAAGATAGATGCTGGCATGGTCCTATGCTGGACCAAAAGTTACGCATAATACATTGCATAAACTTAGGCAAAGGTAATTGTATCTTGAAAAGTGCCAACTTGAGAATACCATCAAGGAAACATAGCTTCACTCACCTGCTTGGCATCCTTTACAAAATGATCAAACTCGTCCTCCGTTTTGCAGTAGAAACCCATGGTGCAGCTTGGATCCATCTTGTAAAAGGACATCTTGCGTGGCCACGAACAGTGAAAGGACTGCGACAGAGAAAAAAAAATCCCAATACGAAGCGATGAGGTGCAAGGTTGCAGACATACTACTGTATTCTTGTACATGTGAAGCGTTAGTTTAGCATTTATGCCAACACGGCCATCAAAAGCAGTGAATGGGAGGCTACTTCCAATTTGAAGGAATGTTTGACATACTAAGTTCAACACCCCAGAAAAACAGCTGACCCGCAGGTCGCGGGATCGAATCCCCGTTGCTGCAGCAGCTGCAATTTTGATGGAGGCAAAAATGCTGTAAGCCTGTGGGCTCAGATTTGAGTGCACGTTGAAGAACCCCAGGTGGTCGAAAATTCCGGAGCCCTCCGCTACGGCGTCTCTCATAATCATATGGTGGTTTTAGGACATTATAGCCCACATATCATATCATCTCAGAGAAACAGTGACAGAATCAAAGATACCACAGTTCGAATTGCACAATTCATTATTCACAATGATAACTCGGATCGTGTTTTTTTTTTTTTTTTCAAGCTGCTCTTACTGCTTTTGTGTGTTGTTTGCAGTGAGCTGGAAGTTGATTTTGCTTTGACTATACAACTTTGACTTGTATCACACAGGCTAAACTATAAATGTTTATTATTAAATGTTCTCTGCCCTTGTAGGCACTTTAGGAAGGGTACCGGCTTGTACCACCAGCGCCGTTGGACCACTGGTGACCGTAGCAGCTTTGTAAGAGGCCTTGGAAAATGTCTAATTCATTATTAGTAGAAAGCTAGGCACCATGTAAGTTTGTGAAATCTATTAAAACACAATTGAGCTAAATATTGGCCCATAATGGGTAGAGCAAAACACAAAATAGGGGCTAAAGAGGGCAACTGAAACACCCGCCACGATGGTCCAGTGATTGCGGTGCTCGACTGCTCACCCACAGGTTGCAGAACGGGATCCCAGCAGCGGCCGCCACACTTTTGATGAAAGCAAAACTGCTCAAGACCCATGTTATTAGATTTAGATGCATGTTACCATGCAGTCAAAATTTCCGGAGCCTTCCACTACGGCGTCTCGTAATCATGTCGTGGTTTTGGGACGTTAAACCCCGTCGATCGTTATTATAAAAGGTAATCAAATCTTTCTGAAGTTTTTGATGTGTGGAAAGCTCCCGGACTAGTTGAGATACAGAGGCTCGTTATAACAGCGATGTGTACACGTTAACCTCCTTTCCAATAAATCCTTCTCTGAGCTCTTCCTCATTGTTGCTTTCGAAAGAAATTTTAGTTCACTTATTCCTTTTACTGGTGTGAGCTAATGGACATTTCAAACAATTCGATGAAATTTGCCATCTCTCGATGTTCCAATTGACAAGAGTCAATCACATCTGAGTTTATTAACTGCATCCAACCGTATAACAGATTCACAAAGGTTACAATACAGAGTGCGCATGAAGCTCAGTGTTAAAAAATATGGGAGGTTTTACGTACATCTAGGGAAAAATCGGGTGGGCCTACATCCACTGTTTCTTGAACATAGTGAGGGTCCAGGTAGATCACCTTTTCACCTGAAATAATGCAACGAAAATTCATGTTTTGATAAGCAGCAACATTCAATCTATGTCTTCAAAGAGTCAAACCTACACACCCTCGCTTAGCACCAAGGGTAGTGCCATCGCTTTTAAAGCAGTACAGCGAGTGCCACGCCAGCATCGCCCCCATAACCAGAGCTCTTCAATCGTACCAGTTGCGAGACTGCGCTGCCAAATCCATATGTACCGATGAAGAAGTTTTTGAAAGGCAGCAAACTGATGCGCCCAACTGGGAGTGGTGAAAGAAATTGCCCCACACTGTGCCTAATCACTGAAGTCTTGGCTATCAGCATTCTCCGTTGCCATAACAAGAACTAGGAAAAGTATTTTTGGGAAAAGACAGGGAGTATTATGGCCACAGTATTTTCTGTAAATTGTAAGCCACAAACAAACACACTGCTCACTTCATAATGTGGCACTGCATGCAGGCTCCAGCTACGCAATGTAAAAATGCTCTCTACTAGACGGTTTTTCCGCCTACAGGTGGAATCACAAAAAGCAAACCTATATAATTCTTGCAAATGTTGTATCCTAATTATGATACATGTGCCTATAGACCTCCATGGAAGACTGGTAATTATGGTGCTCGGCTGCCGACGCAAAGGTACGAAGGTTGTGGCATCGAATCCTGGCCACGGAGGCAACATTCGGATGAAGGTGAAATTTAGGTGCAGCTCAAGAAAACCTGAGCTGGGCAAAATTTCTGGAGCCTTTCACTGACGTATCTCTCCTAACCGTATCGTGATTTTGGGACGCAAAACCTCAACAATCATCAAAGCAGTGTCTTCGATGCCTTATCAAATGCAAAAATTGGCAGTCGGTGGCATCGGTACGAGTGATGCAAAGCATCATTATCACATGACATCACCATGACAGAGCAGACTGCCAAAACAGATGTTACCATGAAATCACAAACAGCCCAAATGGGACGTTATCAGGACACGACATTATCACTCGTCATCGCTTGGTCAATATTAGGCCAATCACGGAAGCTGTGCAACACCCCATTAGGTGTATACAGCTCTCGGAGAGGGGCATGAAAGGATTGATTAACACAAGAAAAAAAGAAACCCTTATCCTTTCACCTTCAATTTGTTTTGGGCGAATGCATGAGACCCTGCGAGTATTTATATTCTACGTGCTTGACAACTTGCATGATTAAAAACCACTGTGCATAACTGACTGTGGCATGCAAGTGCTATGACTGCTTCGGCGCTCCTCACTTTCTTTTTTTTTTTCCTCTCATTCCAACACGAACATACCCTGCCATCCTAGAAAGTAGAGCGAGTGGCGCGGTCGGCCTCCTATGACACCTATGCAGTTGGGGTGTGAGAGCATGCCCTTGACGCACGGGATGTATGTGGTGTTCAACTGTTCACCACCCAGGCGCACGGGCACTAGGACGATGAGAGAGCGCCACAGCGGTGTCCCATCGGACCTGGTGTCCCTGCACAGGGCCCGCACGTCCTCCAGGTAGATGGTGCAGTCCTGGGCGACGTAGATGCGCAGGTCTGACAGCCGCTGATCCGTCTGGCGGGCACCCTCCAGGGCCTCCTTGAGGATGTACGCGGCGCTGGATGGACCGTACCAGTCGCCCGCCTGTTTGCCGCTCTCGTAGCCCATCTGCACCAGCTTGTGCAGCGAGAAAGGGCTCGTGTCGGCCATCCGGTCACCAAACCACCTGTTCAAAGTGCACAAACCATCATCACAAGAATTTTTGGAAACGTAAAACGAAAATTAATTTCCAGCTTAATCTTCCTACTGAGAAATTGTCGCATGGCACAAAAGCGTTATTTCTAACTGCAACTAGCAGATGGCAACAGTAGTCGACACTAGCCAGCACAAGCCATAATTTTATTTTATTTTATTCTGTTTATTTTTACATACTGCAGCCTCAATGAGGCTATTGTAGGGGCGGAAAAAAAATAAAAACAAGAACAAATCAACATTAATGAGCAGGCTTCCGAAAATTCTTGAAGTGAAGTCTTTCACCCACACATGTCAGTGTGGATGAAAGAAGTTGCAATGTTAAGGGCATGCTCACGTCTTGTAAACAAAGGTCTGGAAAATTTGAGATATGACACCCTATACAGACTAACATTGTTAAAACCATTATAGTCAAAAGTCAATAGGCAAGAATGTTTGGTGAATGACATAACTGTTGTGGAAAAGTTAATATTCATTTGCCAAGATTTGGACCACCTACAACAATCGGAAAATGAATTGTTGAGAATAACATGATCCAGTGGCGCTTTAACAGCATGATAGAGGACGCAGTCATCTGCGAAAAGGCATATTTTCACAGAAGCCTGCAAAGGAAGGTCATTCATGTAAAGTAGGAATAAGAGGGGTCCTAACACAGAACCCTGGGGAACTCCTGATGAAACCGGGATCGAAGGCGAGTTAGTAGAATTGAAGCAACCATATTGTGAATGCTGCAAAAGAAAGTCGGATATCCAGCCAACCAATAATGCATTCTTCAGTATGACAAACAATTTGTACAATAGTTTAGGATGAGATACAGTGTCAGAGGCCTTGGTAGAATCGATAATTATGGTATCAACATGGTCACCTATGTCTAAAAAGCTGCTGATGTCACGAACGAATTCTGTCAGTTGAGCAATGGTGCTAAAACCATGTCTGAAGCCGTGCTGAAAAAGTGCCCAAAATAGTGTTCGTTTCAAGGAATTCCATGATATGTTTGAAAATAATATGTTCTAGCATTTTACAAGAATGTGGTGTTAAAGAGATAGATCTATAATTGTTTATTAATTTAACATTACCTGATTTAAATAAGGGAAAGATGGAAGCACATTTACATAAGGAGGAAGTGTCGCTGACGAAAGAGATTTCTTAAAAATAAGTGTAAGATATCTGCTACACCAAAGAGCGTATCTAGCTAGAATAGCTGTCGGGATGCCATCGAGACCGCATGATTTTTTTGGTGTCCAAGTTTAAAATGAGATTGAGTACGCCCTCAAGTGACACTGACACATTGTCAATTCCAGGATGAAATTCAAAATGAAAAGCAGGAATGTCCGAGCTGTCAGTGGCACAGACTGAGTGGAAGTAGGTGTTAAACGCTGAAGCGATTATCTCTGGATCAGAAACTGCAACATTGTTAATTGTCATTGTGTGCCATGAAGAACCAGATGGTAGAATAGCCTTCCAGAATTTACGGGGATTTGCTTTCATTAGCATCGGCAAGGTAACTTTGTAATAATGTTCTTTAGCAGCCTTCATTTTAGCAGATAGTTCTTTTTTAGCGCTAATGAACTGTTGAAGCTTTGTCGAGTCACCAGAGCACTTTGATCGACATAGTCTGGCCACACGACATGACAAATGTAAGATATCCCTAGTCATCCAGGGTAGGTCAGTGTTAGTTTTCTTTGTTTTCAGAGGAATAAAACTATTGATACACTTACTGACAAGGCTTTCTTTTGAAAAAAAAAAAAAATGTATTGACATCACTGGTTGTGCTTTTCAGCTCAAAATCTTGAAAAGAGTCGTAAAGGGCAAATTGCTTGATCATCAGTGCGATTAAAATCGCAAAACGTGCAGGAAGTGTAACGGCATTTTGGGACAACACCAGGAACTGAGAACAATACAGCGTTATGATCAGATATGCCATCAATATTATCACATTCAAAACCAGACATAGCTAAGGATGTAGTGAGGAAAACCACATCAAAGACAGCACCATTACGAGTTGATTTCTTAACGATTTGGTGAAGGCTGCATGACAACGAAATGTTGAGTAGCTCTCTTCCAATGGATACTTCGTGTCCAGTGACTGTCATAGATGACCATTAAAATCACCCATGCAAATAAGGTTAGATGTTGAAGTAACATAGCTTTGGATAAATTGGTTGATGTTGTGTAAATGTTCGATATCGGAACCAGGCGGGCAGTAAACCAGCTGTTGCTGAATTAAGCCAACTGTTGCCTACAATAGCAGTTATTTATCCAGAACTAGTCTACATTAGCAACAGTTTAGCTAAAACTTGTACTGCTGTCACATGGTGCACATGATTAGGTTCTATCCAAATAGAATTTAAAAACACAGATCGGCTTCTTGAAGCAGTTTGCTTAAAAGAGCCAATCACAATCTCGAAATTCGATACATATCAGGCACAGCTGTGATCAAAAGTGGCTGTGCGACACTGGTTGCCAATGCAAGCCATTTTTAGCCGACACCAGTCCATACAACAATGGTAAGTCGCTTACAGCTTTAGTGGACTATTTTCAGTGCCAACTGTGTTCATTCTGCCTTCATGCTGTGGCAAACACACACACTTTCCCAAAGAATGCTTGAATATTAAAGGGCTCGCGCAATATTCAATCTATATTTAGTAACACTCATTTGAAATTCTAGCATTCCTGTGCTCCTAAAATGACAATGCTAAAATGACACTGGCCGCCATAAGTACTAACATGATGATGGCGTCTTAAGACACTTGAAATCCTAAATGTATTATTAACTTTTACTTGTGCTAATACACTTATAAAACAGTTAGGGTGTAACAAAAAATATTACATCAATTTTTTAGCTCACAGTAGTGTTCAAGTCTAAAAGTTACTGCATTCTGACCCCGGTGGAGGAAAGTCGGAGGTGTCTGAACGACGCCCACACCAGCTTGTAGCAGTTTCTATCAGATAGTGCGCTCACCTGCACCACTTTGGTTCAGGGCACAATGCAGCAGCTCGGAAAGGCTGGCATATGACGCTTCAGCCCTCGAAAGTCAGATGGTGGACACGGTTTATTTGCACGAATTCTTAACGGTGCCACAATTAAAATGGTATCACCCTTCAAACCGTACCAAACGTATCTCAGCAGGCTTCGCTGAATTGCCATCTTTTGCCAACGACAGAGACTTTTGATTGGCTGAATAAGTTGATAAGGGCTAAAGACTTGAGAGAAACACAGGCTGGGAAATTGAATTATGCTTTTAAAGCCATTAAATGAAACTGGAGGATGAAACAAATCAAAGCATATAATTGAATGATTGACCAGTATTCCAAAGACACATACAGTTGAAAAGCTTCTGAAAACGTTTCACGACACCTTTAAACATAACATGAGCTGAAGTGCAATTGCACAATGCATAATTGACAGGCAGGTGGTGGCGCCTTTGAGTTCTAGCACCAGCTCGTCACACTGGCGTGAATTATGACATCTGTTACGCCCTATTCACTTTTTCATCACTAAAGGTTGACTACATTGAATTCTTACAAAGCTGCATAGTAAAATTTACAGCTTTCTTTTACTCGGCCACAATAAAGGGTATGGCATAAAGAGACCAGCACTGGTGTAAAATGTTAGCTTCTCATAACGGGGTATATTTAAATTGTGAAGTTTTCACATTGAATCTAGTATGAATACTCATGAACTTCGTATATAAAATTTAAGAACAAATATTTAAGCAAAGTAAAAGGTTCTGTGGAAGATGAACCACAGTACAACTACTATGCTGTGGATGTAAGTGATCTACATTATGGCTTTACAAACCTGGTTTGCAAGTAAGTGCGTGAATATTTCCTCATTCATGTTACGATTCCACAACGCAATGTTTCCATTGTTTCAAATGGGTTCCATTCATTAATATAGCATATTAACATACCATTCCTACCTGCTTCCTTTTCATCAAGACCAAAGGCCTCTATGTAGTTGATATTTATGCCAAAAACTAACAAACAAAAAAGAACAAAAAACACTGATGGCAGGAGTTGTTCTCCACATGGCCCAACAACGGTGACGCGAACAGCTGACACAACACAAGTGTTTTGTTTGACGAATACAGGAAGCACCCGCAATCTCCTGCCTTCTCATGGTGGTCGCGGCAGATAACGGCTGGCTCTTCCTAGAATGCACGGCAAGATAAAAACCACTCAATGACAAGCCTACTGCTATGGTCTATATCTGAAGATAGTTGAGGTACAGATGCTTTGATATACTGTATAGACCAGTACATCCAAGATTTACAGAGGGGTGAAGGAATTTGGAGCATTAAAAATTCATTGCAGACAATGTTAACCAGTTTTTTTTGACACACTGAGGACGTCGGCAGGGTTGTCAAACAAAGGTAAACGGTAGTTTTTGTGGCTAACTTTTTTTTTTAAATTTTACAATCGGGACATGTTAGTGGTATGAGAGTCCTAACTGCAATTAATGGCACGTGTTATTATACAGAGCTTGCAAAAACCATGAGAGCGACACTAAATAAATGAACTTTATATTTAGGCTATATGTACATTTCTTGCCCGCAATTCAATTACCAAATTCAGTCTTCGGCACTTAGAGTAAAATTTGGTGTTCCTTTACCGATAAACAGCCATGTGGACTGTAACGGACTGTAAAAATACATGGCCTGGAGTTGCAACAAGCAGCTACCTAGCTTTTACTTTTTTTTGCACTTCTTGTTATAGTAATAAAACATTTTCTTGGTACTGTACTAGCATATTTGACTAACACAACTTCATTTACTTTTATGAAAAAATGGCTTCAAGTTGAATCAATGATAGCTTGGAGCTTGAATAATGTAAATGTCACCATTGAAGGTGAAAAAAAAAAAAAATTATGCAGCACCACAGTACCAGTTTCCACGATTGTAGCGTGTCCTAGGACTGTGTCTTGAATCAATCATGTTCAATCCAAATAAATAAGATTAACAAAATTACCAGAAAAGTTGATAAGGTGAAAGAATGAAGTGACTGAACACTTATATGGCCCCTAATATCAAATTTGTGTAGTACTACCATACTCAACCACTGATTACAGAAAGATCAACGCTTTCATTTTATTTCTATGCAAACAAAAATGCAGTTGGGTAATGTTTCTTGGAACTAGCATACAATGATTTCAGCTTTTAATCTAGTTTTTTTTTTAAATATAACCGAAGCATGGCTTAATCTGCGCGTGGGCTCACGTGTCACTACAGGTGGCTGTCGCTAACATGAAGTGATGTAGCATTTCCTTTTCATAATTCTCTGACAGTGTTACAATTGTAAAAACTTGTATAACATAGCGGTACTTCCATGCACTTTGTTCAACAAGCTAATTCAGCCAAAATACCTTGAGCATCAAAGAATGAGCCCCAATGGCGAACATCAGGAGTACACTCAAACCCCAGATATAATGAAGCTGAATAAAACGAAGTATTGGTTATAATGAAGTAAACAAAAAATAGTCTTGCAATAAATATAGTGTTTGGAACAGACCTTTACAACAAATTTTTGGATATCACGAACTTATTATCATGTAAGATGCATTTACTCCTTCTCTTAGTATCCATTTCCTTTGTCTTATTTATCTTGCTCATAGGTAACAAACTGTACACTTCTCTTGCACCAAAGTTTAGCACTACACAACAGTGTTGCAAGTATTGAACACGGTGCTTGCGTGTACGAGCAAAGCACACACACGTACGTCATAATTATATGAGCAGCTGCGTGCTGCACTATTACACTTCCTGAACAGAAGCACTCTATTATGACTTCGCGAGTTTCTTCCAGAAACATGCCTCTAAACAAAAGCCAGTACACAAAGTCAGAGCCTGTAGTAATGCATAGTCACTAGAACATCTTAATGAGGTGCCGCAACTAATAAAGACACAAGGCAGGAAGGAACAGTGTACAGCATTGTGCATGCCCCGCCGCGGTGGTCTAGTGGCTAAGGTACTCGGCTGTGGACCAGCAGGTCGCGAGATCGAATCCCGGCTGTGGCGGCTGCATTTTCGATAGAGGCGGAAATGTTGTAGGCCTGTGTGCTCAGATTTGGGTGCACGTTAAGAACCCCAGGTGGTTGAAATTTCCGGAGTTCTCCACTACGGCGTCTCTCATAATCATATGGTGGTTTTGGGACGTTAAACCCCACGTATCAATCAATCATAATTGTGCATTTCTTCTTTTTGTGCCACCCCATAACAATGTTCACCGAGGAGCAACTCTCCAAAATGTCACTTTTTTATTAACACTGAGAGGTTGTTACAGCGTACCGATAAAGCGTCAGGCTTGCATGGAACACACGGCACCGCCAGCGAAAGCCGGAAGAGCAGCATTCTGTGAGTCCATTGTTAATGCCCTTGGGGTGAATGAGGCAAATGCAGCTGCAAGGTATCCATTATGCCATACATTATAATTATTCGAAGGTTGCCCACTACGCTACTATCTACAATTGTGCAGAGTAGTGCAAGTACCACTATGCATCTATAACACATTATACTTTGTTAATGCTGTAGCTTAAGATTTATGGCTGAGCTCTTTGTAACGGGTGAGAAGGTTTAAACCACACTCGCGTAATTCAATTTGCCTCATGTGACGCTTGGTCATTATTTTACTCTTCAAACATGCTACGATAAACTTGTTAACATGATTCTTTGCAAGAAATGATGCCAGTATAAGGTCTTCTTGTGAAAGAGTTTCAAGCAGTGTTGTGACCACGTCGAAGAATATTTTGCTGCCACGCGGAGGGACCATGTTCCAGTACCGGCCATTTCCGATTTCTTATTATTTTTTTTTTGTTCCTGTGTGTGACTGTGGTTACAGAAAATGGTGGCGGTCAACTACGCCATCAAAATCAGCTGTTTTTGTGGTCTCGCAGCAGCTCTTGCTTAATAATGTGCAGTACAGTATTGCAGGTATGAACACAACAGACATACACACAAAGTGGCACACCAACCACGAAACAGAAGAGATTTTGACGGTTTGATATGCCCGTGAGGCTATTGTAGAAAGCAAGTGAGCCGCTTTCGGCGACATCAAACGGCACTCTAGCAAGCAAGTGCACATAAAAAAACCTCGATACAGCGAATCGGATCGACACGAAATACTCGGTAAAACGAATCGGGTGCCAATTCCATGCACAACGCACACTAACGTGTCGAAGAGACACACCAACACACAGTGAAATAGCAGAGCAAGATAATCGCATCACATCGCTGCGGAACCGATTCGGAATACCAGCCTTCACGGGCAAAGCCTTCGGCGCGCGCGAACTGACCTGACGACCTTACGGTGGACGTAGTCGGAAGCCTCGGTCTGGTTCCTGCGGTAGCGCCACTGACGGCCCAGTACGTGCGTCACGACGGCTTGCGCGAGCATCATCTGGCTACTGCGAAGCATGCAACCCCAACCGCAGTCGGACGTGATGTCCGTGCCCGGGATGGGCGGGAACTCGCGCCTGTACGTGAACCACAGGCGGCTCGAGAAGTCCTCCAGAAAGAGTTCGTAGCTCGCGAGCCGGCCGTCGTCTTCCTGCGTCACCGCCGCCTGGCCCCTGGTCGTCCTAGACCCGTGCGCCACGGGGCTCCGGGGCTTCTGCGAGGCCACGGACGGCCACAGGGGTGCGGAACGCTTCGTCTGTATCTTTCGGTGGTACATGATCCCCAAAAGCCAGATGGCCTCTTCGTCGCTGAAGTTGGCCTTCTTGCGCATCGTCCAGCCGTAGCGAACGTTGTTCCACACCGACATCAACTTAGTCTTGACCTTTTCTGGCGACGGCGGACGCTGTTCTGAAGCTGCGGCCGCGGACGTTGGTACAGGTACCGAAGCGCTGAACAACGACCCGAACGAAGACGACAGCGAAGACGAAATGGACTGCTGTCGCTCGTCCTCGACGAACCTCAGGTCGTCAGAGGAGCTGGTGCGCCGATGTCTTACGACGATCTGGTTGGAGTTGGGCGCGTGGTCGCAGAACGGGAACATCGGCGGTAAGTTGGGCGCCGTGGTCTGTGCCGTGCGCCTGGCGAGTACGTCGGCACCGTTAAACATGGTCGTTCAATCGGCGCGCCGACGCCAATAACGGGAAAACAGCGAAAAATGTTCCGGGCCACTTCCCCAGCTATAATTCGATCGCACGAACACCGAGCTCGGCCAAGGCGCTGCCTCGTCTGGGGTGTGACATATCAGCAGGTTGACACGAAACACCAACAGCTAAGGTCGGTCAACGAGAATTTCTCGCCTCGTATCTTTTCTAGCGTTTGCTTGGCGGAAATGAGATTCAACCCAGGCTCGCTAACTTGCACGAAAGTGACTTCGCGGCTCGGAACACGGCTTCCGTTAACTTTGCCCCATTGCCGCAAGTAAGAACACTGTACCGAAAGCAGCTTTCACGGAGCTGCTTTTTCAATAAACAAAACAAAACATCTTACGGTAGCCTCCTGCGATTGCTAGGCATTATCGTTGTATGTCTTTCATAAAACAGCTTATCACATAGGTGACACTAGCAGCTAGTCAAGCTTTGTTTTTTTTTAAGTTGTGAAAAATGTGCATGAACAACTCTGCAAGAATGACCAAACCAATATGCTTTGCCTGAGTTTAATCACAAAAATGTACTGCATTGCTGCAATTTTTTTATCAGTGCGCGATATATAAAGCAGTTCAGCATGTATTATCACCATTAGAAAATGTTATCACTGGCTGGAAGTAAACAGCAAACGTAAATCATAATCTACGAGTTTTTTTTTCAAAGCTTGCATACCGATAGAACGCAAAATGCAATTTTTAAAGTTTCTTTCGTTATGCGACAGTGCTGCTACGCTACTTGGCTCAAATTGCTAATGAAACAAACGTAAGGTCAAGCCTTGTCATTTAGAGTCCATAGTATTTTGTGCACCCGGCCATAGCTATGACCCGGCTTGACCGAGCAAGGTATGTTGGTGCATTTTGTAACATCGTTACAAACTTCCGTGAGTGTCTCTGCAGTGGAGAATCAATCGTCAGACTTTACATTAGTGTACTTACTGACCGTTCAGGTAAAGTGTGCCGACGGCGCTTCATTAGGAAGCGACACTAAATTAAAAACTCTCCGCTGTCGGGGTAGCGACTTCACATGCTGCGGTCATTCCATTTTTTTTTTTTTTGCTTATTATTTTCGATATTGGGTGTTTCTGATGTGCGCCCGCAGAGCTCCTAGCATCGTCGTTTTGCGGTAGTTGTGGAACCCGCGTCGAAACCTTTAAACGCTTGTATTACTTTTAAAGACGCTGCTCTATAGAGCGATCTGTGTTTACGTTCGTTTAGAAACGCCGGAACCCGGAATTGCAGGTGCCCCGTCGCAAAACTTTCAGCTAGTTTTGTCAAATTTGTGACGTCTATCAGACAAAATGTCGCCGTTGAGCGCGTTCTTCGTAAGTTTTTACGCTTAAAAATGCGGTTTCCAAACTTCGACGTGCTTAGCCGAGTGGTTTTAACACGTGTCCTTAAGTGGTTGGTAATTGAGCGAATAAGCGAAAGAAAAACCCGCTCGAAGCGAATGACACCTGCTTTCATTAGCTATGGTTCAACACATAGCAGTGACGAAATCGGTTTCGCCGTCCAATGCAGGTGGTCAGTGCAGCATATGGGTGCTGTGTGGTGAAACTGCGCATCTTTACTGTGTAACTTTGTGGCCCTATTCGCTGATGTAATTTTGCGCCGGTTTTCCGCTTTCACGAGCACGGAGCCGCAATTTGACTTGCGATGGCTCGTGATCCTTGTGCGAATTCCGAACGTAATCTTTATTATTATAGGAACGACGAAGGCCTTGTTAGCACATTGCGATTGTAGGGCCGCGAGTGTGTCACTTGTGTTTACGGCGGAAACGCCGCTATGATTGACAGAAAAACCGCACATGACTAGTGGCGACGCCACGTTGAGATTTCCGTGTTAAGTGTAGCTGCCGCTGCTGGCTGTTGGTGGACTGTTTTAGTTCACTTGAAAAATAGATAAATTTGTTTGTAGGCGTGTGTGGTGCAAAAATAAGAAGAAAAAAACTTCGTTCAAGGAAATATTACAAAATCTGTGACGGTGCGCAGTGACGTCATTGCTTCATTTAGTGCGTGAGGGAAATTGAGAAAGGGAAGTTTGGCCTTGAGAATGCAGTGAAGTGAATTTTCATTATGGATAGCTTGCACGTTACGTCGTAGCCGCAGCTTCATATTGTATCGTTTCACCAAGGCGGTCTTGATGACGTAAAGGCACCATAATTACATCGGGGTCTACTTCAATATGACACCGACGCAGTCAGAATTTCATTGAGCTCTGTGTATTGGATAACGAGAGAACCTGCAACTGATGTAATGATGACATTAACCCGCAACGTCTCAAACCTTGCGTGTGCCATGTGGTGCATTGTCGTGGTGGTTTCAGTCACGTTAGTGCAAGACATCTATTAATAAAAAGTTAGAAGCTAGCATATTTCAACGTATCACGTGGATGCAGGATTTGTGTGTGCAAAGAACACTACGGAGTTACGACTGACCAGTGCGCACGCACACTGGCCCTTTGTGCTGAAAGTATTCTTTCAGTGCGTGGTCCTTCGTTGATCAGCTTGCCATGAAATATTGGGAGGCCACTTGTTGCTAATATGTATGTCTGTTTGACTTTTGGGCTGCGCCAACTGCCGCTGAACTAATGGTAGTGTGTTCGAATACAGCAGCAATGGTGGCATTTAAGTGGTGGTAGAAAGTAAAACACTCTCATGTACTCAAATTTCGGTGCATTTGAAGAACCTCAGGTGGCCGAGGTCATTCCGGAGTTCCCTCTAAGGCAGGCTTCATTATAGGGTCGCAATTCCTTAAACATAAAGTTCCAAAATTAGATTTTATCTTATTTTATAGGCCAAGTTAATCGTGGAGAACTCTGCTTGATAATTTGTACAAGAAGGAACGCTCAAGGATGGGCACTGGCCAGCAAATGCATTTATTGTGCGTGTATGATTATGTGGCTGGTGAAAGAGAGAATGGCAGATGGAAGAGAATTTTCGCTGTTGCACATGGATGAGACTATAAAAACAAGATGTGGCTCAGCATGGTTAGGGGTGGAAAAAGCTGTACTTTTTGTCAACTAGGATAAGTGATGGAGCGCTAAGACACGCTAACACATGCTTGCACGTCATTTTGAGGATATCGAAAATATCTTGAGCATGATTATCCCCGTACCTGTAAAAATCTTGTGTTCATTTTCAAGCAGCACTGTTCATCATCATGATGCATGTATACCACATTGAATGTAAAGTCCGTAAGTTTGTGAATGCGGACAATGGCCACTGTGTGCTTTTGCTTCTTTATGTGTATCTTTTTCTAATTGCCTGCATTTCCTCTCTGTACCTTGCTGAAGATTGGTGAACGACTGGTGACCGGGACAGAAGCAATTTTCACAGCTGTCGGGAATGTCGCACGTCAAGAGGCTCGTGCTTTCCATAGTCCAGTTCCTGCGTCAGCAACTCCAGACCGCTGACTTGACCATCGACGCCAAGGAGAGCTTGGAAGGTTTGTTGTTCATTTAAAATGTCTGCATGAATGCAGTCGCCTTAAAAGGCGACGCCGAAGAGGACTATTACTTCAGTTGCGTTATACTCGGATACAACATAACAAAAGGGGAAAAAAAAGCAGTTCCGCCCACAGAACTGCGTTGCTGCAGTCTTCGTTTCAGCCTTTTCTTGGCTAACGTGAATACCATGGATAATAAGAATTGAAGGCTCATCGTTACTACCTGCAAAGTTATGTTCACTTGAGCAGGGATTTCAGAATACCCTACAAAAGCTATCACAACATTAGTTTTTTACGTAAAACTAGCGTTGCAAATGTGTAAATTAGCTATATAAAACTCCAAAAAAAGTTTGGCCTCTCAAAAATGACGTAGCGCTATAGGACGGAGCACTTAAGCAAACTCTCTGTGGGAAATACAGTGATCGTTGCGGGTGGAGAGGACATTGTTTCTTAAATTGCACTAAAAGTTGTGATGTCACATTGATGTTCAAGGGCTGAGGTCATTACATAAAATCGTAAATAGAATATTCTACATTCTGTGAACCATGTCACAGTCTTCTTGTTTGTTGAAGGGCTATGGTACTTTGAAAAGTGTGCATTACACCAATGTAATGGTTCCAGAATTGCTACACGGTAGTGTGCTCCCCGTTGTTGCATGTAACGGAACTCGAAAGATGGCGCCAGGCCATTGCACGAGCCGGCCGGAGGCCGGAGCTGTTATCTGACACCAAAGTGAACCCCTGTGGTGAGCGCGAGTGTGCAAGGTTCTGAGTCAAGGCAGAAGAGGGACGGCTGTGGAACCGGAGAGATGCCGTATTCTTGTCTCTCCAGCAGTTTACCTTAAATAAACGTCGTTTTGTTAAAGTTACCGTTGTTTCTTTGCCAGTCTTTTCTCTTCCATCTCCTGAATCATCATCATCGTTTTTGCATCTAACAATAGTCAAGGCGTTGAAGTTTGCCCTACCTTTGCTCTTTTACTGTTCAAAGTAACATATTGAACTTAAATCGGTTATACATATCAAATATTTTTAAACCAACTTTTGTGTCACTGTGAGTGACTGTATCACAGTCACTCACAGTATCACAATCACTCACATTAGTGCTTCTGACAGTGACACTAATATTTTCAGAATATTTCATTGGTCTTTACTTGCTGTCTTTTTTCAAGCAGTTTGTCAGTTAGCAATGCTGCAGTAAAAAAAAAAAAAAAAAAAAAAAAAGTGGCATATGAAGTTTCTGTTCTCGTTTGTGCTTCAACTGTGCAGTTGCTGTACAGTGTCTGGAGACTGCCTACGGAGTCAGCCCTGAGGACCTTTCAAATGAGAGCCTGGTAGTGTCGCGGCCGTTGCTAGAAATCTTCCGGGACGCACTTCCTCGAGAACATGTAAGAGTTTTTCATCTCTGTTTTGCTTTCTCTTTCCCCATAACTTCAGTAGCATTGCCCGCTATATAAAACAGAATTGGTGATAGTGCCCTAAAGGGTAAAAAAAAAAGGACATTGAGAGACGGTACTCATGTGGCACCTTTTGTGTTCATCTTCAAAGGAATCCTGAAACTAAACTATTTTTGCAGCAAGGCTTTGTCTAACCTGTGCCATAATCACAGTAGTAGTAGTAGATTTAGTAGCAGTAATAGTAGTGCAGTCGAACCCTGCTACAAGTAACGCCGCTTCAACCAAATTTCCGCTACAACAAAAAATTCACGGTTCCTTGTCAGCAGTTAAGGAGTCAATGCATAAATATTGTCGCCACAACGAACACTTTTTCTTCTGCTGTCCTGCTTTAAAAAAATTTCACGAGGCAATGCAAGCTCAGATAATTATTGCTATACAGTACACACAATTTTTATCATTTTGATGCATTTTTGGAACCTGAAAATATGTCGACGAAGTCTAAAAAATGCGCTGGCACCTCCATAAACTGCTGCTGTTCAGCAAGCATGGGTGCCGCCATTGCTCGATAGCGATGGCAATGAAACTGCCCTGTTTTTGCAACTGGCTTGCTTTTTAGCCGCAGACGATACGAAGCTGAAGCTCAGTCGCTCAATTCATGGTTTCTTTTCACACAGCTGTGCGGAACGATGCCTTTTTCGATGCCAATGCGTATCATTTCGTTCGTGCTTGAACATTGTGGTAACTAATCAGAGTGGCTATTCATCCTCATTAACAAGTTCAGCTAGCCGCTTGTAGTGGATGATAAGAATGGCATAGAATAAGGCAAAAGTCACCGCTCCACGATACCCTGCCTTCATCGCGGCGTTGTCAGATACACTTTGACGGCAGACAGCTGCTGGTGTTAATGCAACTGTTTGGTTCGCCCATGAAAGCGGTTGTAGGCATTATTTCAGCGTGCTTTTCAGCATGGCCTTGCTATGCATGGGTGAGAATCGCGCGTGACGCTGCTGGGAAAAAATAGGAAGCAGCGGACCTTTTTTGAATTTTGATAATAAACATTCCTTTATTTTGCTAGCTAAGATGAGCTATATTTTTTTTATTTCACTGCTACGAAATTTTGCTTCAACGAAATTTTTCCGCGCCCCGTCAGTTTCGTTGTAGCGCGGTTTGACTGTAGTAGCAATAGCACAAGTAGCAATAATAGTACTAGTGGTAGCAGCAACACTAGTCGCAGTAATAGAAGCAGCAGTAGTAGTAGTAGGCATCGCACAGATCGCATGACAGTATCGAACCCACTACTCAATTCACTACACCATTCTCGATCCCTTCATTGCAGTGAAGCTGTCCTAAGTCTACCCTGTCATCGTAGTACTAGGCGTCACGCAGTTTGTGTGACCAGAGGAGGGAGTAAATAGGAAAAAAAAAATACAATACAAGTTTGATATCTCCGTCATGTGAATCGGTATGATACGAAACTAATCCTTGTCTGTACAGAAGTAGTTGAATATTTACGGTACATTAATATAAGAGAGCTTTCACAATGTCAGTGTTTAGCAAGTGTAGCACCATTAACGTGTATGCAGCCACAGTGACGCTTGATGGACGACTAACATCCCTTGTCAATGATTTTAAAAATTTTCGTTGTAACTGTAGCTGTTAACGATGAGAGCTTAATCGGAGAAAGCGGTGTGACAGCCAGAAGAGCGCCGCTGACTAGACTTAAAAATTGGGACGAGGTCGCCTTCCGTGATATGTACGATGGCAGGACTAGAGCGAAACGCAGTGCGCGTCAGGGGAATACAAAGCGCAGGCGGGGAACGGGGTGTTATGGTAGTGTTGTTACTGTCAGGCATTGCAAGCACGCGTCGCAGAGATATATTTAATACAGATCAATGCTATGGGGGTGGGGGGTCGGAAGCAAGGCTTGGGCCAAGGTTGCCGCCTCGTGGTCTTAAGGCAATGACTAAATTGCACTTCCATTGAAAACACGGCGAATGAAAGGGATCCATAGCAATGACGTGATGCAGGAGCTAATTGTGGAGGCCACAGTCATTATACATTACTTCACTTTATCGCCCCCAGAGGGCAACACCACTCGGTCGACCAAAAGCATTGTGAGAAGAAAGTGTGAGATATAAAAGGGGCATTTCTAACACCTCCAGAATGCATGACCATGGCAAGGTGGATAGCGTTCCTGGCATCTGTTTTACAAACCAATACCTCATGGGTTCGACTCCCATTAATGGAGCTTTTTTTCTTTGTTATTTGATCATGCTAATTTTTTCTATGCAATTCCCGTGATGGAAATATATCAATGAATTTTCGATGGACCCTGGCATGAAGCACTTTTGTGCTAAAAAGCTAAAGAAATTTTCTTAGTGAGTCAGTGTTGATTGATATGTGGGGTTTAACGTCCCAAAACCACTATATGATTATGAGAGACGCCAAGAGTCAGTGTTTGAACCCGGGTGCTCATGGTATAGGGGTAGCGTTGCAAACACTGGGTTGTACACCCGTGATTCCAGAATCAGGTGTAAGCACAGGCATTTCAATTCGAGTGGCAGATCTCCACCACCACCTGACCTTGCTGGCCAATAGCACAAACGTAATCAGTTACAACTTGGCTGTCTAATGGTTTTTGCGGCATAAAAATGGCTGAAATATAGTTTTCTTTCTTTTTTTTTTTAAGCTGTGCAAACGATTGGGCGACAACTAGAATAAGTCGTTTGCACTTTAACACAAGTTCTTGTGTCAAGGGAGCTGGGGGCATTTGAAGATTGGGGGGGTACTATCACCTGCTGTAAAGTGATTTATCCCTCGTGGCGCACACGTGTCCCGTGGATAAGCCACGTTTAAGGACAACAGCCAATGAGAGGTAGGTGGTGCAACGTTCGCACGCGATCGTCATTACCACCATCATCATCATTATAGTTAGCACAGTAGCACCAGCAGTGACGCCTGGCGGCGAGTTAAGGTGTGTGGGGAGAACAGATTGGTGACTCTCTTGTATGTAGCGGCTGGGGAAAACGGTTGTCTCCTGCGGTGAGTCCATAGGTGGACGGCAGAGCGGTTCGCCTGCCATGGGCCCTCGGGGTGAGTCTAGCGTTAGTGGCGCCGCTTTTGCACTACCTTTTGTTTGTCCTCATGTTTGATTGAGTGTATTCAAATATTGTGTAAGAATCTTTTAGCGTGTTGGGTGATATATTTTATTCAGCTGGCGATATTGTCTATCTAAAAGTAGTTAAATAGATGTGTGCTTTTTGGCTTTAGTCCAACCGCGTCTGCTCGGTCCGTTCACTCCGAGAGCATGGTGCCTAATTTCCAAACCCCACAAGGTTAGCCGCTTTCTAACCCATGCTGAGTGGTCAGGGCTTAGTTGCACTTTATGTGATCCTTTGCGAGTGTTCACTAGATTGCGAACTCCACGCTTCATGTTTGGTTGATCTCTGCACCACAAGTTCCCGCTGCAAGTTCATTCACCAGGCAGATCTCTCCTCCTTTACAAATGAAAATCCAACCGAAATATACGCTGGGGTGACGTTCCAATACAGTGGAGTGTCTCAAAAAGACGGTTTCAGCACAACGCTGAAGCAATGAATGCGATAGCAACACATCAGACTGTTATATAAAGTAAGGCTAGGATATTTAGAAGCCATACAAATTGTAGTGAAGACGGTCGAGTGTGCGTTGAGCTGCAGCGTTTCTCACACACGCAGCAGCACATTCTTCCGGTGTCTGGGCACGTATGCGAGCCCGCCTTTCTTGAGCGCGACTAGCATTCCATTGGAGATGCCCCGCAGGTGTTCGTTTAACACGCGATGGCATCACAAAGGCCAAAATACATAGAGCGTTCTCGCTGGAGTTTGTCCGGCGTTTCCTTCCTTGGTGCCAGTCGACGTCGATGATCCGGTGGAGGTAGTGAAAAGTGCAGTTTCAATGCACTTTACCAAAACGTTCATCTCAGATTGTCCCAGATATTGCAGTGTGGGCGTCTACACTGGAAGCAGCTGGATGGTGGAGGAAGCTTGCTTGTTCCTTGGTATATGGCTCCCACCCACCACGGGGGACCGGCCATAGAACCGGCGGTTAATATAAAGAAAGTTTGTAATTTTGAAAAGGGATTAGGTAGAAATCAATTGCCACATGAATAAACAAAAAATTTTGAATAATCAACAAGTGGCTACATGTTCATTGACCTTAAGCCAGTGGTAAATGGTGTATGTATATATATATATATATATATATATATATATATATATATATATATATATATATATATATGGTGTATGTATATATATATATATATATATATATATATATATATATATATATATAGCTCGTCGTTAGTGAGATGGACAGCATGAACAGCGTGGCCAAGTTAACGCGGCATGCAAAGGAGCGAGGGGTCGCTGGTTTGAATCCCCAGTAGGGTGCCTTAGAATTTTTTCTTGTTTATTTTTTGTGTGTCTTTCATATATGTATATGTATATGTACTTACAAATATGTATCCAGGACATGACGACAACGGCAAAAGTCAGCTGAGTGTGTCCATATAATTGCTATCGCAATAAAACAGCCGGCTGAAAGCTGTAGGCATGATGCAAACTCATGCAGCTTTACTAATGATCATGCTGCAACTTGCACATGTCTAAAGCCTTGTTATAAATTATGCACATTTTAGAAGGTGCTAAAGTCAGTTTGTTAATGATCTTAAGGACCTACACTACCAGCTTGATGAGCTTGGTAACCTACGGAAAGATTTAAAGGTCGTCCTGATGAGCCCATTCTAGGAAGGCTGTGAAATGCTTTTAGTGGCTTGAGATTACACATTTAAAGGAATGCTTAGCTGCTCTTTCAACCCACTTCCAGGTACAGACTAGTTATGAAGATGTACCTGAGCCAACCGAAGCACAGAAAGCTGAAGCTGAGAAGTACAAGCAGGAAGGTAAGTTTTTGAAAAAAGTGTCAGTTACGTTAGTGCACTCACTTAGTTCCATAATTTACATTTCGTAATTAAATATGAAGTCTGTGTACAGTTCACATTCATTAATTTGTCTTTGGCTAGACCTGTAGAATTAGCAGAATTTTAATTAGCAGAAGTTTCTGATGGTTTGATTTATGCAGTAGACAAAAATATACTGGGTCTATGCTGAAATTGCAGCACAGCCACAGCGAAAGCTAAAAGAGCGGCATTTCTAGAGCCTGCTTTAAACTCTATTGGGGATACTGATACGAGTACACTTCCAAAGTACCCACTACGCCATAAATCATAACTTTTGTCAAATTAGTAAGCGCGCACTATGCCATTATTCGTCAGAAATTGAAGACGCACCCAATATTTTTAGAAAGAAAATCTTGGCTCTAATTCTGACAATGTGGAAGAGACAACACCAACCCATTTCATTTTCGTGAAATGAAACTTTATACTCAATGTCCATCGTTATCACTCTTAGCTCATGGCTATGAAAAACCATGTTATATCATTCTTTGTAAGATTAGTAGTGCATTCTACATCTCGCACTTATGAAACCTAGGAACATTTGTAATGGGATAGTGGCACACATCAAAGTACTGTGTCAGTTCTTCCTGTAATTTGTGCAGTACTGGAACGTCACGAACATGTTACAGGCCTTGACAGGTAAAATAGCATTGTTACACTTGCCTTCATTATGAATGCTTTCTATTACCACTTTGCGATGCTCATGACTATTATAGTGGCTGGACTGTCTGGTTACGGTAGGTTGTTAACCTACGTGGTTTTTGTATAGGATTGGCACAGCCCAAGCCATTCTCACGATAAATTTCCTCTGGGAAAAAAAAGTTACTATAGGGAAAATGCTGAGATAATTCACTGGGGGGTACCAATCCCACTTATAAATTTCGCTGGCGCCAGCCGAAAACCTAAAATGCACCTTGTTCGGCACATTGACGGCCAAGATGGTTGGACCACTGCGGTCACCAGCAGGGCATAATTGTTTCTTGCCACGAGCTCTTCCAAATGGTGTGCTGCCTTTTTATTTTCCCATTTTGTTTTCATTTGCCTACGGTGTAGTACAGCAATGCAAGTTTCAGTTCTGTTTCAGTTTATCTTTATTCATTACTGTACTATACAGTAGACCAGTGATTCTCAGCCATGGATGTGTGGGGGACCCCTTGTGAACTGCTGGAAGTGATGGGAGACCCCTTGCTGCGGAGGAAGGGAGGGAGAGGGGGGATACATACGTAAATTAACACGACTGGATTGTGAAACAGGTGCCTTTTATTGCTACCAAAAACATCAAGCAAACGTGCCCCATCACTTCATTTCGGATAGTTCATCAATACGTGGCACAGCCATGCTTAAAGAAAAATGCAGGTGAGGGTTTCGCAGATCATAGAAATGGCTTCACAGACCCCCATTTGAGAACCACTGCAGTAGACTATCAATAAACGAAAATTTCATAACTGCTACTTACATGAAGCAATCGTCTCTAGTATGATTGCTTAGGTACTTGAACTCTGCATTGTTGTTCATCTGAGTAAATGACAGTTCTGTTGAGTGGAACTAGTTTTCCTGGTCTCTTCGTGTTCTGCGTAACGAGAGTCCAATTCATTACAATAAATTACTTACAGACACACAAGCGTCTCAAAGTGTTGGACAAGTCTCAACTGCTCTCTTTGTTGTTTCAGGCAACCACATGATGAAGCTTGAAATGTACACAGCCGCTCTGGAGTGCTATACGAAGGCCATTAGCCTGGATGGACGCAATGCTGTTTACTACTGCAACAGGTGCGATTCCTTCTGATAATGTACAGTTAAACCCCTTTATAAGAGGCATGCTCCGAGCAGCAATTTTAGTCTTTTACATGAGATGTCTCTTATAAGCAAGGTAGCTCATATGCATTTTCAAGTCAACCCATACTTTACTGTAGGCACACTGGTGTCTTTTATACAATTTTTTCTATTATATCAGTGTCTCTTATAGAGGGGTTAGACTGTATTTGTTCTTGTTTTGTCTCGGAACCATGATGGGACGCCATGTGGGGGAAGGCTCCAGAAATTGCAATCACTCGGAGTTCTGCAATGTGAACCTAAATCTAAGAAACACGCTTGTGTGAATAGTGAATTTTAGGTTCGAGGCGAATTTGAAGCGAATAGTGATCCTGGTCAAATAATTACACATCGTGTACTATAAATAAAAATGGGCATATTTTCTGCACAATACCTGAAAAAAAAATTAAGACAAGGCCTGTGCAAATGCCTTTTTTTTTTTAGATGCGAAGCAGCTCTTTGGTTAGTCTGTGTAATGCTGTCCCTCTGTACGAACGCGCTGCAGGTGTTGTCACCGTGCCAAGTAGGTAATGCCGCTGCGCGTTGACGTCACTCTCTCCCTCGCCTGCCACGGCACCCGAAGCTGCCGCCTCGTCTGTTTGCCCGCAACACCTGCCGGGACTGCCGCTTGCTACACCGTCGACTCGTCAATTCATGTGCATTATTATTATTATTTGTTTGTATACAAGGGGACACAAAGGAAAGAGCCATAGAGCAAGCTGGCAACTGCTACCTGGAAGGCACAGTGCCTGCTCACTCTTTTGGGAGGAGGGAAGAAACAGAGGAAACGAAGAGGGGAGAAAAAGAAAAGAAGAGAGGGAAGTAAAGAAGAAATGATGAAAACTTGGACAAGCATAAGCAAAAAAAAATTAAAAACTTGAAAAATCGGACTATAAATGTGTGGCCAGGTCCCCAAAGGTTACTTGCGTCAATCACTGCGAAATGAACATCAGATCGTATATGCAATAACGTTTTTGAAGCATGTCGTCGGTGCGTGGTGTCTGTACACTGGAAAGATCCACACGCCGTCACCGTGCATTGGGCATTGATGTGAACGCCTGCGTAACCCGGAAGTATGAGCGCATCATCTCTTAAATTGGTTTCTAGGAAAGCTATAACGTCCGGCGTATTCTTCATTGAAAGGAGCCTAAGAACGAGGTCAGTATGGCGCGGTAGTAGAGACATGACGTTCCGTTGTAAAACACATGGATGGGGCTTGCGACAAGTGTTCAGGTTGCTTTTGGTGAAGACTGTCGAGAAATGTAACGAGAGCGTTGAAACGTGTCTGTACGTGTCACCTACAAGAACTAGGCCAGTACGCTCTCAAGGTTGTCGCCTCTAGCGTTTCGATCAGTGCCGCCTCCCCGAAGGTCACTTCACTCACCGGCGTGTCCACGAAAGAAGCACACTGCTCACACACGAAGAAATAAGAATTGTGACAGTGGTTTGCGCTTGTCCTGTGTTTACTTGAGCATTCGTTTTGCGAGTCTTTCTTTCTGTTTGAATGTCGCGCTTTAAGTGTCGAGCTGTGACAGTCGCTAGTCCGCACATGTCTTGTGTATGCTCATTTCGTGCGTGCTTTCTGCTTGAGGTGTGCGCTGGGATTTTGAGCTGGTTGTCGTTCTTTGCGCGATTTTGCAATTTGTTGCTGTAGCATCCATTCCTTCACCCTTGTGGCAAAACAATGCATAGAAAACGTTCAACTACCCCTGTCAAGGCATGTTTCACTTTCGTATTATACCGATACCTAGAGGAGAGGGATCAACCACATTTTTTGAAAATGTGTATGATAGTGCAAGCAAGCGATGGAGGTCGGTTGGGAGTGGTGGAACCATCTTGGTTTGGTCAGATGCGCGGTGCATGGGGAAGTGCACGTGCGGCTCTTGCGTGTAATCCATTGGTTCCAGATTCCCAATAACGTTTCGTGGGGTCTGCAAACTATTTTTGTGTGTGCACGAATCGACGGAAAGCCGGGGGTGTGATTGTCACGCGGATCTGCTGCATATTTGTTTCATGAATGGTCCGAATGCAAGTTTGTTTATCTACTACTTTCACAGAGCCGCAGCCCACAGCAAGCTCGATAACCACCTGGATGCCATTGAGGACTGCCAGAGGGCGTTGGAGATTGACCCCAAGTACGGCAAGGCATACGGCCGAATAGGGTAGGTGCCACTTGCTGCAGAGGCTACACATTGTTAGCAAGTCTTGTTAGATCTGTTTTGCACCTCTCCTATCGGTGTTCATTCTCGTGAACTATTGTCACTGTTCCAGTGCTTACGTTTTATGCTAGTTACAGTGAATAACTTTAGGCTGCTGTACGACCACTTCCATATATTCATTGTCATTCACTATACCATTGTTATCACTACGTCATTCACTTGTACTTACGCAAACCAGTTGTTTAATAATGATATTGTAACGAAGATCAGTGCTATTCTGAAAGGCAGAGGGTACCGCTCTCAGGCAGAAAGACGACGACTTTCTTGGTTGGTGCATCGCGACGCTTGCACCTGCTCGGCTGTTCCTTCCCGACCTGCTGCAACGAACCATATGGTTTATTGAAGAAGTGCTGCTCCCAAACACCTTATTTTAATATAAACAATTATAGTAGGAATGGTAATGAGGCATTCAACGTGTTTAACGAACACTTGTTGCACTATTGCTTCTTGAAGATGCTACTGTGTGCTCATTTTTACTTAATTTCATCCAAGTTGATTGTGACCTACCCCTATTTATTTTCTTGTCAAATCAATGGGCAATGCTTAGCACCTTAGTATTGCTCTGCCTGTATTATCTATTTAATTAGCTGATTGTGGAATCTGACTCGATCAGTTGCTATGAAACTGCTGCCTGGTATATGATTTCCCAGTGACATATAAAGACACTCAAACCTCATTATAACAATCATGGTTATAACGAAATATCTGTTATAACGAAATAAGCAATAAATAGTCGTGTGATAAATACCGTGTCAGTAATAACCTTTGTAACGAATTTTTGGATACAGTATAACAAGCTTATTTTCTTGTAAGATGCATCTTTGTGTTAATGAGGTTTGAGTATAGCGTGTATTAGTTATAGAAAAGATCCTGGTGATGGCAGGTGGCTGAATATAATTTGTACTGCTGCACTGATGCTTGGTTTTTGTTTCTTGCAGTTTAGCATATGCTAGTCTGAACCAGCACCAAAGGGCAAAGGAATGCTACCAGAAGGCGGTAGAACTTGACCCTGAAAACCAGAGCTATATCAACAACCTTCGAGTCGCCGAGGAAAAACTCCGTGAGCTGTCGGTGAGTTTTTCACCGCAGCTGAGTGAGAAAAGCAGCTGTCTCTATTTTTTTGTGGCGCCGAGGTTCTGCTTGACTGACCCTTCCGAAAGTACCGTGCAAAAGTGTAAAGCCACCTAATGGCCACTTGCGCACTTTGCAGAGCCCTGGAAATGGCGATACACCCAGGCCCGCAGGTGGTGGTGTGGGCGGTGGCGGCGGTTTAGACTTTGGGACCTTACTGAATAACCCCACGCTCATGAACATGGTAAGCACCTTGGCTAAGACATGTTGAGGCTTAGGATGGAGGCTGTTTTTTAATGCACTGCTTGCGCCGAATCACGGAGATATGTTGGCGGCAACAGCGCTGTTTTGCTGGCAACTGCCTCAAAAGAGAACTGAAACATAAATTTGAAGGTGAGATAACTGGTGCAATAGCTTTGTGTGGACAGTCATAATCTATTATATATGTTCCAGGCTTATATAGCTTAAAACATATTTAGCACACATTTATGGTGCGTGTTGCACATATGCACACAAAATGCCCCACTTTGTGACCTTGCACCTATTTGGTTGTATTGTAAACAACCAACAACCACCTGCATCACGAATTTGTGTAGGCTGTGATGGTCCATGTGCACTCTCTCTTCCAGCAGACCTTTTCAATGGGAAGCCGGACTTTCACAGGAGCACATATGTGGATCACCTTGCCTTGGCGGTGCATACCGTATTTACTCGATTCTACCGCGCCCTCGATTGTAACGCGCACCCGATTTCCACCGCGGGAAAAAAAAAAAAAAATGTAAGACATCAATTGCAACGCGCACCCATTTCTCTCGCTGGCCCGCACGATCACATCACTCGAAAAAACGACTCCTTTCGGGAGCGTCTTCCATTTAAATATGAGGTACGGGCGAAGCTTGTGCCCATCTGACGTGTAACAGACCATTGCCGTCACTGTAGTTTTACCGTGGACCGATGTCAGCACGCGAACTTGCTTCGCCCCCTTCTTCTCGACGGTTGTGGTGCCAGGCATGTCGAAGTAAAGAGGCGTCTGATCGGCATTCCCGATTTGCCCAAGCAGGTAGCCGTTGTTGCGCCGCAAGTTTAGGACGAACCTCTGAAAACTGTGAAGCTTTTCATCGTACTCCTCCGCAAAACTTTTCGCATATGCATGTTCCCCTTCGGAGGGAAAAGCCTTTCCTCTTCATAAAGTTAGTTAGCCAGCACCTGCTCGCTTTAAACTGGCTCCGCATTAGACCTTTTTCTAAGACTAATTGCATAGCCCACACTTGGAGCAGTTCTGTCGTCACGGGCCGCTGTGCGACTCGCTGCTCAAGCACATACTCACCGAGCAGCTCTTTAATTTGCGGAAACCGACCCCGGTGTGGTCCACAGAAGCCTTTGCGTGAAGTTTTGCTGTCGACAATCTTCTGCTTTTGTTTCCGCCGGTCCCGCACGCACGTTTTGGGAACTCCGAACGACCGCGATGCGACCCGATTTCCGTCCGTTTCTGCACACGCGATGACTTTTCTTTTAAAAGCGGCATCGTGGTGCACTCGAGTTTTGGGAGTCGGCCCATCCACGCCGTCGATTCAAATGCACTACTAGATGACGAACTCCTCAGCACACGTACGAAGTGCCGCACATGGGAAACACATAGGCAGAACTGGCCGACGCGCTATGCCGACGCACGTAGGGGGCGGCCATTTTGGATTTGCCGATGGCAATAGATTGACCGTAATTTTTTTGTTCGTACTCGATTCTAACGCGCATGCGATTTATGAACTCGCTTAACCGGAAAAAAGGTGCGCGTTAGATTCGAGTAATTTCGGTATTTCGGGGAGAGGAATGGGGGGGGGGATCTGTTATGCATATTTACAATGTCTCGACGGGTGTTATCTCGGGTGCTAGCTCATTATGTCTTACTGTGCATCGTAATCTGAAGCTCCACATCCTATTGTATGCAACTCACTGCATGTTTCCCTGTTGAAAAAGGTCAAGTGTACTGCTGCTCCAAGCAAGCAACCAGCTATTTGAATGTGTGTGCGAGACGTCAAAGCCACGGGGCCAAAAACATGACAGTGCCTCTTAAGGATGATGCTGTGGTGTACGGAAGGCATGGGCAGGTGCAGAGTATTTGTTTTCCATGGTGACTTCAAAAGGCAGAAAAAAGTTACCTAAGAAAAATGTTGTGAGCTGTAATTAACTGACATGTTCTTGAATGTGGAGCACAATTTTGCATGAGAGCTTCGACAGCTATCCGATAATAAGTAACTAGGGTGGACACTTTTAATGGGTGAGTCAATTATTATCTATAAAAAATTCATCTTTTAGAAGTCTCTTGCGAACATCCAATTGTCGCGTATTGTTGCCCTAGGTCCAGTCATAGTGGATCTTGCAAAACGTTGCGATCGTGCATAGTATCCCCAACAGTGACTGCACTAGTGGGAGTGCCCTGCTCAGGAGTGCTTCGGATGTACTTTGCTTCATTTCGCTTCACTTCACTTTATCTTCCTTAAAGACCTCGTAGGGAGGTAATACATAAGGGTGGGATCAACACAATAGTGGCTACGTACATTTACAAGATAGTGGCTACAATACATGTACAGGATAGTGGCAATAATGCGTTTATTGAGACATGATAAGTTTCATTTTTTTCGGAAAATGACGATAAGCAGACGGTTTCGACGATATAACGACACAATTCCCCGTGAAAACGTGGACAACTTGCTTATGTTACCAGTAAGAGCAGTGTAAGCGCTCATTTGGCAATCGAGATAAGAACCCCTCAAGTAAAGTATCTCTCAAATTGATTCTTGCTGGGAATTAATCACGATTTTCTTGTATTGGAAGAAAATATTACCCCAAGTTGTGCAACATACCAGTTGGAACTTCTTGAGGACCTGGTTGGTCCGCTTTAATAACGTGCTGATACATGCCTAAATCGGGAAACGCTACAACACACAAGAGGAGATGTGCATTGGCGTGCAGCGTACTGTTCCAAAGATTCTCGCATTTATCAAGAAGTCTCATTGTACACTGGACTCTTAATAACTCAATTTTAGGTAATTCAAACAAATCTTAAGTTTTTGGCTGGCCTGCTATGCTTTTAATCTGTTTTAAGCCACTTAATTCAAACAGATTGTTGCACAAATTTGATTAATTTGAATTTTTTGCCTACCCATGACTGGAAATATCTGCAGCCTTTATTGCTTCTAGCTGAACATTTGCATTTCTACCGCTAATAGTCTCAGCTAAAGGGAATCATCCCCATCTACAGGCTAACCAAGTGCCAGCGATTGCATGCTGAGGGAGGCAGCAGAAAAAAGAGAGAGAGGGAGAGCAGCTTGCCTGGTTTTTGTTTAAAGCTTTTTAATGTCATTTCCTCCTTAATACACTGTTGTCACGAAGGAAAGCGGCCTAACATAGAAAGTGGCTCTGAGCTGTGACGAGACACCAACTCATTTAATCTCTTATTTACACTCTCATGCACGCGTTGTATAATAAGCATTGTTCATGTTCATGTATAATAAGCATTGTTCATAAGATTGCTCATGTCTAAAAACGTTACTGGAAATCACGCAGAGCTGTCTATGACATTCCTGTGGAACTGAGAAACGGCGAAAGTCTTAACGCTAGTTAGTATGTTGTTGCGAGTCATATTTAGAACTTCCGACTATTCAAACGAAATCTGGAGGTCCCCTCAAGTTTGAGTTATCAGGAGTCTTGCTGTGTCTTGTGTCTGGAACCTGGTAGGCAGCGAAGGAGGGGGCTAATCGATATTTTTTTTTTCCAGGCTGCCACACTAATGCAGGACCCCAGCATGCAAAACATGTAAGTCAGCTGTCTCCCTAGAAACCTAATAATAATTATTGATGTTACCACGATTCGATTACACGGGACGCCGTCATGAAGGGTTCTCTAAATTTAGGCCATCTAGTGAACAGTACGATGCCGCACAGCGACATCGTACAGTAGACTCCCTTTGAACGAAACTCTCTTAAATGAAATTGCTGTTTAAATGGAACTGCCACTAATATGTTTGGTTTCTTACTTGGATATTGTACGCCTTTTTATCACTCAGTAAACAAAACTTCTCTTAAAGGAAACACGTTTTTCTCGTCCCTTCAGGTTTCGTTTAAAAGGAGTCTACTGTTCTGTACACTGGCTTACCATTTCGTTTTCTTTGAAATGCGACCGCCGGGGTCACTATTCGAACTTTTGGGTCAGCAGCCGAGTGCCTAACTGCTGTAGCGCAAGTCTCGTTAGAACAGCAGAGGCGCCGCTATGAAAGTTCTTTTGCGCAAATCGGAGCAGTGTTTACATTTGGTTTTTTGTCTTTTCCCGGCAGCATGAGCGGACTCATGTCTGGTGGTCTGAGCCAAAACACTGGTGGAGGACTGGATGCTCTCCTTCAAGCGTAAGCATTTGCTATCACTGTATACATTCGCACATTCGAGGAGTGTGAAATACACTCAAACCTCGATATAACGAAATATCGGTTATAACGAAGTAAGTGAAAAATTGTCTTGCAGTAGGTATAGTGTCAGAAATAACACTCTATAATGAATATTCGGCTATAGCAAACTTATTTTCGCGTAAGATGCGACTTTGTTATAATGAGGTTTGAGTGTATTTCATGAATGACGCTAACTGCACAAGGACTTGAAGCAGGCAGATGATAAGAGTGTTAGTTGAGCGTGTATACTGAAACGTCATCATCACGGAAGTTGCATCTTAAACAAGAATAAGTTTGTTATAATGGAAAATTCGTTGTAAAGGTACATTCCCAACACTATATCTACTGCAAGACTATTCTTCATTGTGACCAATATTTTGTTATATTGAGGTATGAGTGTTAGTCATGTTGTTCCTTGATATGCAAGTACAGTAGACTTTTTTTAAACGAAACCTGAAGGGTCGAGGAAAATGTGTTTCCTTTAAGAGGAGTTTCGTTTAGTGAGAGATAAAAAGGGGTGCAATATCCAAGTTGGAAACCAAACATATTAGTGGCAGTTGTTCCATTTACACAGCAATTTCATTTAAGAGAGTTTCGTTTAAAGGGAGTCTACTGTACTGTGTACAAGGCTACGAAAAATTCCAATACGGGATTGTCATCACTGAACAAATTTACGGCTGTTTGTGTGAATTACACTCATACGCTCTCTACGGGACCTTACATAGTATTATATGTTCAACCTGCCCTTCCAACCTATTTAATTGTATACCTTATGCCTGAAGTCTTGTTCTGAGATCTTTAAACCCCGTCTTCGAAGTGAGCTACAGCTGCGTGATGGCTGACGTCGCCATTTAACGTTAAATTTTTTTTTCTAAATGTGAAGAGAACAATATATTTTTTTTTAAATGGAATGAAAATCTTGCAAAAAAAAAAACATGTGCTTTTGTTTATTATGCTGTATTGATGACAGTTGGACGGCAAATGCATTAGTGCATGAAGATTCCAAATCTGCAAGCAGATTTCAAATCAATCATTTAGAAAAGAACTTATGGTGAAATACCACATTGTAATTGACCAATTTCGGGGGCACCAGTGTGGTAATTTACGATTAAAAAAGGTGCTTTTCAGAACTGCGTTGTTCCGGAACGTCCACCCTACAGGCTACAGCTGATTGAATGTCACAGCAGTTTCAGTGATCAATGATCACTCATTGTTTTCAAAACTTAAAAGGTAGAATTAGCTTCGATTAATTAAAATACCCAATGAAATTAGTTGCATGAAGATTACAAACAAGAAAATGTTAGCCTTTAGTTTACTTGTTCCTGAAAAAGATAATACTACCAAGTCTGTCAAAAGCTGTTCATGGAAACTTTAAAAAAAAACTTGGATAGGGCAGATGCACTTCCAAAAATAGCAAGGTCTAGGAAATTGTGTTTGAAGTTTTGGCAACATTTGTAACCTTATCTGTTGATCTTTTAAGGAAGGCTATTCTGCTAATGCATAATTTTTTTTTTTTTTTTGCCAGAGATGCATACGTAAAGGCTTCAAACTCGCAATTGATGATGAGCACTTTTTATGATTTCTTGCTAATTTGAGATGCTCATCCTCTCTTAATATGCTAAATTACTGGCTTGAGATGCAATCCAGCAAGGTCTGGTCCTTCTAGAGCACTGGTACAGACATTACTGGTACAATCGCTCAGGCACTGAACCTAGTTTAGTTCTGCTTGCATAATTTTTTTTTATTTTCAATTTGTGACTGCTTCCTAAGACCTGCTGCTGTTGTTCAATGCAGAGGCCAGCAGCTAGCGTCTCAAATGCAGGCGGCGAATCCCGAGCTGGTGGAGCAGCTCCGGCGCCAGATGAACAACAACGCAGGTAACCGCGACCCCTCCGACCCAGACGGCCCCGACAGGAACATGTGAGAACCTCCGAAGCGTAGCACTTCAGGGATCACTCGAAATCTTCTCTCGTTCTATGTCCTCGTAGCAAAAATCTACTCAAATGCATTAAAAAAAAAAAAGAAATGCGTAAGAACTTGACAACAAGCATGTGTAGCATGGTGTGGTGGAGTGTTGCAGATGGCTGAAGACCGGCAGGAAATAAAATTTCATCCAGCGTTGCCGCATCACTCTGGAGATGGTTTTTCTAAAGGCTGTTGGAAGTTTCTTTTACTCTCGGGGTTGTCACTGACAACCAAATCAGTGTTGTATAGACTCGGGAAGGGTTGTCCTCATTAACATCAATGCTGGTCTAGCTCGGTGTCCGAGTGCGAGCAGCTATAGGCCCATGCTTCAGTGTACCAAGATTCGCGTGGCTTAAACCTGGATATCAAAAAATTGATAAACGTCCGAAGAAAGTTTGTTATAAACGGGTTTTTGTTATATGCAGTTTCAGCTCAAATATTTCAAAGATAAGTTCACAAATTAAAGAAAAGGGAACTGAAGGTGGAGCTCACCCAAAACACTTGGTTTAGTAATAAAAACTGCATTGTTACTGTTTTAGCAATTATACAGGCGCACTCGATGGGTTTTTGCCGTTGCCGCCGTGTTCTGTATCCGTAAGTCGTTTTGTGTTGAGAAAATATGTACAGGCACACACTATCTTTGCCCTCTTTATGTTCTGCTTTGCTCCCAGAACACGTGCGCCACTTTGTCTGGCATGGGATGCAATCGTCGATGTGTGGAAGAACGAGTAGAGAGAGAAAGAGAGAACGCAACTTTATTGCGAGTACAGAGAGAAATTTTTGGTGGAAAAAATTTATTGAGGTGGGATCATTTTTTTTTCTTGGCGCCAGTACTCCCTATGGCATCAGTTAAATAAAAAGAAAGTTATGTTTCCTGTATGAAGGCTAGGAGTGGTCGATGCAGTGGATCGTGTGCGTCCAGCGCATCAAGTCAGGTGGTCGGCCGGGGTGGTGGGGAAGGCCGCGTAGGTGGCGAGTGCGAGCCTGGTGCAGGCCGGACAGGTTCCCTATGGGTGATCGAGCGTTGCCTCTGTGGCTGGGGCAACGCAGAATGGGCATGTTATTAGGGGAGGCTGTGCACCGGATGTCCATGTAGCCCGGATTGCAGGAGTCAAGGCGGCGCCCACACAAATCCTCCTGAGCGCAACCTCCTCTCAGCGAGTTAAGCCACGGGGAAGGTCTGGTCCACGCAGAGGAATGAGTGCACGCATGGAGCGCTGGAAGGTCTTTTTGTGCACAAGCAAGCTGCCCTTCGGGGACAAAGTGGAGGCAGCGGGTGTTGAACAGCCGCTGGATGGCAAGCGGCGTCTGCTTCCAATTGAGCCGGTGCAGACCGGCGGGTCTACTATACGCGGACAGGACGGTCGCGTGAGTGAATCAGTCGGTGTATATCAGATGCTAAATCGAGGGAGCTGGTCACTTTTCACAACTCTCGAACTGCCTGCGTGGAGTTCGTATATACAAGCAATTTATCGTGTGACAAAGAATTCATTTTGGATATCATAAATGTTAACCCGACCCGTATTGCAGTGAGCTCTGCTAATACTGATGGGAACTGTGCCTCTGTTATGTAAGAGCAGATATGTTGAGTTTCAGGTAACGCGGGGCATACGAGACTGGTGTGCAGAACGCAGTTATCGATAGCTGTATCTACGTATACATACCGCTAGTGAGTTGTCGATGGTAGTGGTGACGCCCTCCTGCGCCACTTGTTGGGTTGATTGTCGCAGACGGGCCAGTGGTCGGTCATCGCTGGCCTGTGCCTTGAGCCGTGGTGGAACTTCTGCCTTGGGTGCGTCGGGCTGTGGCAGCGTTGAATTATAGTAGTGAGCTAGAGCCGCCGCCGCAGGAACAGCTTGACTCTATAGGTAGCGAACGACTCGACGCTGGTGTGCAATTTCGTTGATAGTGTTGAGCTGCACTTCCGCCTGGAGGGTCGCGATAGATGTTTACGAGGTAGGCATGTAATCGCCCTTATGGAATCTTGGTTGGCGGTTTCGAGCAAGTCCCAATCTCTCAATGTCAGTCGTTGAAACTGAGCTTGATGCTTGATAAACAAGCCGAGATTGTATGATTGATCGCACCAACACACGGGCCATTTGAGAACAGGCGCCTCCAATCTTTTGAGAGATGCGACGAATGAGGTGAAGGGTATGAGCACTCTTCCGACGAGCAGAACGAACCCACGCATTTTCAGAGCCAGATGCGTAGGATTCAAGCCTCGGTACCGTCGATCCGAAGGCGAGCATCATAACCGCTCCACTGTAGAGGCACTTACTGAGCCTAACATGCCCTTGCATTGTATAGTATAGTAACAGCGTGGGAAAGTGAAGAGAGGGATGAGTAGGAGGGAAGGGTAAAGCATAGCATAGAGAAATACAAGTAAAGACAAAGTATCACAGACAAATGTACTGAAATAGAAAGAGAGGAAGTGAGGAATAGGAAGGGAAGAAAGGGAGAAAGAAAAATATGTAGATAGTAATGGAAATAGACAAAATAAAAAGGCATAAAAAAGTATAGAGCAAAAGAATGTGAAGAAAAGCCCACCCAACTATGCACTTCAGACTTGGCACCACAAATGTCAAGCTGCCCGATATTTTTTTTTTCTCTGCGATCTCAAAAAAGCACAGCTTTTACTAAAGGCTCTACCATTAGCTCTCATTTTTTTCATAAATATTTCATTAGGTCGCGACTAACGAAAGAAACAAGCCCATGGTTGATCCCTCCTCTTTGAGTGAACGGTACGAGTGGACGTGGGTAGCTTGAGAACATTGCTCCTGAATAATGCTTGCCTGTGCTCTGCAAGCGACGCTACAGCGGGACGGCGTGGCACTGTCGTGGCAAGTGTTCTTTGTTGAAAACTGCCATGAGACTTCCTTTGTGAGGGGCCATTGCGCCTTGTCGGCTTGTCCAAGCTTTGCAAATGTCTACGCCATGTGGGATGTCTACAATGCGGCACGCACACTGCCGTAGCAGACGACGCGGTTCAACTCTACACCCTTGAAGCATCTGCGCATGCGTGAGCCGATTCCGGCGCGCGATTGCATTGCTAGTCACATAGCAATGCCAGGTGCTCCGAAATTCTCCCCCCCCCCCCCCCCAAGTATGTACAGTCTGTACATAGACTTGATAGGAAGAGGGGACGCTGCAGTAAACATTTGCCCCCACCTGAAATGGAACCTAGCGCAAGCTTCTGGACTCAGAAGCAGATTTTCCCGCAATGTCTCGGCAGATATTTAGAGGGGCACTGACAGCAATTATCGCAATCGAGTTTACTTTGCTATACAAATCTATGTTCAGAGACAGCTCTAATCAAGCTGGAAGCTCAGTAAGTGCCGATACAATATTTAATTTTGACATTAAAGCCAATTTTCGCATGGCTCACCTGCTGAACTACACACTAGCTTGACGTAGGACTGGAGTGTCCATTCTGGTGACTTCATGCACCAGTTGTGATTATGTAAGGTACCGAAACCTGTCATATGTCCCTTGTATGTACCAGCAGAGCCATTCTCTTGAACATATTAAAATACAGAGTGCCTAGAATACGAACCAAGAGATAAGGGTATAAACCATAGTGCTGAGGTTCGTACCATGTTGTGGCGTCGATGTACAGCAGGAACAGAAGCAGTCTCTTAAAGGGGACCTGCCACACTTCCAAGTAATCATTGAATGGCTTCATTAAAAGCTTATTGCCTCAGGAATCGACTACGGCAAAAGTTTTTAGAATACACCAAGTATGAGCAGAATTATTGCAGGGGTTTGTTGCAAGCTTCAAGCGCTTTCTCCTTTCGCATCGAGTGCGCTGAAAGCTACGCAGGGAGGGGTAAGATAAAGTGGCAAGATGATACGGCCATTCGAAAGCGTGCATGACCTTGGTTTTTTCCCTTTTTTTTTATTTGAACCTGTGACTTACTTTCAGTGTGACTGAGTGTGCAGACATGTGGTGGCACCTTGTGGTGGCCACAGTAACTATAACGCTCACAGTGCTGAAATCGACCAACAGGCGTGAACTTGAGTTTATGGTGCAGTCATTTTGGTCTGTGGCATCCTTTGTCAAGAAAAGAGGGAGCGAAAGCGTGCATGACCTTGGTCTTTTCCTTTTTTTTTATTTGAATCTGCCACTTACTTTCAGTGTGACTGAGTGTGCAGACATGTGGTGGCACCTTGTGGTGGCCACAGTAACTATAAAGCTCACAGTGCTGAAATCGACCAACAGGCGTGAACTTGAGTTCATGGTGCAGTCATTTTGGTCTGTGGCATCCTTTGTCAAGAAAAGAGGGAGCGATATCTAGCAGACTTTAAAAATTGATTAGAAATGCCATGCCGCGTGCGGCACTTTAATGTTGGGCTTATGTTCTCAAGAACCTCGACTACCCATCAGCCGCGTTTCATGACCATGCTGAAAATGTGTTGCAAAACTTCTTTAAATCATAATCGTACTGGGCTCGTTAGAGCATTCGGAGTGCAGTTGATGTGAAATAAGAGTGCCTACTCCAGAACATTGCGCATCAATCATGGGCTTTAATAATAACATCAACGTGATACAAAGAAACAAAACGGGTAACCACTCTGCTTACCACGCAGAGAGCTGCATTTTGCCCCCAGACACCTCTTTGCTAACCCACGTGTTAATTTATACACATATATATGTAGGGCGCCATATATTATCGTACTTCTATAATTCGAGGTTAATAAGACCACCGGCACGGCACTGCGGCGACCGCGTATTGTCCTGGCTAACTGGTCTTTGCTGTGTTCTCGACGATTGCAAGCTGTCAACACGGAAGAGGTAGTTTTGTCCCCCTTCCCACTCCTAGTCTATAGTAAAGCTGGGAGCCCTTGGCCTGTCTGCCCAGTACAACATCCACCATGTTGGCCTGGTTTTCCAAGCGTAGCAATCTCGATTGCGGAGAAGACAACAGGTGTCCCTGCTTGTCCTATGTACAGTGCGTAGTAAATGGCAACAGCGGCACCAGGAGGAGGAAGGTGTGTTTGCATTCTGGCATGATTTGCATCATAGTGAGGAGGCCCACCTACAGGATTGAACACTGAAAGAGAGAGGAGATGGATGACACCGTGAATTTTGAACTCCAGGCAAAGTGGCAATGGCATCTGATGTAGCACAGTAGAACCTCGATGCAATGAGCTATTACAAACCAGGCAACATATCTAAAGAAGACACTGCACAAAAAGATGCCGGCTCCACCGACAACTATCTCTGTCCCTCGCACAGAAAATTAGTACACAAGCTCCACCCAATAGCACTAACTCATTTTTGTGACGAAGCATTCCTTGAGTGTTTACGATAGTTCCCCCAGACACACAGTTGTGTTGCTGGTTCAAGATGGGAAACTTGAGTGTCCTGGTGAACTTCTCGGGGATTCTTAAATCGGTGCTCAGCCAAAGATTATAAAGTGTAATCTACAGCAGCATTCACAGAACTCACGTCTTTCTTGGACGGTGGGCTACTGTTGCTTTGCCTTTGCCGCCCCGTTGATTCGACAGCGTCCTGCGCTGAACCTGATGCGTTGCGCGTGGGGGGACGTGACAGTGCCCTGTGGTGCTCTTCCTCCTGAAGCTGCTTCGCGAGTTCCTCGCTGCAACATCCAGAAAGCGGCGTCCATTGAAATGCGCTGCCGAGGCAGTCTCGTCGATTCTGCTGGACTTATAACAGTCAAACAGAATCGCTCGAAGTAAACGCGTGCCAAAAACTCTCTGAAACTGTACAACTGTCTTTTACTCAGCGGACAAGACACTGAGCAGCGCAATTAGTGCAGTCATGGGTGATTTCCTCAGTGCTTTGCAGTAAACAAATTAATACCAGAAATTTACGAGAAAATTGTAAATTGTACTTGCAAGATGGTGAAATAATTTGCACTCTGCAGAAAGCTTTACAGTATAGATGTACATTTGTTGACACTGCATACTATCCTGCCTGGAATTCCACGCCAAGCCCTGACTATTAAAAGCATCCCAATTTGCCAATAACACGAAAATGAACATGGGAGGTGAATGATGAAGCACACCACTTTGCAAATAAAAATTTTATGTTATGGCAACGAGAGGGCACTAACAAAAAAAAATGCACATTTCTTTTTCGGGAAGTTATAACAACAGACCAATAAGTGACTGTCCACAATTGAACTAAAAAAGGAAAACACACGTACAACCATGCTTACAAAAATCTTGCAAACGAACAGCGACAGGCTGTGACGGGTCACAAGCCAAAAAGCAAGAAAGTAAATTCCGCAAAACAACGAAACCAGTGACTGGTGTAGCGACTACACAAGCAGCCACGAAACAATGTTGAAATGGACAACAATGAATGATGCCAGCATGTCACTTTGGGTGCAGAACAAAACCAAAAAAACAACGGCTCGCACTACACAAACTTGCACACATGGGAAGCATGTGACTAGGGTGTCGTCATCAATCAAACCTTGTCGACATGAGCAAATTGATTGAGCCATGTGGATGGGAGAATGTCATCACTACCCGTTGCTGGCTTACATTCTAGAAACAGCTGCATTCTTTGCAAAATATTTTAGGCATAACACTAATCATAAACTATTTCGAATTCCTTTTAGTCCTTTGACACCGCGTGTCTCATACTTTTACATCAAGAATGACGAAAAATCATGCATGCATGATCAATGCCTGCACCATTCCTGAAGAAAACTGGTACAGCCACTATTTATAGGCATTCATCAGTGTTCTACCAATTTCTGTCCCAGTCTCCATCATCTATTCATTGCCTGTTTTCTTCCCTCTGATCGCTATTTTCACAACTTATTCCATCCTCCTTTAAGAGTAAGCAGGTTTTATGCTCCTTTTGGTGGCAGCTGTCAGCCTTTTTATTCTGTGTCCTTAGGTAGGGGCTAAGAAGCCTCACATTGGCTGCATTCTCCCAAGCCCCTATTTCAATCACTGCATGCAATGAACTCTGAATTTTCAGCGAGATGTGCTTTTTCCCCAACGATGAGACGGCCAAGCCAGCGCATGCTCATGTCGAACAAGGGGGGACTCGTGCAGCGGTGTGTGACGTGCAGCCGTGGCCCCTTCTCCGCTTACTCTGCGCGGATGGCGTTGTGGTCGAGCGGCTCAACAGGTTGGACGAAGGACTGCAAAGCGTCGTTTTTCGTTCGCTCATGGTGCACTTGCTCGTGGTGCAAGCTTAAGGCAACCAGGTAACTGCAAAGAACCACGGCTCAAGCCTCAGCTGGGCCGGAACACTTGGGCTACCACTCTGGCACATGTTTCTAAAGCGCCGAAAAATGCGCATGAACCCCACGTTGGAGTACTGACGTCAATTTACGTGTGCGTTTGCTCTGCCATACAAATCTCTTGTGTACAGAGATGTCTCTCCTTAAGTGTGAATGAAGCCCGGTGAATGCTAATAAGATCTTTCGCTTGAGCACTGAAGTCTACTGTCGCAATTGCGCACCTAGTACTGACATCGACACTGTCGTGACGTCAAGCTGTAGTGTGAATTCTGGTGACTTCACGCTCCAGTATCGCTAGTTGTGATGGCCTCCGGTACTAAACGTTTAATATGCTGGCTTGTGCGTCACCAAAAATGTCCAAAACAACCACTTGTAGATCGCTAACAGAGCCTGCAATGAAGCAAGCGAAAGCAAGCGTACTGTCACGACATGACGTCTTGAGCAAGCGCATGAAAAACTCGTACCTTGTTGTTATAAGCTTTTAAACACATACTGCGCCAATTACTTTTTCGGTGTGCATTGGGGCTTACCAGTGCATTGCCTAGGCTCTCGATTGCACAGCCTTTCAATTGATGCACAGAATATTATTTTCGTGTCAGTACCCATTCAAAAGGGCACTTCAGGGCATTGCCGTTATTCAACTGTTACGGTACATGCACAATCTTCTAAAGTTTTCATTGTTCTTTCCTGCATATGAATCGTATCGCCTGCTCTGCTGGTACATTGTTCATTTGTATCCCTACTGTCTTCATCCTCGAGTTCCAGCAGTTATAATGCGAGACACGAGAGAAAAATATGCTATTAATGAAGTGAGCAATAATTTGTAGACACACAAGCCAGACGCAGTGAATTTTTTTCAATACAGATGTTCCTTGGGAACTGCGAAAAGTTGACTTATAAAGCATTGATTCAGTTCCACATGCATAGCTTTTAATGATGCAGAATTATCGGTTAATTGGCTGTTGATGGTCTTATTGCAATGCGCATCCCGCCAGTAAGCTATTGATAGTGTTATCAGTAGCTTTTGTTATGCTATCGCTGGAACTAACAGTACCGCATTAGTTCTGCAATGGCACCTAAAACTTTACGATGCTTCAGCCACCATCGGCAACACTCAATTTATGTAGCTGAAAGCAGGAGAATGTCAACAAGCTTGTGCTGCAGGGTTCACACAAACTATGTTGGGAAATCTGACATTGTCGCTTGTATTATACTGGGTGGTACAGTCAGTATTAATTGGTATGCTGTCAACCTTAGCATAGATGGCTATTGTAATATCGTAGTATAATAATCACTTGCTATCAACAGTATTGATATTACTGTGGTATAGACAGCTTTTCATCACTAGTAGCTTCCAATCAAATCCTGTGTTAATGGGCATAGTGTTCTAACGAGTCATAGTCAAGCACAATGTTTAAGAAGTAGGCACAAATGTGTATCACATTTATACTAGTATGTTACTGGATGGCTCTAAAAACTGTTTTTGGCTGATCAACAAAGGTGTTCGTGAGGAAGAGCTTCAGCACACCCCTCTCTCTGAATCCCAGAAATTGACAGGTAATTCAAAGCGAAATTCAGCTTCAACAGGGCATAAGCATTTGTACAAAAGTACTAGTTTTGAATTTATGTACTCTAGTCCCCACTTCTCTCAGTTTGAACCAGGAAGTACGTACATGATCTTTCCAAATTGAAAAGTCTGAACTGGAGTGACATCCCGTTTGAAAAGTTGTATTCTTGGATTTTATTGTCACATAGATAAGAAAACTGAAATGGTGCTGCTTTGGTATTTAGGCACGCATTTCGACCTCTTAATTTCACTGGTAAATCAGTAAAGAGACAGCAAGATCCAGGATAGCTTGCAGGCTCCAAGTCAGGTCTAACTGGTGCACAAGTACATAACTATCATTTTCTTAATGCTGTACGTTCTCTTGTAATAGCAGAGAAAGAGCTGTGCCTGCAATTTTCTCTTTTTTTTTCCTTGGGGGGGGGGGGGGGGGCAGGGGGGTGTACAACAAGGAAAAGACATTCCAAAACCTACTTGCCAGCAAGGAACAAATACTTTCGAGGTGGCTGCAGTTTTGTGGGTTCTCGAACACACATCTTAAATGGTTATAAAGCACCGCCAAAGCATAATGATGCAGTAAAAATACGCGCCACTCACTCCCGATCGATTTGCTGCTCGGTGGTGAGGCACCGAGGCTTGGGCGGGTTCACGATGAAGTCGGAATCTGCAAACTGGCCGTCGCCCTCGACGTTGATCAATGACTCCCAGACTACATCTGGCTCATTCAGGAAGCCCTGATCCGTTACCAGCTGATACAGACGGTCCTGTTGTGATGGGAGGACAAAAGGGACAGACATTGCGTACCACATTTACAGCTATATTTTCGACCTAGTCCTGAACAGTGTAGCTACAATGAAGCTTCCTTATGAAATTTGCTTGAAATGAAATATGAAAATAGCAATAATAATAAATGCAATGGTGATTTACCTTTCGTTTATACAAGGTGATAAAGTGGTTATTCCGAAAGAGGACACACAGTTCGTCTTCCGTTAGCGTGGAGTTCAACTCGCACAGGCCGTGGTAGGTCAGCTGTGATGCTGTTCGCTCCAGGAAAGCTTCAGCTAACAGTGCTGTAGAAAGGAAGAAGTGAATGTTAGCCAAAACATATTTTTAGTCTCACAGAACAATAGTCGTGTTAAAAGACAGCTAAATGTTCTGTCTTAGCATATGTGATAGTGTATGTGCATTGTTAACTGTAATTGACTAGACGCAGCAACTGGCACTCGTTGGTGCATGAGTACCAGTTGCTGTGTCCACTTAATTACAGCAAACTGGTACTGACAACAATATAACTGGTGTCATGATCTCACTACTGTACTCTTAAAAGTACTAGTAATTGACAACCATGTCTATGTGAAAAAGCTGAGATAAAAACAACTAGGGACCATTAACATTGTTACCTGCGTCAAATGACATGCTGGCAGCAACGGTAGTAACATGTACAAAGTGGCTGCACCAAATCAATCGGGGCAAAACATTAAGAATGAAACAAGACATGCCTTCAGTGACCATTTCTGGCTTTGTAGAAGACTTGTTGTTGATTATCTTTTCCACGAGTTGGTTGTAGCTGCAGCTGCCGACCGCTGCAAGGATCTCTGGCGACTCGGGGTCGAGGAGCCAACCGTGGTACAGAGGAATTCGCAGCAGATCGAACACGATGCACTCGGGCGTGTACTCGAAATCCTTTACACTGAAAGGGGCAAACGAGCACTAGAGATTTGTCATGAGGAGACATGGCATTGAATATTCACATTAGGGGGAGGAGTGATCTTTAACATTGTATTCGCTTGAACAGCAGGCTATAACACATACAGAGCTTGACACTACTGAAAGCACACTGCTCGCGGTTGAAGCACGAGAATTAAGGGTGAGGCAACTCACGTACTTTAGTCTGCATTGTCTTCAGTTTGTGTATAACATTGCCGTCATTTTGACTCGAACACTTACATCTGAGCCAACATTACCTTTAGCGGCCGGATTTGTAGCGGCATGACAGGGTTATCACGAGCGATTGCACATACCGATTCATACTAAAGGTTTCCATGTTGCGCTTAAATCCACAAGCACGACATGTACAACTGGCATGCTGTCTGCTTCGCTTTTTTGGTAGCCACCTACTGCATTATCAAGTATAATTACAAATGGCACTACATAGCTAATGTGCTCACTGCTACTGAACTGAATGTACGGAACATTCACTAAGAAGCCTTGAAGGTCATAACTGTGCGGTATGCACACGTTGAAATCACAAGCTCATAGTCGCGAGTCGGACAAACACCTATGCGCGATCGACAATTTGCAACAGTCGTGGAAACGTAGCATGAAATGGGAGACGTGAATACACAAACTTACCCTGTGAATCGAACGTTTACGTCCAACCCCGTTTGCAGCTTCGGCAGGATGGCAATGGCATCGTGCATGTTTTGCTCATAATTAAGCTGCGCACTTTCTGGAATGTCCTGCAAATTAATCAATAATCATCAATGTCTTATGGCACACTACAGTATAAACTTGTCAATACAGTTTAAAACTATTACTCATTGATTGGCATACTGACTGCTAATCATAGGTCGGTAAACTCACTGATCAGTTGACTCGCTGAGACTCAGATCGAGCCACGAGTCTCAGTTCGTGAGTGAGTCTAGGTGAGTAAAACTTTTGTAAGTTTGAGCGCCAGTGAGTCCGACTGCGAAAAGTTTGACTCTAAGTTCGAGAGTCCGAGTGAACTCCATGACACGAACAGTAAACTTTCAAGTGATGTAATCTCGACAACGGTTCATTAGCAGTAAAAACGAACTAGGCCAAACTCGTGTTCTACATGCTAGGCTGAGCTTGCTGCCTCAATTTGCCGCACACAAAACTAAATACAGAACTCCAAATTGCAATTTTGTATGCGGAAAACAATTTAACACATTCTGCAAACAAACCAAGTTCAAGATCAAACACTATATATTATCATTCTTCTCAAAAGTACACTCCTAATGACTCAACCTAAGATTTCAATTTTAGCTCATATTCATTGATGTGAAACTGTGCTTAGACAGGGTTACTAACAAACACGATTTCTTTTACAGTTTACACACAACACAGCAGTGCCTACAGTCGAAGAAAAAATAGTCAAATGAATACTCCCACATGCAACGCCTACAGTAACTTTGTCCTGTGCGTACCTTCGGTATAGAGGACAGTATGCAGTCCCCCAGATGCTCCATGAGCTGTTCAACGGTCACAATATCGAGTGTTTGTGGAAGCTTGACAAGACCCTTCAGGGTGAGGACGTTGATGATGGCAATCAAGGGACAGGGCCCATTCTCGTTCTGTGGAGGACACAAGAAACCTAGGTTAATGTTTGGTTAGGTGTTTTAGACAGCTTTTCCCAGGCGATGCACATTAAGCGCACATATTAAAGGGGCCTTGCAACACTTTTTGAAGATGGTCGGATAATGCCGCCGGTCGCTAGTAGCTGTCTTCTGGCAGCATTTGAGCCAAACATAGTGCAGCACATTGCAGGCAATTTGCGATTAAATTTCCACGTCGACTAGCAAATGATCGCTCTTCGATTGGCAAATGATGCCATAATCCAAAGTGACCCTGTCGTCAACACAAAAACCATGGACACAGTCTGATATGAGCACAGTGAACAGCCTACTTACGGCAGTCGTGACGCACCCGTGCCACAACATGGGCTAGGAAGCTGCGACCAACATTTATACGTTGTCCTCATATGCATTCAATGAAAATGAGAAAAGAAATTGCTCAAAGCCATAATGTGCTCATAATGCCGCTCTTGTTGCTTGGTCATCTCCTTTCCTCCTGTGTAGCTTTGAGTACAATTGATAGCATGAAAGGAGAGAGAAAGCGCTTAGAGCATGCGACAGACCCTTCTAACTCCAGCCGTACTTGACCGATTCTGCATCTTCACGCATTCACGCATCATATTCATGCATCCACTTCTTCTCTGAAGCGTGGAAACTTGGGCAAGTTGGTAAGACATAACTGTCCTTGTTTTTTCGCTTCAGCAGTTACGAAGTAACTACTACTAGGTTGCGCTGTTCCTGCATTCACTTATTCTCCTTATACCTACCCGAGTGAGTAAACATGCACAATCACAATACATTGGAGTCTCGGCAAACAAAAATCTCTTAAACAGAATTGCTGCTTAAATGAAACAGCCGTCTATAATAATTCTTGGTTATATCCTTAAAGTGTGCAGCTTAGCTTTGTTTATATTTCACAGAAATCTTTTTAAATGGAACACACTTTGTGGCTCCCTTCAAGTTCTGTCCAATGAGAGTCTACCAAACTTCTCAGCTTGGATAGCGCAAAGAAAATTGTTTTTGCCTGTGTGACAATGGGCGTCTTCTGATTGTTCCACCGCACCCACTTGATGTGGTACACGGACTGCGGTGGCTGCTCGGCACTCGGGCTGGTACACGAGGTCGTCGTCTCAGTGGGGAAAGCTGCTTCTGCCTGTGCCGGCGCAGCCGCGTCGCTGGCCTCGCTGACCGATACAGTTTCTGCTCCTGCTCCTCCTCCGACAGGTGCAAACTCTTGCTGCTGTGTGCTTGGCTGTTCCATTCTACCTGCAAGTGTCCGGAGAGAACAGCACATGTGATTTCTTTTCTGGGTGATGAGATACTGATTTCCCTGAGAGCAGGGTTCATTGTTAAAACTCTATTGTCAGTCCCAAGAGATGCTATTAACACGCAGTCTGTTGCTGCCAAATTGGGACAAGCAGGCTATAAGCTAGACCGTCGCATCGTAGGCCCTCTGAACGACTTCAGGCTCATCCCTACCATTGGGTCTTCTTATGGCGAAGCACCACTAGGCTTGGTTGGTTTTATGGTGCCATGTGATGATGGGCATTGCCAGAACATATGATCTAATTAGCTACCTTCCTGAAACGGCGGCACGTGTTGCTAGTGTGGCAGTCCAGATAAATTTTGCACAATAGTGCTAAATTTGGCTACAAGCTCGTCTGTAACTAGGTATTGACACGAGGGACAAATACGCCGGGGTGATGCAGGGATTGCAGATCACATGATAACGACGTCACGGATTAGCGAGTGGGCACGACCATCCCACACGCTTTCGTAGGAGACGGGGACGTTTTCGCCAACGGGACGAACGGTCCCCTAGCGGTAAGGAACAAAAAGTATTTTAGAGCACATATTTGGCCCAGTTGCTCCTACAGCTCCGATGCACATTATGCATAAGGCAGCAGCACGCATCTTGTATATGCCATGAGAATAGTCTGGTCTCTCTCTTTCCTTTTTCACCTTGTCCGTATGAAGGGGAGGACATTTGTGAGGAATTCTCCCCACCAGCTGACGTCACTAGACTCCACCTTTAAATCCCTCGAGTCTATTCCCCGTTTGATTACCCCTTAAAGGCCAACTCCGGCGATTTTTGGAGCCAATGAATCTCAGTGAAATTCGCTGGGTATGTTCCTTTGCATATTTTCGTCCTTTATGCCAAATCACAGGTTTGAGAGATGCACTGATCGTTTGCAAATGAATTTTAAAGATTGCCTCAAAAAGCTCACCTCACTTGCTAGAATTATTGGCAACACGGTCTGTGTGACGTCATGTTTGGCCGATGGCATCGCTACTTTGTCCGCTACAGCATTTATTGTGCTTTCCACAAGGCGAAGGTGGCAGTGTTAGGCACGGGTATAGCACGGAAATGCTTTCTTCCTTCCTCTCTGGTGTTGGCCGGTGCTTCGCTGGACTGGTTTTCACAGTTTTCATACTCCGCACCGGTGGAGCCAGTATACGGCCTCCGGCTCTATTAAATAGTACGTCATACGTAGGCAGGGTGCTCAATTGGGTTTCGGTTTTGCACATTTTTGATTATTACAAATAATTCTTAAATTTCCTGAGCATTTCAGCTATTGGGCTTGTGACAAGAATGTCTCAGGAACATAGAAACACCATAACCTAGACATGGTCAAAAAGTCGCCGGAGATGGCCTTCGAGAGCAAGTGGAATAATGACATTCAGTTCTTGCATGACCGTCAGCAGTTTAGCCAGTGCGAAAATTTCTTCTGGGTACTCTCACAAAAATGAATCCCCACTGATGTATTACAACACTGACAGCTTAAAACTAGAAGTGTTAGCAAGTGCTACTCTCAATTACAGTACAGCAGGAAAAACAGCATTCAAAGACATGCATCGGATTATCATTATCCTCAAGATGCTGTCAGTCCAACGTGTTGGAACTGCCTTGAACCAATGCTGGAGACGACTGGTGAGAGGTACGTAACATGCTCGAAGCAACATTTTCGTTTGGCTGTGCTCAGCATATTAAGCAACTTGTACATAGTTAATAATTTAATGATTTAGACAGGGTGATGCTTCAACCAAAATGTAAGCATAGTACCTGGCCAAATAGTATGTGGATGTTTTGATATATTTAAGTGGAATGCCTCAAAGGGGCTTATCTTTCTTGAAAAGCACAGCAAAATGCTCGAGACGTTTCCGCAGTTTTAGCCACACAATTGGTGTCCTCCTGTCACTCGCGAAAACATATTCTTGCTTGAGTACAGAATCAACTTAACACACTGCAGCTATGTGCAAAAGTTAACTAATCAATGCAGTCCATGAATAGACCTTTTTTGAAATGTAGTGCTACCGTGGAACACTCTCAAATAAAAAAGAAAACACCTGCTTACAGGCAATTACGTGACGAACACACACAAACCATAACTGGCGCAACCCACTGGTGTGATGCCACGGAATGTAGCAGGCGTTGCAAAATCGCGGCGGCTAGCAGTTACAGTAAAATCCTAAAGCGGCTACGTTATTAGCCGGTCCGCATACGCAGCCACATCTGCCTAATAGCGCTGTTACACGAGAAAGGGGCACAAATATATCACCTGAACGAGTCAAATGACTATGCAGTTCCAGTTTAAGAGGAGTGGGTAAAAGAAAAAAAAAACTGTTTAAACCAACACCAGCGCCAACGCGAGTTTCTTCTTTCTTTTTTCGCGCATCTGGCCTTACGTGACACTGTTAAACGTATTCGCAACGTGACAGCGCTTTTTATAGACCAAAACGTTTCTGTCCGTAATGTCATCAACCTTGAACGTGATTGCTCAAGTCCGTCACGGTTTCTTAATCTAATATAAAACGGAACACTGTAAACGTAACCTTAACGATCGAGGGACAGTGAGACGCCAGAGTTCAAGAGGCGATGAGGAGGGAAAACAATCGCGCAGCTGCTCACGTGAAATCGGTTGGTTACAGCGTAGTAGTAATAATAGTAGTAGTAGTACGGGACTCGCATACGGCGAAGGTCAGCAGCTGTGTAGCGGTATTCGCAAATGCCACAAACCGTTCGCCACGCCGCATTGCATGCGCCGTCATGCGTTTGATTGGGGTCAAGCCTCTTTAAACGAAAACAGCCGCAACATAGCGCCAAGCCCCCCCCCCCCCCCCCCCCCCATTGCTTTCGCAATGTTTCATCCCAACCGTGGGAAGTTTTCAAGAGGGTAACCTAATTAAGCCACGAAAGCCACTACGCAGCGCGATCAGCGATGAAAATTCGTCTACGACGCAAAGGCAACGAGAGCGAAAAACCGGCGACTCACCCGAAAACCACGATAGGAAGGCGATTTTTCAGGTGAATAAATATTTGACATTGCAATCCTTGTTCAACAGGTACGATGCACTTCCATGTCAATTTACACGATGGCTGGTGCAGGGTTTACATGGCAAAAAAAATCAAACGTAGAGTTTGGCAGTACAACACTAGTGTTATGCGCGGTCGGCACTCTCAGAGATGCGATAACCACAACAACGTTGCTTTAACGACGAAGACGCGAGCTCGGAAAGCGCATCACAGCAGGTCGACTGGTTTGCTTTCCGAAACGAAACCAGTCGTCAGATCGCAACGCTTCTGTTCTCAATTTCGTATTTTGTATTGCTAGGGTGAATTCTAATGACAAGTTCTTCCCACTGTGCCGCCAACAAGTTATTTATTTTAAAGTATTTGAGAAAAGTTGCATATACCATGAAGTAGAAGGTAATTAAATTACCGAGTTGACAATAATGTTTATAAAGAAAACTAAGAATAGCGAATTTTGCAAATAACGCTCTCAACTATGAGCCCGCGTGTTTTGTTTGTTTTATTTGCAAAAATAACAGCGTGCAACATGGAGGAAAAAAAAAAACACGAGAAAAACTTTCTCCATGGCAAGCAATGATTTAGAAACTTCTATAAATGACAGACCCCGAAAACGCTGAAGTTCCAACGATGACCGTAGAGGACGAAAAAATTGACCACGGCGAGTTCCGTCGAAATTTCTAAGAGGACTGAGTGTCGTAGATTGATGAAGGCTATGAATATTTTTTTGCCCCCTACAGGTGATCAGTTGAACTTGAGTTTCCGGTGTTCTGTGTGCGCTCTGTGGTGCTCGGCGTGTGTTATGAACATGTCCGCCGGGAAGAAATTTGTGCCCATCTTCGAACGATTTCCGGCGCATTATCGCCGCTTTCTCGAAGATATGAAGAGAAAGCCCGCTCCTGTACACTACAAGCCTCCGGCGGAGAAATACGTCAGGCATCCCGTAACGCAAGTCATGTGAGCTGCACATTACCGTCGTCCGCGAGCTATCTCCGGCGCATGCTTTCGCAGAAATCCTCAACAAAACGTAACGTGGCGTGACGTTAACAGTGGTACTGCGCACCGCGTCGCTGTATGACATGCATCGAACACAGACATGCTAAGCAGCGGGGTGAACCTACAGCTGATGCTGAAAGAAAATGGGACGTCTTTCTAAGCTGTAGAAGGGAAGCATCCCTTCTGATCAATGAAAAGATTAGAACAAATGGGGCTCAGTGGCTGGCGGAAGTAAATAAAAAGTATAGAAAGGCAGCTGCGAAAATTTTGGAACCATCTAAACTCCCTAAGAAATGAGACAAGCCTAGAACAGAGGTTTATAACCACAGCTCAAGGTGCTAGGCTAGAAGGGGACGAGCTATTGAATATATAAAAACAAGGGTGACAGAAAAACTTCAACAAAGAAGGACCTTATGCACCACAATAGACAAGGATGGATCAAGTGGCGCAATGACTCCATTTTCACAACGAGAGTGCGAAAGGGCTGAGAAGAGGGTTCCTAGTAGTACATCAACAGGCCCAGATGGCATTCCAATTATGCTGATAAAGGCATTGGTTCCGAAGTCTAAGAAGACTCTGAGAGAGGCATTGAGCAAAACAATAATCGAAGGTGAAGTCCCCGGTGGATGTAAAGTTAGCAGGATAAGCAAGATCTATAAAGGAAAGGGGGACAAAGCGGACATAAACAACTACCGTCCTATAACAGTGACATCAGTGGTCTACAGGCTGGCGATGCAGATCATAAAGGAAAGACTGCAGGCATGGATAGAGGATGAGGGGGTGCTTGAGGAACTGCAGAATGGGTTTCGGAAACACAGGAGGTTGGAAGACAATCTGTTCTCACTGACGCAGTGAATCAAAATAGCAGAAAAGGAACGCAGGCCCCTGTGGCTAGCATTTTTGGATATTAAGGGAGCGGGTACGATAGCGTGGTTCAAGAGGACTTGTGGGGAATACTGGGCACACTAGGTGTGGAGGATGGAGTCACTAATCTTTTAAAGTATATCTATAAAAGTAACAAGGTAGTTATAAAAGTGGGAAAACAGGTGTCCAAGCCCACATAGGTAAAACAGGGGTTTAGGCAGGGGTGTCCTCTGTCACCCTTGTTATTCATGATGTACTTACAAGGATTCGAGGCCAAAATAGAGGGAAGTGGACTTGGCTTCAACCTCTCTTTCGTCAAACAAAAAAAACTCATTGAACAGGCACTACCACCACTGATGTATGCAGATGATATAATGCTAATGGCAGACAGCAAAAAAAGATTTGCAGAGATTGATGGACATCTGCAGTAATGAGGGAGATAGGTTAGATTTCATATTCAGTAAGGAAAATCAGCACTCATGATTTTTAATGATAATGAAGGTAGTGAGCTTAGGATACAGGAAGTCAGGCTAGAGATAACAGATAAATACAAATATCTGGGCGTATGGATAAGCGATGGGACTGAGTACCTGAGGGAACACGAAATATACATAACGACTAAAGGTAAAAGGAATGCAGCAGTGATGAAAAATAGGGCACTGTGGAATTACAATAGGTATGATGTTGTGAGAGGAATATGGAAAGGGGTCATGGTTCCTGGTCTGACGTTCAGCAATGCGGTCTTGTGCATGAGATTGAAAGTTCAAGCAAGATTAGAAATTAAGCAACGTGGAATGGGTAGGCTTGCTTAAGGAGCTCACGGGAATACACCAAATCAGGGAGTACAAGCTGGCATGAGATGGACATCATTTGAGGGCAGGGAAGCTAGTAGCAAGATAAAATTTGAGAAGCGATTGAGAGAAATGGGGGAGGAGCGTTGGGCTAAGAAGGTATTCAGCTACTTGTACAGGAAGAATGTTGATACAAAATGGAGGAAGCGAAACAGAAAATTGACGGGTAAATACTTAGAAAACAGCAGGGGGCCAAACCAAAAAAAACTATCGGTTAAGAAAAAGGTGCAAGAAATGGAGACCGGCATGTAGAAAATTGACATGATTAAGAAGTCCGCACTAGAGATCTATCAGACTTTTAAGGAGGAAATCGCCAAGGAGTGTATCTATGATAATACTCGGGGTAGTTCTCAACTGTTCGAGGCCAGGACGGGAGTATTGCGAACCAAGACATATCGGACCAAATACGAAAGGGTGACACAGTATGCAGTGCATGTGGAAAGAAGGAGGAAACTGCCGAACATTTGATAATGTTCTGTAAAGGGATTCACCATATAGTTCAGGATGATGGCGCAGAGCTGTTCAAATCACTGGGGTTTAGGGACAGGGAGGGCAAAATAGGTTGGTTTTAAGCGGGTAAAATTAACTAGAAGGAGGTTATCTGATTGGTGGCTGAAGTCAAGGCACGAGTTAAAATTAAAGCCTTCACTGCACTGTACCAGTCCTCAACTTCACTATTTAAAGGAAAAAAAAAAAGATAAATCTAGTTGTTGGTTCACTAGGTATTGCGGGTAGGTGGCGTGAGCCGCCGCCCAATCTATTGGGTACAGCCACATCAATCCATCGAACTACCGCTTGTGCAAGGTATGGATGCTGCACGAAAGCAATGAGGATAGGTGGGATGCTTACGTCGTACAGACTTTTTAACGGCAACTCAAAAGCGTCGTGCTGATGAATGCAGCGGCATCAGAAGTCAATGGTTTTGTGAACTTCTTAAGCTTTCTTCCGCAGTGATTTGATTTTATCAAACAGCTTGTACAGGGGCGTGGCCAGGGGGGGGGGGGGTCAACACTCCAGTTTTTTTAGTTTACTTGCGTATATATACACGCACACATAGAAATGCATGCACGAACATCCATGAAGTGTGGTTAACCCCCCTCCCTCCCCCCTCAACGAAAAAAATTTCTGGCTATGCCCCTGAGCTTGTATTGGCAGCATGTGAGCAACATTTCTTACCAAAAAAAAACGCTGTTGACTGTCGTCATGATTTCGTGTCTGTGGCGTCTGTTACAGTGCGCTAGGTTGTGTGCGCAAATCCTGCCATCTGCCAAAGGCTTAAGTGGCCGAAATAGGCTTTGGACTGGGATCAAGCCAGGGTACAGAAAGTTTTTGACTGATTGTGACTTCCTTATGTTTTGCTTAGAACAAAAGTGGCTGTGGAAAATGGTGTCCGTTGCAAATAGCGAGGTTCTTCGATTATTCGCCTGGGCTTTCAGACGGCCGCCAGCGGCTAGCCCGCGACGTTCATTTTTTTTTCGGACAGTTCTCGGGCAGCCCCGAAGCTCACCACCTAGTAGCAGTAGTAGTAGTAGTAGTTGTGGTTATTAAAGAAAAGAAGAAGGCACCTTATTTCTGTTTGCCTATTAAGTGACAGGCAGAGTGTCTTGTTGGGGATGGGATCAGAATAAAAAATTAGGATAAAAAAAGATAGAGGGAGGAGAAAGGTATAGTAGACTGAGAACTCGTCGCATACAAGTGAGAGATAGGAAAGACGGGGGGGACAAGGTCGAAGGAGTCTGAGGACGGGGCACAACACGACGAGAGCTACAAGGCGTCAAGAGATTGCCGAGGGCGAACCAGTCGGCGAGAGCTGCGCTAGTGTCCGAGATCACGGGTGGCACAACCATTCGGGACGAAATCCCGCTAGGAAAGCCAGGCTGTTCTTTATGGCTTGGCAGCTCTATGGAAAATCGCACAGCACATGACTGTTGTTTAAAGAGCAACCATACATGGCAAAATTCAGATCCCTGATGATGAGGTCAGAGGGGCATAGATAGTACAGGTGGCGTAACGTGTAGTAGGGATTGCTGTCTCTAAATCTGTCTCTACATGCATCTCTATATGCGTCTCTCATGATTGCTCTCTCTATATGTGTAACGTGGTTGTTGTCTGTTATTCTTCATGTTGTGCTGTGTATTTAATTATAGCCAGTTCAATGTTGATCACATAATTACAACACTTAAATTAATAACAATGATTTAATTTCTTTATGCTTTCCTTGCCTTCTTTAATTGCTCTCTAATCATCACTTATATCGAACAAAATGAGGTCTTTCGTCAACTTCCCCTTTATCCCATTCATTGATCAAAACACAGGACGCACGGACGTTAAAATGTAGTAGGCCATTGCTTTGTGGGTCAGTGTTCTAGTGCATGTTTCTCAAACAGGGCAGCTGAGTCAAACAAATGGGGGGGGGGGGGGGTTACATAATTGCAAGCCACCTACTCATATTGTTGGCAGTAACTTCAGGAGCAGGTCAACTGAGTATAGGAAGCTGTTGCCCTGCAATGTTTTCGAGCTTGCACCAGCCTGACCATTGCCTTTGTCAACAAACATTTCAAGCTATTGACACCTCACTACAGTGATATGCAGCTTATCTGCCATTGAAATGCATTTGTTGGATCTTTTTTTTTTAACTGTAAAAGCGCTTTCATGCCTGTGACTAGCACAGGTCAAACATAAAAGCTAGTTGCAAAGAGACTGGTTGCAAATAGCTGCTTTGTTTGAAAGAGTCACTGTTCTGGCACAGTTGCTTACTCCTAGCTTTTTCTGTCATGCAGCTATACTTGCAATATTCTGACCCATTAAGACGTGCAGAAAGACATCTGGTTGGTTACCCTACACTGAGGGATAAGGGAAGGGGCAAGAAGAGGAAGGAGGGAAGAAAAAGAAAAGAAAAAGGGAGAGACGGACAGTGAATTCAGTGCAACATGTAGAACTCCACGCCAGTCAGAGGTGTCAACACAAACCCGTGGTCCTCAAAAAACACAAGAGGGCTTTCACTGCATTGTGGGCTATCGAGAGACGTGGACGGTGCTAATAGCACCTGCACAGAAAGTGGTCGATCATCCAGTCACCACAGTGTGTTGGCTATACTTGTCTTTATCGGGCAAATCAAAGTAAGGGACGCAACAGGTGTTCGATATTTTCATCAGTGTCGCAAACATCGCATGCTGCATTGTCAGTCATTCCGATGAACGAGGTATACGCTTTCGTGAAAGCAACCTCCAGCCAAAGGCAATAGAGAAATGAAACTTCATGTCGATGTAGGCCGGGTAAGGGCCGCAGTGGTGAAGGATCAAGTTCATGCAGTCTAGTACGTCATATGCTTGGTGTATTTCACTCAGTTAGTGTGAGACTGCGGGCCAGTTGACGAATCTGCCTCACAGCGCTTGCTCTTGAAAGCATAATTGGAATACTGGTTGCTTTCTAATGTGACGCACGAGGCAGCATGATCTGCAGAATTATTACCACTGATACCACAATTCCCAGGTATCACTGAAAGACGACGTCGTGGTCTTTTTGTGTTAAGAGGTGGTGAAGTTTCATGGTTTCATATGTCAACTGGTCGTGGCATCCGCACCGGAGAACTGACCGCAGGCACAGTAACGCCAGTTTCGAGTCAGAAAATATGGCTCATTTACTTGGTCTTTCTTCAGAATCTATGAGTTCTAGTGCACTACGCAGACTCGCAAGTTCTACCGCTGTGGACCTTGTCGCATGTGAGGTCTTAAAACGCAGATACCCCTTGTGACGGTATAACCACTGTTCCACCAGAACTGGACGACGTAGTCGAGCCATCCGTGTCGATGTGCACGTGGTTACTGTAGTTCTGGTCCAGTATGAATAGACTCGGTTGTTTTACGGCATGCGTCGGCAGGTCCGATTTTCTCTGCATTCCTGGAATCTAAGTAAACTTGCAGCTGGCTCAAGCCCAAGGCGGAATCAGTGAAGCACGTGCATATGCCGCAGTAAATGATGAGCGATGCTTGCAGACTGTGGCGCCTTATGTCATGTGGGGCCGTACAGCAGCGAGGCTCGCCAGAGGATGGGAAGGGGTCCTGGCATAATGTCTGACGTGCATGCGCATTGTCTCGGTAATAATATGTATCTTGATTGAGTAATCTTGGGCGATGGCAATGGTTTCAACCCAAGGCATATCGTAAGTGCTTTGGTTTGAATGCTTTGAATAGTGTGGATGTTAGTCTTGCCGGTGTTAGATGTCGCAGGTGAGCTATACCGCTGAGAGCCGTAGGCTATTTCTAACAGCTATACGCGATGGGGAATAGAGCTGAAGTTAAAAATAATAAAAGCTGTACATTTTCGCGTTATAACAATAACGTCCTAGCATATTCAGGTAATGGTTTACCGGAATGGCATGCTAACTAGAACTTTGCGAAAGTCTACCTACGAGTTACCCTTAAAAACTACTTCACAAACTTATGTCACTACTATAGCCTTCAGTGTTTGGTTATGTTGCATGACCCGTTGCCGAGGCCCAAGCTCACGTTTTGGTTTCATTTTAAAGCATAGCAATTAATTTTTATATAAATAAGTATAAAACCTATATTTGCAAACTCAAATGGCTATCATGGCAAGATGCGTGTCCCTTTTCATAATTTTTCTGGATTTACACCGCTGCTTGACATGGAGGATAGCCGGGATTCATACTATAATGTCTCGACTATTAAAGCAGTCATTGTTACGTTAATGCGCACTGCCTAAAAGATGAACACTGGGGAGAAAGGCATAGACGGACACAAGTGTAATTGTGTTCGTCTGAACCTTCATCCCGAATGTCGATCTTTTAAGCAGTGAACAGTAACATACCAATGAATAGCTACCAACGTGCCCAAGAAAGTACCCTTATAAATTCAAGCACTGTTGCTGATATTGACATTTTAGACATTATCAACCGCTAATCCTTTACTATTACATAAATTGCTATTTGTACTTAGTGTCCCTTTAAAAGGACACAATGGTAGCAAAAAATAGTTTTAGACTTCATAAGTTATTCTCTGAGAACTCTGTTGTCATTAATTTGGCTGTCATAGGCTCGTTTTCAAATGAGTGTGTGTTGCTCGAATTTTCGTCTTCGAAGAGACCCTGCACCGGTTTTTGGCGATTTTCTACAAACACATTGCGTCGGTAGACCGACTCCGAAGGGCTATTTAGAGACCGATTTGAGCTCTCTATGTTAACCGTGTAATTTATTGCAACACTTTAAAGCTGCAAATCGCTGCAGATGGGTGCAGATCGTTGCGACTCCGTCATTCGCGTTTTCAGCCCCCATTCACAGAGCAACATGCCCTGGCTATACTATGGCCACTTTACGAGGCCAGAGCACGTCAGCAGCCACGTCACCATGGCTGCTGATCTGATTGGCTGTCATGGGCTGTAGAATGCGCGGAACATAGAGTTTCATACAATAATACCTAGATGGGAATCTGGCGCTAGTGTCTACGTGGCTCTAGTTGACTGCACTCTCATGGAATTAAGGTTCGAGCGGTGCTTGCACTCTCATGGGAATTATGGGAAGTACAGGCTTCGGATCCGCTTTGGATAGATTACGTTCTTGAGATTCGCGAGTCGATTTAAAACGAATTTAGGCAAGACGCGCTCATGAAAAAACATGAACTCGATGCAATATCCTGCACTGGCATGAAATGCTACATCTATGCGCAGCAGTGAGTGGACGACGCTTCGTTTAAACTGTGATATACGACTCGCAAAGCTCCAGCATCACAGGAATAATTATCCTGCACTGGCATGAGAAGCTACATTTATGCGCAGTGGTTAGTGGACAACACTTCGTGTAAACTGTGAAATACGATTCGTAAAGCTTCAGCGTCGCAGAAAGCTTCAGACCTAGTGGTCTTAAGCCTCTTTTAAGAACAAAGGTGCTGCTTCAGTGCTTTTTACCGCACCCCACTACCTGCACTGCGCGAAGAAGGAAACTGAAACCTCAGAAAAAAGTCTGTAGACAGTTCGCCAGCTAACGCTATTCAATCCGAAGCCTGTACTTCCCATAATTCCCATGAGGGTACGCGATCGCAGCGCCAGATTCCTGTATAGGTATTATTGTATGAAGCTCTATGGCGCGAAAGTAAGATTGGCTTGTGCGGGGCGGCACCTGTCGGAGCAGATATGAAATACTCCGCTATCTTTGTCTCTGTTGCCAGATGGCGTGCGTGCTGCCGGGCGCACTATGTGATGGCCTTCGAGACTGCGTGCAACCTGTCGGAGTGCAATTTCAGAGGTCTAGGCTTGTAAAAGCTCAAAACGTCGAATGCGATCACGAGAGCTCTGGGATCGCCTGCGATGCCAGCATGCCTCATGAGTGTAGGAGGCCAGGCAGAGGTGGGAAGGATAGTATGGTATAATTGTCTGTAGCGGCCTTGGTACACAGCGTGTCACTAAATTAGTGGTGCAAATGGTTTGATGATGCTCTAGTCGAAAGGCTGACAAAAATTTAAAAAACCATGTCGGGGTCCCTTTTAAACTTCATGTCAGAACACATGCACCCAAATAATAATGTGACCTCATGGATTTTTTTCATTTGTGTATTTGACCCAGTAAATCTTCCTTGAACCCACTGTGCTAAACCAATGGCTTCCTTATAACACATTGTGGCTCATTTTTTACACAATAAGCAACTGGGCAGACCCAAGTGCACGCTGTCTATATCATGTTACTGGGAAGTTGGTGTGGGAATCTGCTAGCAGGTTTGTCACTTGTATTTTATTTCTTCATCATTTTATTCTTTAACTTAGTGAGCATCTTCTCCCATCAAGAGTAGTGCTTGTTTAGCGGTGTGAAATAATTATTTTCTTATGTGGGAGACATGGCTTTTCTCTTTAATAAGCGTACCTTTGAGAGGTGTACTGACACGAATATATTCAGTTGTGGATTTTTTGCATCAAATCAAAGGCCAAGTCCTCAAAAGTCTAGAAAATGTACTGCAAAGCATGCATGCACCTTGGAATAGTAATCGCAGTATGCTTTTAAAGACTAGTTGCGATTCCCTACTACACTCTGACAGCGCATCACGGTGTGAGCTTCTCGCCATATGCTCACACAAGGTGTTGTCAGGTTATCATAGCAGATCCGCTCCGTGGCACCTTTAGTGCACACAAGTGGCCTTTTTGAATTATTTTATACCTGATGTCATCACGACTATCCATACTAATGTGAAGTCACTAGAGTTGATACTGTAGCCTGATATCGCAATAGTGTCTATGTCACTAGGTGCACCATGTGAAAATCGACCTGACTGAATATCCTGTCAACATTTACCGAGCTTGCCACTTGCTCTGAGGTGTTTTTGTATGCAGGATATTTGTATGGCTGAGTAAACTAGCCTTGAAAATATTTTGTCACCTCTTAAAAAATCGCAGCATATCCACGGAGTGAATGCTAAGCGTCTGTCTGTCCATGTTTCCGTCCATCCATGTGTTCGTCTCTCTGTCTGTCTGTCTGTTTGCATGACACTGCCTGTCACGCCTGACGCAGGACAAAATTAGACTAAGAAGAGCTTCGTCCCTAACAAACATTTTTGCCCTTGTTCCTTACAGCTTGAGGACGGAGGAGAGACCAATTCGTGTGGTGTACCCAAGGGAATGTCATGAAGGCATCTGGGGTGGAGAAGGCATTGTACCCGGTTATGCTCCGGATAGCAGCGGGTACCACGTCAAGTACTTCACGCCGCAGTTGAAGCGGTTTGTGGTTTACAGCGAGATCCTGGACAAGTACATGCGCGTCACGGTTACCGAGAGGACATTGATCCTCATCAACGAACATTGCGGGTTCGACCTGTACATCTTGAAGGTGATCTTCAGATTCTCAGCGATTCTTCCCGTGTTTCGGCAGTTGCGTGCAGCAGGTCCGCACCTGCCAAAGCTCGCTGTATGCATGTCTGTTTCGCGACACACGGCACACCCGCTGTCGTCGTACGGCTGATGTCATGATGGCTGGCCGCTGTCATGGTGCACTGTTTTGGATAGGCGGTCCAAAGCTCGGACCCCAAGCTCTTAAATGTAACAAGATTCCCAGAGTTTGTAAAGAAATCTAGACGGCCCGAATCGACAGGTTGAAAAAGGGCTTACACAATATTGAGACATCACAAAAGGGACATCTTTAATTTTCTTGGCCTGCAGTATCAACGCTCACCAGACGCCGGAGTCGGACAACTCCTATGAAATATTTTACTTCGATTTTAAACTCTTCGGCGCTGATCATCTGCAAACTAGCCCCATCGCAGTGAGCATTATGCTGACAAGTTAACACATTTGTAATGAGCTTGCAAACTTTGCGTTTTGCGAAAAGCCTAAGTCACAGAAATCAGTGTTGAGGTCACTGGAGACAATTCGCTCATTATCGTTCAGCCATGTGAGCCGTGAGTTGCTGTCCCCTAATGGCACCAACTGTTATGACTCGTCACTGAAAAGCTGCCCTCCCCATGATATCGAAACACTACTTTTTTAAGGTGGCAAAATTTAAAGTATATGCGATGCAGTTCCAGGCTCCGCAATAGTCTTTTTAGGGTTCTCGGCACTCGTGTTTTTATTTAGAGTGACCACGCGAAAATATTTAAAATTCGTGTTGGTACTCCTTTAAAAATACAGCTGTGAATGAATCCTTACTCAGAGCATGGGTAATGCCTGCTATAGTGCGAAAAGTCAGTGTCCACAGCAGCTCAATTTTAACTGCATAGGCAATATTAACTGCGTAAGGGTTTATTTCCACTGAGAAATGGTGTATCGACAAGGTTAATAGTTTCTTTCTAACTAAACTTTTCAGAAAATTGCACTTTAGAAACACTAATATCTCTTGAAACGTTTCATTGTGCAAAAAAAAAAAAATAGTGAAGCCCTGTCACATAGGCCTAATGAAACAATTATGCATGCTAATTCAGTAGATCAGCTTGCGTCCTGTATGTCTGAAAAGTGAAACACTTTGACGTTTTCTTTTTTTTTCATTGCAAGCTGTTTTGAAATGGGTGGGTTGTGTTTGATGGCATGAGCTCAGTCTAAGCCAGAAAGCTGCAATTTATGTCATCTTAATGAATCTGTGACATGAAGCATAAGTGGTCACATGCCATCTCATCACTTTATCATTTTAATTTGCTACTGCATTGCTTAGATGCGCGGCTGATACTGATTGAGTAACCAACAAAGGAGTAGAAGACTAGCTGAAGACTTTCATGGTAATAGGCCTCTCCAACTACCCACTTAAGCCCGAAAGTTCGAGTTTGCTGGAATCGTAGTACGGTGTTGCTACGGATAGTCATACATCGTACCTGTCTATTCTGGTGTGAATGCATGGGCATTCTAATGAAGGAGGAAACAAATTTGGTGGTGCTGTGCTGTGCACGGTTTTTGAAGTTGGCATACATTTCTACTACTGCACAGCGATTTCTAGCCGCACAAATACACATGTAGAAGAGTAATAGATGTTCCGATCTAGAGTTTTTCTTTTTTCACAAGTCGTTCTTTTACGTTCTAGTGTGAGGAAATGTTTGGATTGTTGTATTACTGCTGTAAGCATAGTGCTCATCTTCTTCTTCTTTCTTCTTCTTCTTTTTTTTTTCAGACTCCAGTGCAAGATCTACACTCACAGCTTGCACTTGATCTCAGGCGGAAAATGTTGCTGGCTTTGGCAAGGAAAGACCTGTACCCCGACAACCCGGAGAAGCAGAAAGCAATGCTGGAGAAGTACAAGGACTTTATTGTATCTGTGAGTAGGCGAGCTTCTTGAAATCTGTCATTGTTTTGGAAAATAAAAAGGAACTCCTATTTATTATGTTGAAGTGAAAGATGTGTTGCTAAAACTTTGCAAGACCAACCAAAATGTAGCCAACCTGAACCAAGTATTTCCGATGGAGGCGGAAATGTTGTAGGCCCGTGTACTCAGATTTGGGTGCACGTTAAAGAACCCCAGGTGGTCAAAATTTCCGGAGCCGTCCACTACGGCGTCTCTCATAATGAAATGGTGGTTTTGGGACGTTAAACCCCACAAATCAATCAAATCAATCAACCTGAACCAAGTGTAGCCACACATGTGTCAAAAACAGCTGCGACTTGTTTATTTGAACGATTAAGTGCAACAGTTCAGTGGAGACACAACTACAGGAAGAACCCTTCAAAATCTTAGTTGCAGAGACTAAGGAATAAATTCTTGGCTCTAGGTAGCATTTCGTGCAAGATGACAAAGTTTCTTGCCCTGTTCAAAAAATGACACTCTCTTCGCGCGTCTTGCATACCAGTCTTGTGGCAAGACCTCAAGTTGCTGGTATTTGCTCAAGTTGCTGGTATAAGTTGCATAGTTGCTGGTATTTAAGCATCGATTGTAGTCACTTTCCCAATAGTTTCTCATGAAATAATGAATGGTGAAAAAGTTCACATTCCCAAATCGCTGTTTATACCTTATTCTAATGAATGACACAAATAGCTTGTCAATTTCATATATAATATGATTTGTAATGTGAATAAGGCCGCACATCCTGAATGCAGAGAACTTTCGATTGGCCTGTTCACTTTACAGCATGAAGTCATGTTTAGCAGTAGGTGATCGGCATAATAAAGCCTGGTGCAACAGTTCCCCCCCCCCTCCCCCAATCCCACTCGGTGCACAGTCAAGTCTATTCTTTAGTCTATACAGAAGCCTATTCATTAGTATAGAGCGAATGCCAAATTCGGTTTGAGGAACTGAAAAACATGCCATGCTTCTGATATTTTGGTGCCACATACTTGAATGCCAGCCACTGTAATGTCTCAGAATAATAATAACTTGGTTAAAATTGAGGGAACAAGAAACAAGCCAAAGCGGAGCCAAGATGCTTTTTTTTTTTTGCTGATGCCACCAGCATAAAAAAGTAGCTAAATTCGCTTAAAGTAGTCGAACCTGGCAGTTCTGGTCCAATGTATACTGACATGGTGCTTTTTTACTCCTGTTTGTTTTCGATAGGTTTGATAGAATAGCCTTTCACCCCGTGATTGATACAGGCTTCTAGTGAGCCAGCGCGAAGTACCAAGCTCTGTCGCCGTTAGCTAGCACACTAATATCCCTTTCGCACTGGACATTGCGGTGTAAGTTGAAGGGAGTGTCTTTGAATTCGTCTGTGGTTTATGTGCTTTGCTTGGAATGTAAGTACAGGAAGGGTGTCGGTGGAGGGTGCGGGGGGGGAGGGGGCAATTGCGGTCTATAATTTGTGTGTGGCCCCCCTCCTGGGCTGTTCTAAGAGCGAGCATATTCAAAACAAAAACCAAGAATTCCCTGGTCCCCTAAAAGAGCCAGCCTGTCTTTTGTGCCCCCCCCCCCCACACACACACACTCCACTGTAAAAAAAAAAATCATGGCATCCCATCCGCCTTGGCAAATTTCTGAGTAAATAGTAAATGCTTTATCTGCTGTAATAGGCATAATTCAGTGCTGCCATATTACCCATATTGTTTTGATGAGCTTAATACCCTATGAAAAGTTGGCTAAGGGTTGCTTTAGCTGATGTTGTCGATATATTGCAAAGTCTAAGGTCTCTTGAATATTTCAGGTATACTCCAAAGTTACCTACTGCAAGTTTTTTTGAACTACTGCCATTGACATGATGACCGAATGGCGTTAGTTCTTTCGGTGTTGCACGATTGTGGATTCAAATGGCAGTTGCTACATCAAATGTAATTTGGACAATGCTATTAATGTGGTCTATTGGTAGGGGTATAACTTCACTTTTGAATGAGCAGTGTTCACACTATCACTCACTGTAGGAGGAAGAAGCGGACTGGTTTGGCTTGACACTCTGGAAGGCCGAGAAGAAGCTCATGGACTACGAGGATGCCCTTCCGAAGCCCAAGCCTCTCAAGTATCAGTTCCTGAACGACTTCATCGAGGAGCTAAAGCGTGAGCTCTTGTCTTTTTCTTCTACGGCATCCTCCATAGCTGCAAATTTTCGAGATTTACGTGGAATAGTAACTTTTTAGGTTTGCCAAAACAATTACTGAAGAGCGATCGCAACAAATGCCCGGAGAGGTTAGTTCAATACAGTTTGAGAAAATATGTGAGCTCCACCCTCAGCCATTGCTGTGCCTTCCATGGAGAATTCGCTACTACTGGATGGAGCGTTTATGGATGAAACTAGCCCAAGTATTCGTCTCATCAAGATATCAAGATCCATCCAGTAGTACTTGCTCGTTTTTGTCTCGTGAAGCACTAAGTGTGCGTTTAAGTTCTCCTACACAATTGTGTCCCTGACTTTAGGCTGGAAACTTGGAACGCCCTGGTAAATTCTCTTGGCGGTTGTGACACCGCTACTATGCTAAATGTAGGTTCTTAGGTGATAAAGATGAACCTAACTCTAATTATTTACACTAGCCGAGAAAAAGTACTGACAATTGCAACACAGGCCAGCAAGAACGACTGTCATTCACAGGTGAAAGGCAAGTGCGCCACGACTCTGTGACAGGAGCTGACAAGTTTTCTTTGCCTGTAACTCACTATAGTTTCCATACTTACCCACGTATAACCCGCCCCTTCATATGGGCCACATCCCGGGATACAACCCACAGAAAACTTTGTAAATGTTGTGTGCACTTTACTTTCTAGATTCTTCCTATCTTATGTCGACTCTCGCTTTATAATTGAATATCGAGATTCAATAGAATAGAATAAATAGTAGAGAAGGAAAGCTAGGGAGATCAGCCAGTCCAGGACAACCTTGTGTTACGAAAGTGGTCGTGCTGCAGTGTGTAAGCACGGTACTGCTTCATCAAAACTTTGTTTTGGGTGAGTTGGTTCACTGTAGGGAGAGGGGGTAATGGCGAGCACACACCCACAAGAATGACAACATAGACACGCAAGCGCCAACTTACTACCGGTTTTAATGGCAGAATGAAATACGTTACATATGCTTGAGTGAAGCTTGAGAAAGGCGTGTGGGTAACAAGGCTTCATAATGCACAGCGTCAACAACGCAAAAACAGCCACCTATGAAATAACCGCAACAAACACGTGATTTTTTTATTTTTCTCCAAGATTTAAGACTTGACAGCTGCATATAAAAGATAAAACTTGGCATCAAAAAGAGCAAGAGATAAGATGGCGCATTTGTTACAAAATTTTACAATACCTTGATATGCCATTAGAATGATGCATGCAATATTGTCATCGTTCCCCCCGTCGTTCCCCCCGAAAACTGTCATCTTTTCGATCCAGGCCGCACATCTTGTGCACTTACTAACATACTCAAATAAATGTGTGTACTTGTTATGTAGCTTTCAAAATTTTTGTGCGTGTTCTTCCGAACAGTCGTTGACATAGTGCCCTGTTTCGCCAACGTTGAACATGACATGGAAGTGCAGTACACCACTGTAGTGGAACACCTAATGAATGGCACTTCATGGTTCTGGCATCCACATTTACTGGTGTTGCAAAAAAATAATTACAGCTTTCCCAGCCAACGGGGGGGGGGGGGGAGGCAGAGAAACGCATTGGGACTTCGTGCCCACTTGCCGACTTCTTAAGGTTGCGAGAAGGCTTATGAACGTATGGTACGACCTCGGTCCTGCGGGCCTTCTGGTGATTGTCAGCTCTGTTCCATGTCCCGTTCCAGGTTTCAACTTTCGGAGGAGGGCTTTAGAAACGGCACTTGAGGCCAAGCGAAGGAATACACGCAGCGCTTGTGTGTGGGCGCTGTCACTCGTGTGTTTGTGTTCAGGCTGTCGCTCCCTCCTCACTCTGTGTTACTGGTTGCCATCACATGCTTTCCCTCACGATTCCTTGCATCGCACCCATCGGCCCATTGTGCCCGGTCACTGTTAGCTTCTGCATGATTCTCGGTTCCCTTTGTGAACGTGATGGTTCACGTGAAAAGGCTAAAACTCGCAGTTCTTTGCAAGGCTGGTAATAATCAACCACATTTTAATGTGGACAAAACGTTCCACTTCGGATGATGAAGCGCTGCTTACATCAATAATGTATTTTCTACAGTGTAACCCTCCCCTGGTTATTACTCGTGCTAATGCGAAAAAATAAAAGCCAGAAGAAAAAAAACTGCACATTGTCGTGATGCTGCCGTCTTTGCAATATCATGAAGCAAGTGGCATTGAGCAAACTTGAGCACCAAGATGTGCATCTGAAACTTGGTAAAGTCTTTAAAAAGCTTTATATCCAATTATAGGACATATTGAACTAATATCCGTGTTTTTGCCATTTCGAGACTTGCGTGTTGATTCGTATTCAAGTGGAAATTATGCTGATATGACACAAACTGAAAGCAGTAAAAATTAATGCATGTGCATTACTTAGCTTTCAATCGTCGCATTTCATTTAGTGAACAAATTACTTACATAGTGAAGTTTTTGGGTGATGAAAACCACAAGGCGGTATGGTATCCTTTAAAGTATTTTTGCCTCTCCTGACCAAAAGAAAAAAAGATATAAAGTGTACTGGTACCCTATAATCTCAGTAGGAAGGAATAAAATCGGGGATCTCTTGTGTGGTTCCTTTGGTTGGAACTTCACAGCTAACACCAATTTTTCTGCTACTTATGCTGATCATCCTGCAATTTAGCGATAGACTTATTCAGTAGTAGTCCATTGCTCTACAGTGGTTATTTAAAACTTTGATTGAGCCAGGAACTTGGGCAGTAAATTTTTTTTTTTGTCGAACTTGTGTGGGTTTGGACAAAGGGTGACGGTTAGAATTTCACTTTGCAGTGAAAGAGGTGAAGAAGAAGCAGGAGGAGGCAGCTGCGTAAGTTCACCAACAACGTTTCACTTCTACAAATTTTAATTCGCTGTTAGATGCAGACTCAATATTCGCTTTTTTTTTTCTTTGCAGCGAGTCGCAGAAGAGCTGGGTCTCAAAACTCAACCCATTTAGGCGGTCAACATCGTCGGATACAAACTCGTAGCCGTCATCACCACCATTAGTTCAATTTAGTCAAACAAGTCAATTAATAAAGCGTTTTCGTTGCCAATGAGGTTTTCGGTGAAGTTCCTCAACGCTTTCAGTGGCTTCAAACGGTTTCGGAGTGCTTGACATGTACTTCTCCGACACTGAGATACCGAGGAAGTTCTTCTATTTCTCTGTTTAATTGTTCCAGAGAAGTTCGAAAATTACAGTATTTTCAAAGCCTTGCCACAGTTTGCAGCTTAATTGACGAAGGCCCAGAAAATGGACACAGAGCACTGCTTTGCTTCATAGCCCACTGTCGTCGTAGCACGTGTGGCATGGATACTTACAAAGTCACATCTGATATGTAAATAACTTTGCCATATCCAAAAAAAAAAAAAAAACTGTAGGAAGTCGAAGATAAAAGCTTGCGATGTAAATCCACGAACAGGGGTTATGTCAAGCTGACGTTTCGATTGACAAGTGCATTTGTCTTCGTCAAGGCTTGGGGAAGACAAGTCTGCTTGTCGAAACGTCGCCTCGACTCGACTCCTGTTCACCTATTTGCCATATTCAAAAGTTCAACTTATAAATTCCTATCATTATTTTAAAGCATGACTTTTTTTTTTTCTTCCAGGAGGTTTTACATCATCCTTTATGAATGCTGATGCTTGTCTTGGACGTGTCTCTGTATATTCACAAAGGCAAAGTTTAAAGAACTTTGGGGGGAAGAAAGGGAGAAGGTTTACAACCCTGCACAGCTTTGGCTTTGCCTGAATCAGCTTCCAGAGTCCACATCAAATGTAGGCCAGCTTTGAAACAAATTTCAGCAGCTTATTAAATTATTATTAAATTATTAAATTAAGCTTATCAGTGGAATTGGTACCACGAGTTCTACTGTGGCAAACTGACGAGGAAAAAAGAAAACTCAAGGTTAGCTTGATGCTCTGAGCTGAGTGTTGGGCTAGCTTTAGTACAGTGTATTTTCGCCTATATGCCAGAGAAGAAAATCATCCTGCATGTCCTTTGTGGAAAGCTTGAGATGATCTTCCTGGCATCATGTCCTCTTGGTACTTGTCATCATCACTAGCAGTAGTAAACGAAAGTAGTAGAGCCAAGCATAAAATGCCATTTATTTTGAAACAACAACAATATGGAGTCGGAACTTCTGCACAGCCACGACAGACACATTCGGTTACATAGAAGACAGTATGCTCCATCTCACTTTAATTAAATTTACGATGAGTGGAGGCATTGTGGGACTTCTCATAGCGAGAAAGGCAAATGATTTGTCATTATTGAAAGAGACACTAAAGAGAATAACAAATTTCTGTATATCAGTAAATTACTGTCAAAATTTTAAAATTACTACTTATGTGAGAAGATACCTGGTAAATGAGAAAATGTGCTAAAAGAAGGTGCGGGTGACAATACCGCCTGGAATTCACCGTACTAAACGTCTGGTTGTCACAGATTTTGATGGCTCCTACTAGGTCCTTCGTAGGTCCGAATCAGTAAAATGAAAGCATATTGTCTTGGGGCCCAAGATTTAACATTTCCAATTTCACGAAATTTCGTTAAGTCAGTGTCACTAAAATACGAAAAGCACACTTTTGAAATCTGTGGTATAATGCGCAGTGATTTCAGCATAAAGTTTAAAAATGAAGCTTTAATTTCTTTTAATTTAATTATGTACGTGACATCTCGTGGTCAAATATTTACATTAGAGTTCTCGGAGTAGAGTATATCAATCCAATCTGATTGAATGTTTCATTTAAGTGTCACTTTAAACACTTGAATATTTGTTTATACACTCGTTTATTGTATCAGCCTGTGAACTTAAAGCTTTAGTCATTTCAACATTGTTGCTGTTTATAATCACAAGGTAGTAGCTGTGTACACAGAAATAATAGCATCTCGAACTCTGTCGTATGCACAAAGCAGTCCTATTCACTCGCTGAACTGTATAGCGTTCTGCCATGTACCGAGAGTGTCGAGCAGACAACAGTATGGATGTGGCGAAGGGTCTTAAGAGTCATGAGACCTTGTGGAGCACACAAGGCGCCGGGGAAGAGCAGGAGGCTTGGCCACTCTTGCACGAAGGCATAGGATGCCCCGTAGTCCACACATTTGTAGTGGGGTCGTACACTTCCACGGTAGACAGGTACTCCTGGCCATCGTAGCCACCTGCCAAGGAAGAGTGGAGAACGGTGGGCACATTGGCACCTCGGTCACAGTGGTAAATTTAGTGCCGTTTTGAGCGAGTGCATTTACGCATCCAGAACGTCCCTTTGGCAGTGTGCAGCTACACGAGAAAAGGGAGTGCACTTCGGAAGTATGTTTTAAGCTTAAGAATATTTGTGATAACGAAAATAATATTAAAACAACATGCTCTGAACTACAGCTACTCTACACTCCATCGCAATTAACCGAGTTTGGCGAACGCATTCACTGGCAAGTAGTTCGCGTTGCAGCGAGTGTCGCTGAGCATTCCTGTGTGACAGCATCAAATGACTCTCCACCCGCCATGTTCAAAGAAAGCTAGCAGTATGAATTGACAAAAGAACAAGGACCGGTTCGGCTCCACTCTGTTCCTGCTAATGTGTGACGTGGCTGGAGTGTTTGAAAAGGTACCGAACAAAATTTTTTTCCGCCAAGATATTCAGCCAAGTTGGAGGATTGAGCGCTGAAGTCAATAATCACGACCTTCATTTCAGACAGAACCCAGAGGAGAGTAATGCATTCAATGTGTTATTCACAAACTGCTGCATATAGCGGTCGTGCCGTGAACTAAAGGAAATGATATTCGGCAATGTTTACCGCACTAGAAAAGCAACATGTCAACAATATCAGGCGCTCACAGAGTTTCTCAACTCGCACAGTTCTCGCTACTGTATCTAGCATTAAGACGATTGGCGCTGGCAGCAATCGATGCTCCCGGCCATGGTAAAGCCCCTAGAAGTGGGGCATGCCTTAGTACCTTTGTGGAAGGGGCACAGTAAGACATAAGGGAGAGGTGGAGAAAGGAAATTAACGGAACAGTATGACGGGCACCCAGCATCTGCTGCGGTGGTTTTGATGTCGAGGCTCGCGCAGGCATAATGCCACCACCTCGCACTTACATTTCTTGAGAAACGCAATCAACTCTGCAAAAATGTGTGGAATAAACTTTTTATTGCAACGGGCACGTCTTCAGAGAAGAATTCGATCGTTTGTATCAGCATTTATAATTTTTGTTCAGTACCCCTTTAAACTGGTGTTCAAGATGCTGTCTTTGTTTGTGCTGTTTCATTTTTTTAATTGTCTCCTTTATGAATATCTCGTATGCCTACTAGATGTGAAAAATCCTTCAACTGAGGGTGTCAGCAGAACCAGCGTTAGACAAGACGTCCCGTGTGCAAGGCAGCACAAGACCAATTGTCAAAGCAGCGGCTCTAGTGACAACCCCTGGTCAGGAATTTGCACCCCTGCTAGCTTCTGTCTTCTCCTGAATTTCTCTTGTATGCCTCCTAGTAGTAACTAACTGCATATTCAAGTAAAACATAAATGACAAGATGTGCTGCTGATCGTGATAAAATTGGGTAGTTTGTACAGTTGAGCATTTGGGAAAAGAACGCAACATGCAGAGGAAGACTGAACAGTTGAAACGTGATGCATTGACTTTGCGGTTTTGAACCTTCTTCCTGCGATGTCTATGTGTTGAATTGAGCTTTTTGGCACAAAAAATAGCTGCGGTAACTGGGCATACCTTTTACTGTTTGTGCTTATCTTGTACATTTTTACCCCGAGTACTCCTTCACCGTAATGCTGCGATAATAAGCTGGGTGGGAGCTCGCACAGCATGCACGCTGTAGAATGCATAAGCATTGCTTTGCTAAGACAACCGGAAATTACAATGAAGTAGTTGTTTCTATCTGTCCACAATTAGAAATTGATTGATTGATTGGTTGGTTGATAGGCTAATACCAAGGATTGGTAGATGGAGGGTCTGCACAGAAATTGATTAACTGTCATTCAAAAAGAGGTCTCTGTCCTTTTCTGAACTTCGCTCTCTCCTAGAGCGACGCTGTCTGCTTGGCTACAAAAGAAACAATCCCACTCATAATTGTCATTTTATCAATCAAACTTCCAAAGCTGAATGGTCCACCGTACTTCATGTGGAAAGCCACTCTTTGCTGTCCTGCATATAAATCAGATAAGCTTGAGGAGACACACTTGGTGAGGTCTCAGTTTTTTTAGCACCGTGCGCTGAGCTCGTCGCTTGAATTTCAGTGAAGGTATTGTGCTTTGGAACATTGCTCTGAGACAAAACTTCCCTTGAACTGACCGTTTGCCTGAGTAATTACGGTATTCATCCACAGAGTAAAGTTGACTGCGGATGGAATATGGGGAAGGTATCTTGGCATCCCCACTGCTTATGCGTGTACAGGGTTCTAAATCGGGGTAGGGTAACACGGGCCTCTCTTATTTGCCGAGTCTGAAAGAAAATGCGCTCACGAAGACCTGCCATTGGTCCCTAGCATTGTGTAGTTAAGGGCAAGAAGTAAGCAGGCCATTAAGGGCAACATCAGGGTTCCTTATTGCCATTATATTAAAAAAAAAGTTAAACGAGCAGTGCCATAGTTTTGCACATTAAAAAATTATGTGAAAGGTCCGATTGTGTAAAGGTGTGGGGCACGATTAGCACCCATCTATAGATGAAATAAAGTCTTTGAGAAACACTTTTATCGCTACTGAAGGCAGACAGCCACCCATCATGCCTTCCCCCCTCCCCCATGTGGTCACCTATGCCTGCTGGTACTAGACCTTTCCTAAAAATTTTTTTCAGTAATATTTTGCTGAGAGGCACTTGACTCGTTCTAGAATGCACAAAGCTCCTTTTAGGGGCTCTTGAAGATGTATTTTATTGTTAACTCGACATACAAGATTCTCGACCGGGACGGCTTACCTAAAGCAAAGATCTTTCCGTCCAGGACAGCGGCACTGAGGGCACTTCTTCGTGTGTTGAGGGGGGCCACCATCTCCCAGAAGTCGAGGTCCGTGTCGTAGCGCTCGACGGAGGTGACTTGGCCTCGACCATCGTAGCCGCCAATGACGTAGATGTGCTTGCCAAAAGCAACGGTTCCTATAATTGTTGGAGCATTGAGATGGCGTTCATCATCGGCCTGACTACGCTCGCTGCAGGGCAAAGGCGTCTCCCATGTCTCACTGAACAATCTGGTTTTGTGCTCGCTGCAGTTACATTATCCCTGCACACTTCCTAATCTCATCTGCCCAGCTAACCTTCAGCCTCCCCTTCTTATGCTTGTAACCACTGGAAAACCAATCTGTTATGCTTAATGACCAGCAGTTATCTTGCATTTGCACTGCATGCCCATGTCTATTTCTTGTTCTTGACTAAGATGTCTTTGATACTTGTTTGTTCCTTGACCCACTCTGCTCTCTTCTTGACTATTAAAGGGCCCTGAAACACTTTTTTGAGTAACCATGAAATTCATTCACTGGAAAAGCGTATTGACTCACAAATTCAACGCTGCAAAAATGTTAAGAATCCGTCCAGTATGAGCCGAGTTACAATGATTTGTTACACGCTACAATCGCATTCTCTCTTCTCTCGTCCTGACGAAAGCGCTAAGCAGGGGAGGATGGGAGGGGCAAACAAAAACGTCACGTGCGCCTCGCGACCTTGAGTACTTTTTTCTTTTTTTTTTTCTTCGAATACGCAGCTTTTTCAGTGCGATCACACGTGGACAAATGACGGCGTCTCGTGGCGATCTCTGTAACAACCGAGCGTGCCATGTTCAAATCAGCCAATGGCTAATAGATGGGTAATCTACGTGTGATTTTTGAGCGTCTTTCGTTATTTGTCTAGGAAAGAGAAATAAATTTTTAGCCGACTTTGATCATTTATTGTGAATTCCAGGCCGCAAGCTGCGGCTATAACATTTGGCTCGCGTGTCAATCATTTGATTCACGTGTCAAACGCTGCCAATCGGGAGCCTGTACTACGATTGGCAGCGTTTCTTACTAAGCTCAAAAAGTGTTGCAGGGCCCCTTTAAGGTTATGCCTGTTATTTTCCTCTCCATAGCTTGATACGTCATCCTCAATTCAAGTTGAACCCTTTCCTGAAGCCTCCGGATTCTCGCTCCAACATTAAACAATAAAGACGGCTTTCTTCTAGACACAGGCTTCTTGCTTCACGACTAAAATTCACATCGAATGTGCCACAGGAAAACCTCACTGCCCTTATGTCAGCACTGAAACACTCATACCTCATTATAACGAAGTTCTATCTTACTCGCAATTAAGTTTGTTATAAAAGTTTTTTTTTCTGACATTATATATTGCAAGACTATGTTTAATTTACTTTGTTATAACCGATATTTTGTTATATTCGGGTTCATTATATGAAGGTCTGAGTGTATAAGCGCTCTATACAGACAACACGTATAAAATATTTTACTTTGATTTCAAAGTTTTTGTCGGCCAGCTTTCCGAGCCTCACTCACCACAATAGACATTGTTGTGACAATTTTATGCAGTTCACTGGGTTTGCGAAATTTACATCCCACATGCAGCCTGAATCACAGGAATCGCTGTCAGTCACTTGTCGTTCTTTACATGATATATGTTTGACTGACAGCGAACCGACAGCTGTTGATAGCATGTTGCGAGTTATAGTCATCCCGTGATGTCAGACCTGTGTTGACACGTCATTGTGAAGCCGTCCCGTCATTACCAAACCGAAATTGCTGATTCAAGCTAGCAGTGTTAAAAAACGTTCAATTCGTTCCAAGAGCAACTACATTCCTTGTAGGCTTTTCGGCACCTTTCTTTTCATTTAGATCGACAACTAAAAAATGTTCTAAATTCATGTCGGTATTCTTTTAAAATTTGCATGCTGGCGTGCCTCGACATCATACAATAAAACTTTGTTAATGGCTAATTGGCAAAAATTTATCATATAAAGGCAGCAGGCATTGAACATGTTAATGGAGACAATTTGTAAGCTGATTAATTACAGATTACTGCATTTTCATTACACTGACACCAATTTGCTTTGAAACTGGTGTCACCCATCAAATAATTCAGCTGATGCAACTATTGCTATGTTTGCCACGTTTTTGTTATTTTTTAATGGTAAGTCTACTTTTGCGAGATGAGGTAACTCGGCACTTTCTGTACGATGGGAATCAATGTTTCGCCGAGAAATAACTCGCACAAGTAACACACGTGGTTCGAAGCTTTTATTAAAACTCTTGAATACAGTGTATTGTGTCTATATACTTAACAAACTGCAATGAAATGAGCATTCGCATAAACTGTTTGGGTGAAGTAAAACATTTAAAAACCACGTGGTCGTGGAGGCTGCAGACTAAATTTAAAGCTAGGAAAAGTATATTCTATGGCTGCACTTAAGAACTGAAAAGTTGTCTGTGTTATAAAAGAACACTTTAAGACATTTAGAAGACACACGTTATACACCGTAATAATTTTCATAACACATTTTCTAGCTATTTCAGGTAACTCAATTCTCCACTCGTGCACAGTGGAAGTTGTTCCTGAAGAGTAATTTCAGTGAGCATTAAATTTATTTAAATACTGTCAGTCACGAAATGTTGGACTGCACATAATGAGTTTATCTTACTAGGCTGATAATTGTCCTGCAGGCTGCAAAAGCAAAGTTCACCAATACAAACTTTGCACGGTCTAACACTAAAAAATAACAGTACAAAACTGCCACAAGAGAAAATGAAAAGTTTAACGACTAAATAATGACATCGTCTGGCCTTTAAAGACAACGAAAATGAACTGAAGCATTTTAGGGACTGTCATTAAAGCAAATATGCAAGTTTTCCGTACATACCTTATAATGTCAGTAATAAGATGTTAGACTACACACAACAGCCTTCATAGTTAGTTTACTAGAATGACACATATAGACATTTAAGCAAGTATGCAAGTTTACCTTACAATGTCATTATTAAAATGTTAAACACTGCACACAACAACCTTATTAGTAAATTGACTGGAACAATAATGTAATGTTGTTAAAGAAGATAAGCAAGTGTAACTTACAATGTCATTAGTAAAATGTTGTTAGTAAAACGTCATCAGTAAAATTAGTAAAAAGTAAACAGAGTGACCTTAATAGTTAGTTGACTAGAACAACATGACAATATTAAACAACATATGCAAGTTTACCTTACAATGTCATTATTAAAATGTTATGCTACACACAATGCCTAAACAGTTGGTCGACTAGAATGATAATGTAATGTCCTTCAGGCCACGAAGACAAATCGAATTAGCATAAACTTTGCAGGAATTGTTAATTTGAAAAAAATAGGTGTATGCAAGTTCATTAGTAATGATACTTTTTGATAAATTGTTGTGTGCAGTTCAACAGTTTAGTGAATTACACAACTTCCATGTAAATTTATGAAAAGTAAACGATGTATGGATTTCGTTTGACCTGCAATGACGACGAAAACTAAACAGGTAAACTTTCTATGAACATTCGTTAAAAACAAGGTAATTAGTCTATGCGAGTTCACCCTCTGTTATATTATGGTAAAAGGCTAAACATTGCACATAAGAAGAGAACTGAATAAAGAATTTAGATGTTAGTGAGATGTCGCGCAGCTTGGATGACAACGAAAAACAAGAATGTCCGCATGAAGACTCTGGGACTAACTAAAAACAAAGTAAATAATGAATGGAAGTTAATTAGTAATACTATAAACTACCATGTAACAATGAAAGAGTATACTATAAAAAGATGTCATCTGGCCTTTACAAATAACAAAGATTAGCTAGATGAACCATCTAGGGGCTGTAATTGAAGCAATTATGCAAGTTTACCTAGTATCGTCATTAATAAAGTGTTTAACTGCACATAATGGCCCTTAGCGTCCAATGACTATATTAGTAAACTGTCCTTTAGTTTTCCAAGACAAGAGGTAATAATGAAAGCTTGGCAGGAACATTTGGTAAAAAAATAATGTATGCAAATTTACTATATGTGCTTTTTAACGAAGTGTAATGTGCATGTTGGCAATTAACCAAATTACAGAACAGCCACGAAATAGATCAAAAAGTAAACAAAGATGTAAAGATGTTTGGCTTTTGAAGACAATGAAAATGAACAGCAAATGTTTCAGAAACCTGTCATTAAGAAAAAAGATAATAATTCTAGGCAAATCCATCTTCTGTCATGATATGTGATAAATGGCTGAGGCATTTGTGTAGTGGAAGACAAATGAAGCGAGATATTCATAAAACATCAGGCAACAAATGCTGGTAATTAAAAAAAAAAAAAAGGTTGACAAGAAAACTTTGGGTGTAACGGTCTTTAAGGCAAGGCAATCTGAGCGCACACTGCATCTTATCATGGCAATGGCAGTTCCTGGCACAACAAAGAAACTGAAGGAGAGTTTCAGAAAGTGAATCTAGGCCCAGGGTTGATAGCACCAGCCTTTGAGAAAAAACCGCCACCTTGTCCCGAATCATCGTCATCTTCAAACAGGTTGTAACCAGCGCTCCCCACACTTGCTGTAGGGCTCGAAGGTCCTGCGACAAGGGAAAACTCTGGCGGAAACTCCTTTGAGATTTGGCTGTCTGTGGTCTCTTGCCTTCCTCCTTGCTGGGGAAATTGCTCGCCCCGAATTTCCCAATGGGATGACGTGACGAAGGACTGCGCTGGCTGCTTGTGTTCAGCATGAGAGAAATTGGCAGCGGCTGTTTCTTCTAAGGCATGCCCACCTTCTGGAGGCTGTCCAACGGGCTGTGGCTCCTGCATTTTTTTGCTCCTGCTCGACGATGCAGTTGATGGATGCAAGGCTTTCTGCATTGCACGAGAAGGACCGGGAAGGTGGGTCAGTGCAGATGTCGGCCGCTGGCCACGTGCAGGCGCGGGCTGCGCAGGGGGAACAGTGCGGTGTAATTGTGGCTCTTGCAGACTCATACCTGATTTAGCCAAGACCGATGCGGCCTTTGCAGGTGCTCCTGGCACCAGGTTGGGAACAGGCAGGCCCATTTGTTCTGTCACCTGCCATTCAAACTGCACTTGGTGGGATTGCTGCTGTTGCAACCCCATCATCCAATTAGGCGAAGTGGACAAT